CTGACTGGATAAACAGGATATCCTGATCTGTCTACCAGTGTATCCTGATACTAGAGGAACTACAGGTTACATAAACCCTACCTGAGCATTCTGACTGGATAAACAGGATATCCTGATCTGTCTACCAGTGTATCCTGATACTAGAGGAACTACAGGTTACATAAACCCTACCTTAGCATTCTGACCGGATAAACAGGATATCCTGATCTGTCTACCGGTGTACCCTGATACTAGAGGAACTACAGGCTACATAAAGCTTACCTGAGCATCCTGACTGGATAAACAGGATATCCTGATCTGCCTACCAGTGTATCCTGATACTAGAGGAACTAGAGGTTTCAGGAAACTATACTCCGGGTCTGGTACTGAATACAAAAAATATGAAATATGAAATATCTTACAAGCCGGCAAAACCTTACATTAAGAGAAATGTAATAACAATTTTTTAAAATGTTACATTTGACCCCTTGGGTTACAGGGTAACAAACAGTGTTACCTGCACAAAGGATGAGCCTTTAATGACGACCTGAAACTCTTCTAATATAACGATCCCCATGTAATATTCGGGGTTCTGATCTTAAATAGTATTTGGTGATGTAATCTATGATTTGGCAATGGGAAAAACTAGTTTGCAGCTGCTGTATACCACGAACGTAAGAAAGAAGGCTGAGTAAATTCTGTACAGTCGTCTCTGAAGTTTCATCCTGTGCGGGTAACCCTGTAGGATAGGTGGCAATTCCTTGGATTAACGGGTTGTCGTTTCAAATCTGCCTATTTTACAGGCAACAGAAGTACAGTGATAACCAGAAAACAATGGAATAGAAAGATGACATTAATAGCGTTTTTATGTTGTTACAAGACAAACATGTTTACTAATAACTTGGCAAAGCACTATTTCAGTTAAATGGATCTATTTACACTGTACAATTGCTATGTCTAATGTTCATTGAACTAGTTTAAGTCCTAACTTGAGTTTTCTGGCTATCACTGTATATAATAAGGATATTCTAGATATTTTTTCTTTTTTTTCAATTTCAAAAAACAATCGCTTGATTAACAATATTATTATTCTCTAAAGTTTTCGGGTTACATATTTTCCTTTCAATAAAGTACAAATTTTGAAAAAAGTAGATTATGCCTGGATAATTATATGTATTACCCCAAAGGCAGACATGAACACAAATAAAAATAATGTCAAGGTTAAAGGGGGAAGATGATGAGGGGGGATAATTGGGAGAGGGGAAGGGTGGAGGAGGGAGAGAGGAAAGTCAGCTCAGATTATTGAAAGATAATCTTGAAGGAATTCTCAGAATTTTCAGACTTTTGTAAAGTTTTCTCTTTTACTGCTTTTTGTTTACTAAAGAGCGAGGGCGAAAGTATATATTTGTAAATATTTGTATATTTTATATATAATTTATAGATAATTTACTTTACTTACATTGCACATCCAGATACGTCTCACATGACAGGTCTACCTCGTTCAAGGTACATCTTAAAATAGTGTCATGAGAGTCCAATCTTTGGGAAGAAGGGGGGGGGGGAAATAGGTTTATTTTTGTACACATTTTACTGCTACCTATGAGGATGTACTGTTCTATTTCTATGTTTTATAGTTTAATATACAAACAAGTCAATTCACCTACCTTAATTCAACTTACATTGTATAATAGAATCTACAAGGTAACTAGTGTACAGTGCGTACTACTGTACAGTACTGTACAGTACAGTGTACAGTACAATACCTCCTGTGTAAATTATAATAAGTTTTACGTGGATGACATTTAATTCTTTATGTCAGTTTTTAAAACCTGTTCTTTAAATAATTTTCTCTGAATTTGCCCACTGAAGTTTGCACGTCACTAAAGTTGACAAGATGTTTGTTTATGATGATTTAGAATTGAAGATTCACTCACAAACCTTCATACACACAATACACAGTACACACCTTCATACACACAATGCACAGTACACACCTTCATACACACAATACACAGTACACACACCCCATACACAGTACACAGTACATCACTCTCTCTGAAGTCTCGAAAATAGTGTTAAAAAGTTAATTAAAATCTCTTCTGGATAGAAGACTGATTTACTCAAGGTAATAATGCAAGGAAAGTTATTTCAGAGGTGTACGCATTTTTTGTACTGCAGTGTACTGTATTTTGGCGGAAAAGTAAACACAAGATGAATGTCACATGGAATCCATTTTCACAAAAATAGACTATGAAATATTCTGGTCATAAGAAACTATTATGTGAATTTTCAAAATTATCAGAAATAAATGCTTTAAACAACCTCGGATACTAGGCGAACACTGAGGCATCTATTCTTGTTTACAAAATCCGCCCAGAGAGAACTGGTTTTAACATGTACGCAGAGTATACGCGACCGCAATTAACTTTCCTTGCATTAGTATCTTGGATTTACTAAACATCATAAGATATCGATTTTTACACTATATACAATATTGTTACATAGATTACCAACAATACAGATATAACACTAGATGTCGTCTTTTCAAGATTTAGGGATTTTTCGTTCGTAAGGAGTTACGCCGCTTACGCGCAATGCGCACATGCTATCTCTCTGTCTGGTAATTTAACGCTGCCTGACATTTAGTGTTCTATCTGTATTGTTATCAATCTATTCTTTGATATCAATAAACAATTGACAATTTAATCAAACAAATAGTTATCAATTATCTTTTAAAGGGACTGTAAACATAATTCACAGTGGTACCCTTAAATCTATCTTACCAACAATGGGAAAGGTTTAAATCTATTTTACCAACAATGGGAAAGGTGTAATGTCGTTTTTCCATTTTCAAAAGAGTTGAATTCTGTGAAACCTGTTCTAACTGTACTGCTGGAGAAAATACACATTTCACTTTTTGGAGAAATCCCAATTAGAAATAAGAAATAAGAAATTTTTAAATAGAAAAACGATAATATCTCCGACATTTTTTCCCACACCTTCGTGAATCGAGCATTCCACTCTGAAAATTAATGGTTGCTTCAAACTACGTCGACAGTCCCTTTAATTGTATCTGTAGGTATCTGCAGGTACCTGTACAGTCCCTTTAATTGTATATTTAGGTATCTGAAGGTACCTGTATAGTCCCTTTAATGGTATCTGTAGGTATCTGCAAGTACCTGTATAGTCCCTTTAATTGTATCTGTAGGTATCTGCAGGTACCTGAACAGTCCCTTTAATTGTATATTTAGGTATCTGAAGGTACCTGTTTAGTCCCTTTAATGGTATCTGTAGGTATCTGCAGGTACCTGTACAGTCCCTTTAATTGTATCTTTAGGTATCTGCAGGTACCTGTACAGTCCCTTTAATTGTATCTGTAGGTATCTGCAGGTACCTGTATAGTCCCTTTAATTGTATATGTAGGTATCTGAAGGTACCTGTAGCATCCTGTGTCTGCGTGTTCTAAACTATGGATTGTGATTGTGAAACTTGATCCAACCCTTTGTATTTCATATTTATTCTGGTCAACACATTCCTAATAACATATTCATTAGAGCATAGATTAATTAACAATAACAGATAGTTCACTAGATGTCGTCTCTTTTCAAGATTTAGGGGTTTTTCGTTCACAATAGGCAGAAGCCCAAAGGGTTACGCGCATGCTCCAGAGAGAGAGTCTCTTCTACGTAGCATGCGGGAAACTCCTTTGGGCTTCTGCGTCAGGGTTATTGTGAACGAATCTTGAAAAGACGACATCTAGTGTTCTATCTGTTATTATTGATTAATCTATCCATTAGATATATTACAATTGTTATGCCTTCTTTAAATTTGTAATTTTTTGGTTCTCTGTACCGTTTTCATGCACTAAAATTAGCTGTTAGTTACTTTACATAAAATGTTTATTGAAGTAAAGTGGGGCCAAGTGTGGGGCCTTCTGGGGCGCTGCAATGGGGGGGGGCGAGCACTGAGGCTGGGATGAAATAGGGGGGGGCAAAGCTCTGCGACTAGAATAGGATAGGGGCCGAGCGCTGCGGGTAGAAAAGCCTTTGCTCAGTTGGAAAGTTTCCACTTGGGAAAATTGCTTGGAAATATGTACTTGAGAAAGTACATAACATCTAGAATTATACAAGTATTAAAGTGTACTTGGGAAAGTACATAACATCTAGAATTATACAAGTATTAAAATGTACTTGGAAAGTACATAACATCTAGAATTATACAAGTATTAAAGTGTACTTGGGAAATTACATAACATCTAGAATTATACAAGTATTAAAGTGTTTAAGGGTTAGATAGATGCACAGTTCACACATATCATTTATGAATTAACTCCCCCTCCCCTCTTCAAAACCATATACCTTATTATTGAAGAACCACTTAGCGGATTTATCTGCTACTGTTAGTTTAGCGGTAAATGAGATCTTGTCTAGTAAACCCTCCTTTAAAACAGAATATTAAAATGCTTAAATTTTGGTTAATTCACCCTGTAACAATTAATATCTTAATGCATAATAATATTTTGCAAAACATTTTTTATTTTTTTTGTTGTAAATTTGGGTAAACCAGGCGTCAGTCGGAATAGGGTTAACAGAATTTCTTAAGCTTTTTCCGGGATACATTATGAAAAAGACGTTGACAATCATTGACTTTTTGTAATTTTTACTAAATCAAAAAAATTATTTTTCTCTCAAATACAACTAAAATGAACACTCTGATTTTTAAATTCTTTTATCTTTGTAATCTAATGTCATTTACCTAAAATATTTCAAATTATGAATTTTGCTGAAAAATCAATGGTTTGCGCCATCAGGTTTCAAGGATGAGAGTATAAAATCAGAGTAATTTTAGTTTCTACAGAATAGTAAATATTCATGTTCCTTGGTAAATTTAGTGCGTGGAACTTCAGACCAGTAAATAGGAACCTAAACATATTGACACAATTATTAAACTTTTCCAGCTTAAAGGGATTGTAAGCGTAATTTCAAGTATGGTCCAATTCTCAACAGAACCCTTGAAACCTTCATCTGATAATTCCAATACGTTTCCCAACAGTAGAAATGCGCACAGGTCGCTTATTTTAGAGAAACCACAATTAAATAATCAGTTTACAAAATTATAAACATTGATATATAATACATACAAAGCTTCATCTTTGCATGGACGGTCACTTAAATGTTTTTAACTTTGGAATTATGAATTATATACCTCTCTTTTTGGTGGACCCTTTCTTTCTTGCCATGATCCTATAAAAATGCAGTTTTAAAAACTAGTAAAATGTAGTTTTTACAAAGGCACCCAGTATATATACGTATCTGTTTCCAAATAGGGAATACAGTATAATGGGTAGTATAAAACTACCATTAGCTAAATGAAATAATATAAAATTAACATTAGTGCCATTAACGCCATTTTCTACTATTTTAATGAAACCCTTCATCACAGGGAGTATATTCTAGTTTATTAGATCTAAAAAAATGGTCAAAAACAATCATAACATCAAAGAATTTGATCTATACAAATTAATAAAGGAATATTTGAACTGTAAGATACATAAAGGAATATTTGATCTGTAAGATACGTAAAGAAACATTGAATCTGTAGGATATGTAAAGAAATATTTGATCTGTAGGATACATAAAGGAATATTTGATCTTGTAGGATACATATTACATAAAGGAATATTGAATCTGTAGGATACATTAAGGAATATTTGATCTGTAGGATACATAAAGGAATATTTGATCTGTAGGATACATAAAGCTGTAGGAAATCTAAAGGAATATTTGATCTGTAGGATATGTAAAGAAATATTTGATCTGTAGGAAATGTTAAGGATTTGATCTGTTGAATAAGTAATTAGGAATATTTTATCTAGATAAAAGGTTAAAAATAAAAATACTTACTTGCAATAAATAATTTGAACTTGTGCTCACGTTTACCAAATCTATTCTTTATCAAACATCTAAAATATAAAACATTAATAGAAATAAGAATTGGATTGAATTAAAAATCCATCTTTTAGACATTGGTATCAGAATGTTGGATACGCAAAATGAAAATAACTTTATAGATGAGAAGAAATTGTCATTTTCTAAAAAATAAATAAAAAGCTTACATTGAATTTAATTTGTGTCTGACTTATTATACAAATATGAAACCCTTAAACGTGAACCTACGTATGTTTATCAATTTGAATTAAAACTACAATATTCTCTTCAAAGTTGTGGCAAAAACTAAAATAATACAACTTTATATTGTCGCTTAGTTTCTTTATTGAAAAAGTTAACACAACTTTTTCTGATTTTGTTTCTTTGTTAAAAAGTTTGTGTTGATTTTAGTTGAAAGTCATTTCCAATAGAACATTTTTAATACAATCATGATTGCAAGAACAGGAAAATTTCTAAAAGTGTTGAGTTAGTCCCAATCTTCTAGAGCTACATGGCAGAATTTACAAAGATGAATGCAAGTCAATAGGACTTAAACATCAAATCAAAGCAGTACATGACATTTGCCCCCCCCCCCTATATTTCTCCCCCTCTATATAATTTTTGAAGAAACAGAACCCCTCGGCCAGGATAGGCAGGGCGCAAATATTTACATATGTAATTATAAAAACAGAACCCCTCGGTCGGGATAGGCAGGGCGCAAATATTTACCCCTCGGCCAGGATAGGCAGGGCGCAAATATTTACCCCTCGGCCAGGATAGGCAGGGCGCAAATATTTACATATGTAATTATAAAAATCACATTTACCTGAAAATTTGGGGATAACATAATATTTGGAAAATTCATAAAAAAACAAGTTATTTAACAAATTTTCCTTTAGAATCACCGTATTTTAATAAACATCTAATTAGTAATTAGCGAGAATAAATGTGCAGAGACCATATAAAGGACTAGCGAGAAAAAGTTGAACTAAGTAGGGATGGTTGATCTACGTCTCTGCTGTACTCTCTGTTCCAGAATTAGTTCAACTATCCGTACTTGGTTCAACTGCTTCTCTAATCTCACTATGCATTTATTCTGATCTTCGGTATAGTTTGAAACAAACAAGATATCTTAAAGAGCTTCAGTTAGTTTAATTCCAACTGAAGATTAGGTCAGAACCATTGACCATTTTGTCTAGAAAACCTTGTATTTAACCTGTGACCCTTGTATTTTACATATAAACCTAGTATTTTATTGTAAACCTATTATTTTACTTGTAAACATAATATTTTACCTGTAAACCTTGTATTTACCTGTAAGCCTTGTATTTTATCTGTATACCTTGTATTTTATCGGTGAACCTTGTATTTTACATGTAAATCTTGTATTTTACCTGTAAACCTTGTATTTTATCTGTAAACCTTGTATTTTACCTGTAAACCTTACATTTTTCCTGTAAACCTTGTATTTACCTTTAAACCTTGTATTTACCTGTTGACCTTGTATTTCACCTGTAAACCTTGTATTTTACCTGTAAATCTTGTATTTTACTTGTAAATCTTGTATTTTACCTGTAAATCTTGTATTTTACCTGTAGACCTTGTATTTTACCAGTAAACCTTGTATTTTACCTGAACACCTTGTATTTTACCTGTAAATCTTGTATTTTACTTGTAAATCTTGTATTTTACCTGTAACTCTTGTATTTTACCTGTAGACCTTGTATTTTACCTGTAAACCTTATATTATAACTGAACACCTTGTATTTTACCTGTAAATTCCTTCGTCTTCCTTTTGTGCATTCTCCACACCGAGAAAGGCCAATCCCTGGTCAATTCATATAATTCATCAACTCATTACTCATTATAGAAATTATTTTATCAATTCAATCAAAATTACAGATTCATTCATCATTTCATCCTTTCATATCTTTAAAGCTCATTCATACAATTTTTCGTATTTACATTAAATTAATTCATACCTTAACAGATTCTTTTTTCATTTTTTTTTATCTTCATAATTAATAATTTATTAATTTATCTATCTAATTCATTCCTTCATTTTTACAATTCATTAATTCTTGATTAATTTTTACAATTCATCAATAAACTCATTCATTAACAAGTTGACAACTCATTATTATGTTAAATAATATTTTTTTCATAATTAATTAATTCATCATTCATATTTACAATTTCGAAATATTTCCTGAATGATATGCTTTCCTTTTTACCGTCTGTCCAGCTTTTAAACCTGTCTAGACTGCAGAGGTCTAGTTCATCCTGGAAAAGATAAGTTTACAAAATATCTAGTTCAATGATTGTTGTTGACATGCATTGTGCTTTTAAGAAAAAAGGGGCTGTTCAGATATTTAACACTTTGCCTGATAAACTAAGACGGAGATACCCTTATTTATCGCATGCAGACATATTTCATCTGCAGAATCGCTAACAATTGCTAATAAATACATGCAGCGTATAGAATTTTTACGAATCATAAATATCTAAAATCTAAAAAAATCTAAATCTAAATATTTGTAAAATATTTCAAGGATTTTCTAGATGAAATGGACCGAAACATATTTGCATGAAATAAACAAGATTTTTAAGTCGTTCCTGATAATTTTTTAAGCAAATATAAGAGAAATGCATCTAAGGAAGCTTATAGAGAAACGGGTAGATATCCTAGTTCTTAGATAGATATTAAATATATTAAAAATAACAGATTGAAAACTATTCTTAAAAAACCTGAACATCACGTTGTTTTTACATATCATTCATTACATTTTATCTGTGCTTATAGCCCATTGATAATATGTGATATGTATGTAAATATGCAGTTTGCAAGTTGCTAATAGCTAGAGATGAATTACAGATTGATGAAAACAGTTTCCCAAAACATTAAATTTGCTAATAGCGCATTATAATAGTAAAAGGAGCATTATAAAATAATAATTTAGGATAGAAGAATAGATTGAGTCTCTCTGCTGCTAATAGCTTAGGAAAGAATAATAGTATATCAGAACATGTAGCTAGATACAGAATAAAATAAGAATTAATGTTCTTTTAACACTAGTAGCTAGTTATAGAATGACAGCTAGTATTTAGTATGTAATAGCTTGGGGAAGAATAATAGCTTCTTAGAATAGCTAGATATAAATTAATAGCTTCTAAAAACACTTGTAGCTATCAATATAAGAATAATAGCTAGTATTCAGGTGCTTAGGGAAGAATAATAGCTTCTCAGAACACCGATAGCTAGATAAGAAATTAATAATATTAATAATAAATTAAACATGTGCAGCTTGATATAGAATAATAGCTAGTGTTCATGAGCTTAGGGAAGAATAATAGCTTATCGCCGAACATGAATAGTTTCAAGCTAGATGATTATCAAATGTTTTGAAATAAATGTTTTTATTTTATTTAAAATACCTTCAGCCATTTAACTGTAGGAGCAGGATCTCCAAATATCTCTAGTTGTACGTACGCATTCTCATCCTTCAAATACGCATTTATTTAGTCCTTCAGTAAATACTAACTCTTAAACGCACTTTTATAGTTAGTATGTGTAAGGGCGGTCCAGTGTGAGAAATTTTACAAAGTTTAATTGAGTCTATGACTGAAAATTTTAATATACTAGATGAAGGGCCCGTAGCTACCCGTGGAATACAAATATTAAAAGAATTTAGCCTATGTCACCCCCAGGCTACCCATGAGTGCCCACAAACAATATCAGCCCATTCGGTCCAGCCGTTTGGCTGGCTATGGGAAAATTATATCTGGATGTCTTGTTTTATTGCATAGATTGTTAAAAAAAAATATTTAGTTAGCATGAACTATATAACCGAAAGCATGTCAAAACTACTATTTTTTTCTTCTAAATTACGAACCGAATTTTAGAAAAAATTGAAAAATTTTAAATATCTCAAATATTCTGTTCCAAAAACATATCATTAAAAACTATCTTAAAAACTATCATAAAAACTATCTTTAAAAACTATCATAAAAACTATCTTTAAAAACTATCATTAAAAACTATCATTCAAAACTATCTTAAAAACTATCTTTAAAAACTAACATTAAAAACTATTATTAAAACTATCTTTAAAAACTATCTTTAAAAACAATCTTTAAAAACTATCATTAAAAACTATCGTTAAAACTTTCATAAAAAAGATCTTTAAAAACTATCACTAGAAACTATTATAAAAACAATCATTAAATACTATCTTTAAAAACTATCATTAAAAAATTTCATTAAAACTATTTTAAAAAACTTTCATTAAAAATTATCTTTAAAAAATATCATTAAAAACTATCTTTAAAAACTATCTTAAAAACTATCTTTAAAAATATCATTAAAAGCTTTCTTTAAAAACTATCATTAAAAACTTTCATCGAAAACTATCTTTAAAAACAATCATAAAAAATCTCATTGAAAACTTTCTTTAAAAACTATCTTAAAAACTATCATTAAAACTATCGTTAAAAACTTTCATAAAAAAAAATCTTTAAAAACTATCACTAGAAACTATTATAAAAACAATCATTAAATACTATCTTTAAAAACTATCATTGAAAAATTTCATTAAAAACAATCTTTAAAACTTTTATTAAAAATTATCTTTAAAAAATATCATCAAAAACTATCTTTAAAAACTATCTTAAAAACTATCTTTAAAAATTTCATTAAAAGCTTTCTTTAAAAACTATCTTTAAAACTATCATTAAAAACTTTCATCGAAAACTATCTTTAAAAACAATCATAAAAAATCTCATTGAAAACTATCTTTAAAAACTATCTTAAAAACTATCATTAAAAACTATCGTTAAAAACTTTCATAAAAAAGATCTTTAAAAACTATCACTAGAAACTATTATAAAAACAATCATTAAATACTATCTTTAAAAATTATCATTAAAAACTATCTTTAAAAACTATCTTTAAAAAATATCATTAAAAACTATCTTTAAAAACTATCTTAAAAACTATCTTTAAAAATATCATTAAAAGCTTTCTTTAAAAACTATCTTTAAAACTATCATTAAAAAATTTCATTAAAATCAATCAAACTAAAAATTATATAAAAAATATCTCTAAAAACAATCATAAAAAATCTCATTGAAAACTATCTTTAAAAAAAATCATAAAAAATCTCATTGAAAACTATCTTTAAAAACAATCATAAAAAATCTCATTGAAAACTATCTTTAAAAACAATCATAAAAAATCTCATTGAAAACTATCTTTAAAAACTATCATAAAAAATCTCATTGAAAACTATCTTTAAAAATTTTCATGAAAAACGGATCAAAATTATATTTACAGTTTGAAATTACTCACCTCGTTAGCAAGGAACTTGTCCTGGCAACATTCAGGAAACTTGGGAGCTCCAAACCCTTTTGGAACTAAAGGACTCGAGTCCCTAAAAGGGATTTATTGTAATTATTCCACAAATTAAATACATTTGGGAGAATCTATTATTTTATTTAAGCGATCAGCGAGCTATACATTTTTTAACATTTAATTTTGAAGTTTTTCCTAAAATTTGTCATTAAAAAGCTTAATAATAGAATGTAACGTTGAACACTTTTTAATATATCTTCCAGGTCATGTTGGGTTAAGATAGATAGATAGTTACGGAAGGTTGCTATATTTCACAATCATATTGCAGATATATTTTTCAAAATTAACTATTTGTCATAACTAATGGCTGGCCAGTAGCCACGTACCCAAACATACACATATATATACAGAGAAATTGAGTTTTTGCCACAAATCCCAATCTTCAAATAACTATATCTCTACAACCAAATGATGTAAACCTTTGATATTTCAAAGGAATTGAGTCTTTGTCACAAACTATGATTTTCTTCTCTCTATATCTTAGAAATCCAATGCCGTATACCTTAGCTATTTCAAACTATGAATTCTGTTAGATGAAAAAATTTAAGTTTGACATATCAAAGGTTTACACCATCAGGTGGAACAAATATAGGTATTAGAAAATCAGAGTTTGTTACAAAGACTCAATTCCTTTAGATTATTTGATATAACAAAAATTATAGTTTGAAATGTCTACGGTCTACGAAATTGGGTTGTAAAGATATAAGAATTTAAAAATCAGAATATGTGGCAAAGACTCAATTCCTTTTAGCTTTAACCCTTTCTAGAATATAATTATCTGGTGCCGCAGCCTGGTAGTTTATCAAACTTTGTTTAAAATATTTATTTTTCAATTGAATTCAGTTTAGAAAACTATGGTTAACTTCACCCGATTTTGCAAAAAAAAATATTCGGAATCAAATTTGACCAAAACATAACTTTTCAAACTATTTTGTTTATTTTTGTTTTCTTCAGATAAAATCTAACAAAAATCAGAAAATCCCATCGATACAATACAATCTGAACCCTTTTAATATTTGAGGATAAATAATTGATACATCAATTACTAAAAATCAACAATTGAAAGAAATTTGTAATCAACAAGTGGAGAACAAGAAACGGTCACTGGTCAGGGAAGATCCCACAAATAAACAAATAAAAAAATATTCCAATAACAGCCGAAAAATATGAATAAGTGAAAATATGTAAAGATGATATTACATTTTGAGAAGAATAATTCTGACGTGAAAATTTTCTTTTACTTTAAGAATTTCCTTAAATTCAAATATAAATATAATATTTTTTAAAGAAAATATCAAATATTTGTACAAACACAATATTGGAAAATTTTCAAACATTTTTACACACTTTTTAAAAAAGAATTGAGTCATTGCATGACACAAAATAATAATTTTCTAATCCCTATTCTATGCAACCCAACTGTGTAAACTTTGATTTTTCAAACTTAGATTATTTGGTCTATCAGAATTCATAAATTGAAATATTTGAGGTCTAGGACATCGGGTTGCATAGATATTGGGATTAGAACGTCAGAATTTGTGCAAATGACTCCATTCATTTTTAAATATGTCGACACAATATCAGAAATTTCTAAATATTTGATTACAATAAAAAATAAAAAATGTTTCGATAAAACTTACTCTGGTCTAGTCATGATGGAAATTCAGTGCTTTTCTCTACTATTGATTTACATTCTTTAAACTAGGTTTTTCTGGAAAATTGACCTTGTATTCTAGCATTGATCTTTGTAGAATTTGAAATATTTTTTATTCAAAATTCGATTTTTTTTTACCGAGGTTCGTGCCCATCTTCTTTTTCAATTGTGAACATAAAACATAAAAAATTAGTGAATTTTTTGAAAGTTTAATGGAAATCTAATTTTGTTAAAGGCTAATTTTTGAAATTTTTGATCATCCACAAACCTTTCCTTCTGTCATGTGTGGTCCCACATCAAATTTGGGCCCGATCAGTAGAGCCGTTTTACATTTATTGGATACAAAAAAACAATCAGACAAGCATTAAGTATAAATAGATACAAAGAAATTAAATCTTTTAATACTTTCTTTAACGGTTATTCCCTTCTCTAAAATAAAGTTGTGACTCAACTCACACTGCTGTCAATCAGAGGCTGGAGTAAACTCTATTCACTTTTCCGTTCTTTAGACCTTTAGTTCTAACAGTCAAATCTTGAAATATTTGTATCAATAATTTTGCCATCGTATTAGCTTTTAATAACCTTGACACTGCCTGCTATTGTAGTCATTGACCCACAAGAATAGGCATGCCTGCATTGGGGAAATCCGGCTATTATTCCCCCCCCCCTCTTTCTTCCAACTTTCCTTTTTCCCCCATATTTACTTGACCCTGATTTTTACTTAAGTGTAGACAGCGTAGAATAATATAAAGCTGTGTTCTCACAGTTCTACTTATAAAGAACTGAGTTTTACAACAAACTTACATTTTCTAACCCATATATATCTTTGCAAACTGTTGGTGTAAACCTTTGATATTTCAAACTTAGACTATTTGATCTACCAGAATTAATAGTTTGAAATATCAAAGGTCTAGGAAAACGGGTTGCTAAGTTATAGGAATTAGAAAATCTGAGTTTGTGGCGAAAACTCAATTCCCTTTAAACTTCAAATCTTAATTCCCTCATTTCTTGTCGTTTTCCCAGATTTTTAGATAATATCGGATAAACCATGTTTAGATATTATCGGATAAACCATGTTTAGATATTATCGGATAAACCATGTTTAGATATTATCGGATAAACCATGTTTAGATATTATCGGATAAACCATGTTTAGATATTATCGGATAAACCATGTTTAGATATTATCGGATAAACCATGTTTAGATATTATCGGATAAACCATGTTTAGATATTATCGGATAAACCATGTTTAGATATTATCGGATAAACCATGTTTAGATATTATCGGATAAACCATGTTTAGATATTATCGGATAAACCATGTTTAGATATTATCGGATAAACCATGTTTAGATATTATCGGATAAACCATGTTTAGATATTATCGGATAAACCATGTTTAGATATTATCGGATAAACCATGTTTAGATATTATCGGATAAACCATGTTTAGATATTNAGATCTTGGAATACAGATCTTGGAATACAGATCTTGGAATACAGATCTTTTAATACAGATATAGAAAACAGATCTTGGAATACAGATCTTGGATTCAGATCTTTTAATACAGATCTTTGAATAGAGATCTTGGAATACAGATCTTGGAATACAGATCTTGGAATACAGATCTTGGAATACAGATCTTTTAATACAGATATAGAAAACAGATCATGGAATACAGATCTTGGAATATAGAAATATGATTAGGACTGATATTTTTAAGCAATAACTAATAAATACATTCTTTATTAAAAGGTTTCCATTAATTAATTGATTGATTAGAGATCAGAGTCAAATTCGGAGTTAATTAGTATTTGAGCCGGTACCACTTAATTTATTAAATATGTTCCCAGTGTGAGTATTCATACATCATTATTTTTTTAACCCTATCCCTGCTGGGGTACTTGAAAACCAGGATACGCTGGGGGGGGGGGTCAATTTGACCCCCCCCCTCTAAATCCCATGTTTTATGTCCATTTANAAATGGGGGGATATTTTGTAGATAACAGATGATCTAAATATCTGCTTACTTAAGAATACATCTTCAAGTAAAAAATATAAAGAATAAAAAAGTCTTGAAGTGGAAAAAAAATTAATTTTAATTTTTTTTATTGTATTTCTGTTTGTGTAGTAAAATAGAAGAACCCGTATTTCCTGTTTGTGAACAAACAAACTGAAGGATGCAAATGTGTTATAAACAAACAAACAAATAAACACCCATCTACCCAATCAAACAAACCAACACAAATTATAAATAAGAATGGCTTGTATTTTCTTTCAAAACTATTTACCCGAGTCAGGAGGAACCCTAAGGTTTGAACTTGTGTGTGGATATTGTTAATCTAAAACACTTGATCTCAATATACATTGACGGCACTTTGAAAGGAATTGAGTTTGTGGCATCAACTCAGATTCTTTGAGGATCAATGATTGATCCTTAAATTCTAGGTCTTTAAAAAATCTTATCCTATACTGTATATATACATTTATATATATAATCTCATCTATATTTCTGTATTCAACTTTACATTTATATTTTACAAAGAAATATTCATGTTTTGACGGCAATCTTCAGTAGTACATCTTTGAACAACAAATCGTATTAATTTAAATGTATAATTATACAATATTACAGATATCATACATAGGCATTGAAGCCAGCCAATATCTACAATGTAAGCATAGTGTACAATGTTATGATGAAAACAGTTAATATTTATAATTACATTTAATTATTTACGAGACGATGATAGGGTCTCATAAATTCCCTTATCAAGGGTTGTATTACTTGATTATTATTGGATTCATATTAATAGCAAACAATACATTCATCAAGCTTTTGTTTAGCGAACAAAAATATTATTAACATAATCTTGGTGGAAGTAGGATAAAAATTGTCATAAAATTTAGAAAATTATTTGAGTTCGAATTGTTGTTGAGAATTTATATTAAGCTTAAGGGACTGTAGGCAAAGGTTCAAGTGAACCTCCATGTCCAATTTACAATGGTTCCCTATGTTCGAGTAAAAATTATTATATTATAGTTGATTTTTTCAATTCGAGACCCTCTTTGAAATTGACTTGCAAACTTATGCAGTAGAAGATAAAAAAATAAGTTGTCAGACTTTAACACCAGATAAAAAAATTACAATTTCATCCTGATTTTTTCTCAAATAAAGGTTTAAAAAGTACCGTTGTAAATCGGACATGCCAGTCTTTTAAGTGGATGACCACTTGAAATTACAATGACAGCTAAATCTGAATTGACTCTGGAATATCGTCATCAATTGTACTTCCCTTTATAGCGTCTTTCATGAGGAAATAGTTGAAACAGCAGAGAGTCTATATATTGAACAGAGTTGTTAAGTCCTCAAATATTACATATGGAAATGGTTGAAACAGCACAGAGTCTATATATTGAACGGAGTTGTTAAATCCTCAAATATTACATGAGGAAATGGTTGAAACAGCAGAGAGTCTATTTATTGAACAGAGTTGTTAAGTCCTCAAATATTACATGAGGAAATGGTTGAAACAGCACAGCGTCTATGTATATTGAACGGAGTTGTTAAGTCCTCAAATATTACATGAGGTTGAAACAGCAGAGAGTCTATTTATTGAACCGAGTTGTTAAGTCCTCAAATATTACATGAGGAAATGATTGAAACAGCAGAGAGTCTATATATTGAACTGAGTTGTTAAGTCCTCAAATATTACATATGGAAATGGTTGAAACAGCACAGAGTCTATATATTGAACGGAGTTGTTAAATCCTCAAATATTACACGAGGAAATGGTTGAAACAGCAGAGAGTTTATATATTGAACAGAGTTGTTAAATCCTCAAATATTACATGAGGTTGAAACAGCAGAGAGTCTATTTATTGAACCGAGTTGTTAAGTCCTCAAATATTACATGAGGAAATGGTTGAAACAGCACAGAGTCTATGTATATTGAACGGAGTTGTTAAGTCCTCAAATATTACATGTTAATAAATTGTAAAATCATATTACACAGGCTTAAATATGTTCAGTGTTTTGAGAGCTTTAAATTGCTCTGTATTCAACATATACTTTATCTAATGCTTTACAACTTCATAATAAAAGATATAAACACTCCCTTTTTATTTAGAAAACAGTTTGAACAATTTGATTTTGCAATTCAGTTCCTTTGTGAATTAAGGAAAGGGGGGGGGGGTGTAAATGAGTAATCCCGAGCAAGTATTTAATTGAGGAGAGTGAGACCTTACGTCACGTGACAGGGAGTTTATCTCAGACCAAAGCAAAGTTATAAAAAGTACATCGTTAACTGCTGGAAACAAAAATGATAGTATGCAATTCTGTCAATCAAGAAAGAAGCTGGAAAGCTTATCTATCTAAAAAGTGAATAAATGTGTTAAAATGTAAAAACACTCCTTTTTCCGAACTGTGTCCAAGAATAAGATTAGCTGAATCTGGTTCCTCTTGATATGAATGGTTTACCCTGGAGAATAAAATTTATGGAGTATATTTGAAAGTGGTCAACCTTGAAATCAACAAGAGAACAGTGACGATCATAGTTCCAGTAAAACAGAAATAAAATACTTTTAAAGGGACTGTATATGAGTAACTTCAAGTGACTCTCCTTTCATAGAGGAGAATGTATGATTCACAAAGAGTTTATCTGATGAAGAATGACATGAGATCCTAAATATTTAATTTGCACTTTTATCACATTTTTTTCCACATTCAATTAAAATCTTGAAGTCACAGTGCGCTCAACAAATGAAGACTTTTAAAATGGCTAAGAAAAAAAATTGGTGGGGTTTGAAAATTTAGGGAAAATCAATAAGAAAAATGATTATTCTAGCTTTTTGAGAAAAGTTATCTTTTTTATGGATCTACTTGTATGAATTCCATTGTGTTAGTCTGTTCATTTAAAGGCAAGATATAGAACATTTTTTTAGCGCTACAATATGAAAAGAATAAAATTTTTACTCCGACAAGAAGTATAATTCTTACTTTCATGTATCATGTTTATGTCCAAAGATAGCAATAAAGTTTCTATAAAGTTGTTACCGAATTAAATATCTTAAATCCTGGATGAATATAAGTGATTGTAGTATTGATAACGTTAGTGAGGGGGGTTAATCAGGAGGCGCAAGGGGGGGGGGGAAGGATATTGTAGAAAAAACCCGGGATTTTACTCAAGATCCTTAGATATTACTCCAACCCTGTGATTTTACTCCAATCCTTGGATTTCCCTCTAACCCTGGTATTTTACTTCAAACCTGGGATTTAACTCAAAATCCTGGGATATTATTCCAACCCTGGGATTTTACTCCAACCCTGAGATTTTACTCCAAACCCTGGGAGATTTACTCCAAATCCTTTGATGTATTACTCCAATTCTGTGATTTTACTCCAAATCTTGGATTTTATTCTAACCCTAGGATATTACTCCAAACAACGGGATTTTACTCCAAAACCTGGGATTATACTCAAAACCACGGGATTTACTCAAAACCCTGAGATTTTATTCCAAACCTTGGATTTTACTCAAACCCTGGGATATTAATCCAACCCTGGGATTTTACTTTAACCCTTGGATATTACTCAAAACCCCGAGATATTACTCCACACCCTAGGATGTTACTCCAAACCCTAGGATCTATTACTCCAATCCTGTGAGTTTACCCCAAATCTTGGATTTTACTCTAACCCATGGGATAAATTACTCCTAACCCCGGGATTTTAATCCAAACCCTGGGATTTTACACACAACCCGAGGATAAATTAATCCAACCTTAGGATTTTAAAATTCGGTGATGGCAATGGCCCAAACCTCTGTAGAGTAAAAAATTAGATGTTAGTTCAACATTTTACTGAAAACATATTAGGATTTTACTCCATTCCCTGGGATTTTGCTCAAAACCCTGTGATTTTATTGCAAACCCTGAGATTTTATTCCAAACCTTGGATTTTATTCCAAACCCTGGGATTTTATTCCAAACCCTGGGATTTTGTTCCAAACCTTGGATTTTATCCCAAACCCTAGGAAATTACTCCAAACATAGGATTTTACTCAAAACCCTGTGATTTTATCCCAAAGCCTGTGATTTTACTTCAAACGCTGGGAAATTACTTCTACCCCATCATCATCATTTAAATTGTATATATTTTGGCAGTGACGTCATTGACGGAATTTGAATGATTTTAACTGAAAATATACTTGATGAATCCAGGTATTTAATTAATTTGGATTATTTCAAACTAATCATCAATTCTCCAAAATTGAAAATATGTAATAGATAATTGTTTTATGATTGATGAGTGGTCTGGCAAGGAATCATTATTATTTGTAGAACTCAAAGATCCCTGTTATTTTTTCAGAGACCTCTACTTTTATTATTCACCCCAAGATTTTCATGAACACAACCCTATCTATATATAAATTTGGCTTGTCTGTTTGTCTGTTTGTTTGTTTGTACCCAATAAACGTCAAAACGGCTGAACCGATCGGGCCCAAATTTTTTGTGGGACATCTAGGGACACCAGGGAAGGTTTATGAACGATCAAAATTTCAAATATTTGTCTCCATCAAAATTCGATCTTCATTAAATTTTTGAAAATTTTGAAAATCCACGAAATTTTTTGTGAAAATCCGCAAATTATTTTTGTTTTGTTTTACAATGTACACAAAGAGAACATGTTCACAATTAATTTAGAAGATGGGCGCGAAGCGCCCTCTAAGGCTAGTAATTTCAAAAGAGAGCTCAATCTTCCACTTGTATGGAAATCTGCCTCCTCCATAGTTAAAATTGTAGATCCACATAATAATTTGGATACGATCAAATTAGGTAAAAGGGGCATTCCAAAAATGTCTCCAAATGTAATGACGTCTTCTTTAATTTAATGTGAAGAAAAATAAAAAGAATAAAATTAAATGATTCAGTCTCAGCTAAAATTTGAATTAATCATCAGGTTACAAGATTGCTTTAGAAAAGTGGGTAAATATCTATTGACAAATCTAAAAAGCATGGGTTTTGTATTTGTTCGTACAAATCAAAAAGTGGCACGAAGCGGCAAAGATTGTACAAACTGTTTTTATTTCTCTCCAATTGCCTCCGTTGAACGCCAGTTCTCTAACCTCCCACCTTCTCTCTTCAACAGAGTGTTGTTATAAGGATCGGAGAACCAGGATTCCGTCATATTACTCTGGACTACCGGAGCACACAGGCAACCATTCTCTCAACCATTTTCTTAACTATTCTCTTAACCAAACTTTTAACCATCCTCTCAACCATTTTCTCAAATACCCTCTCAGCCGTTCTCTCAACTATTCTCTCATCTATTCTCGTCAACTATTCTCTCAACCATTCTCACAACCATTCTCTCAACCATTCTCACAACCATTCTCTCAACCATTCTCTCACCCCCTCTCTCAATCCTTCTCTCAACCATTCTCTCAACCATTCTCTCAACCATTCTCTCAACAATTCTCACAACCATTTGCTCAACTATCTTCTAAACCATCTTCTCTCAACCATTCTCTCAACCATTCTCTCAACCATTTTCTCAACAATTCTCTCACCCCCTCTCTCAATTCTTCTCTCAACCATTTTCTCAACTATTTTCTCAACAATTCTTACAACCTTTCGCTCAACTTTCTTCTCAACCAATCTCACAACCATTCGCTCAACCATTTTCTCAACCCCTCTCTCAATCCTTCTCTCAACCATTTTCTCAACCACTCTCTCAACCATTCTCTCAACAATTCTCACAACCATTTGCTCAACTATCTTCTAAACCATCTTCTCAACCATTCTCTCAACCATTTTCTGAACCATTCTGTTAACCATTTTATTTAGTCTTTGTGCCATTTTCTTACATTCTTGCAATTTCTTCAACCATGAAAACCCCTCAGTTTGTAAAACATTCGTAACAACTAGCTACTACCTATTACGGTATTTAAACATTTTACATCCAGGCTCTGAACTAGTTTTATGTTGGGATCAAGTCTTTCAAACATTTTCAAATTTTTCTAAACGGATCCTTGTTTAGAAACAATTGAACAAATCTTTACTCGATGTTAACTATTTAAAACTATTTTTTTTTACAAAATTACACATTTTTTTTTATATAAAATTACAAATTTACAAATTTTTTACAAAACGTTTTTCAAAATGTTAAGAATATTACAATTTGTTTCGAACACATAAATCATTCTTAATCTCAATCTAAGAACTAACTAATTTTTATTAATTTTACCCATTATTAGTAACTTTTTCCTTATTACCATATATTCAGTATTTTAAAAATAAAATGATATTTTTTAAAATAAATGTCTCTAATTTGAAGAGAAACACTAATTTTGGCATTTCTCTTCAGGTATTTTAATAGTACAAGTTTTGCAGTGCTCTGTTGTATAGCGAAAGTTACGGTTTCTTTTAATGCATAGCAAAAATGACGTGTTCAAAGTGTTGTGGCAAAAATGACCTTTTCAGTCTTTACAGCAAAAATAAACTTTTTAATTATTGAACAAAAATTACGTTTTAAATATATATATAATTATTTATTTGTTGAAACGGAAATCAGCCCCAGCGACTGAGCTCCAATATCCACCCTGTAAACTTTTCAATTTGTAGGTTTTAGCTTAATTCTGGATATTTACGGGAAATCAGACGGATTATAAATTTAAAAGTATTGGTTTCTGTTTTTAACGCCGTTTTCATAATCGGATGAGTTACACAAACCTTTTAGAAATATTTTTTGAAGCTCTTTCGCATGGTTTGAGTATTGCTGTTTTGACGACTAAAAATTGACTATCCTTCAATATATTTCTCAATACACTCAACTTTCTATAACTAAAACATTCTCGTTTATAAAAACGGTAAAGCTCTTTATACGGAGTTAAAAAAAACATCACGCTCAAAGTCAGTTCTACTGTTTTGTTAATTTTTACAGCTTGCTAGTTAGCTAGTTAGTTTTTTGATCATTCATTAGCTAGTCAATAAGTTTTTTTCTCGATCATTAGCTAATTAATAAGTTAGTTTCTCTATAATACATAAGCCTGTCAAAAACTTAGATTCTCGATCATCAGCTAATCAATAAGTTTGTTTCTCGATCATTAGCTAATTAATAGTTAGTTTCTCGATCATTAGCTAATTAATAGTATAGTTTCTCTATGCTTCATAAGCCCGTCAAAAACGTAATTTCTGAATCATTAGCTAATTGATAAGTTTGTTTCTCTATAATACATAAGCCCATTAAAAATGTAGTTTCTCGATCATTAGCTAAGTATTAAGTTTTTTTTTCGATCATTAGCTAATTAATAAGTTTGCTTCTCGATCATTCGCTAATTAATAGTTAGTTTCTCTATGCTTCATAAGCCCGTCAAAAACTTAGTTTCTCGATCATTAGCTAATTGATAAGTTTGTTTCTCTATAATACATAAGCCCGTCAAAAACGTAGTTTCTCGATAATTAGCTAATTAATAAGTTTGTTTTTCGATCATTAGCTAATCAATAAGTTTGTTTCTCGATCATTAGCTATGTAATGGTTAGTTTCTCTATGCTTCATAAGCCCGTCAAAACCTTAGTTTCTCGATCATTAGCTAATTAAGAAGTTTGTTTCTCGATAATGAGCTAATAAATAAGTTGTTTTTAAAAATCAATCAGAATCAGTATTCAGATGGTTAATTCGATTTTATGCTATTGTCTAGATACTTATTTAGAAAATTGTAACTCAGCTATGTAATAAATATTTATTAATTGTATTTAATGCAAATTTGCTATTATCATTTCCATATTATCCATTTAAAAATTTGGGTTACAGAATTTACCGAATTTTATATTTTATAATTAAAGTTATCCAGTACATTAAAAATGACGATTTAGATTTTTGAGTTTTTATTATTTTCTACCATTAAAAGTTGTTCAGAGTCTTCTACATTCTTTAATTCTATTTAACTCCAACAAGTCTTTTGTACTTTACAAAGAGTTACAATTAGACTTTTTCTATTCATCCACATATCTCATATATAAACTTTTTAAACAGTCAGACAGTTGGATTTTTTAGTTCTTGCATTTTCTATTCATCCACATATCTCATATATAAGCTTTTAAACAGTCAGACAGCTGGATTTTTTAGTTCTTGCATTTTTCAAAAATAAAATTACTTTTTTGAAGTCTCTAAAAATAAATGATTTACGTGGTTTGAGATTATAAATAGTTTTTTTTTCGGCTAAAATGATGAATGGTTCAATGCCAATATTTCCCCTACATTTCACACGGAAATTTGAAAATCTTCAAACTCTGGTTTAATCGAGAGGAATAGTTTCATGTTGAGTACCAAGCAGGGGAAACATAGCAACATTCAGCATAAACTCTTGTCTTTAAAGGAACTGTAGTTGTAATTTAAAGTGACCTTCTGTTGATAGGGTGGCATGTCCGGTTCACAAGGGTACCATTAAAAGCTTTGTCTGATCAAGAATGATTAAATGATTGTTTATTAACATATTCAGTTGGACTTAATATGTAAGCAAATATTTAAAAACATTACACTTAAACTTTGGTTCTTCTTACCATATAATCCTGATGTAAGAACTCCGATAGATGCAATATTTCTACCATTGTCAATATAAATTACAAATCTATGCATAACGAGGATTAATTATTTACTTAGAAAATGTAGGAAGCATTTCTTCTTTCATACTGAAAATTGTTCAATTTACACGGGGCATGACAATAAACATAACATCCAAGACTATTTTAGAACGTTTTTCCACAGATAAGAAGAAACCCTCTTGTTAATAATGATAAAGATTGCATTACAAACATTTCTTGCATGCCTTCAAGTTCATAGCTCACGTTTATCTTTAGAAATCAACAGTTTTCATTGTGGATATCAAGTTATTAGGAGTTCAGCGTTGTCTGAAAAAGTGCCAATCTCGAGTCAAAGATTCAGAGTGCAATAGAATAATTCCGCGCTAGAATAAAAATGAAAATTATCCATTACCCATTAAAGACGATCTTACCGTGACTAGATTAAGTTTTTAACCAAACAAATTGAACCTTCTGACCCCCCCCCCCCTCCAATTATCTGTGGTTAATGATGGTCTCAGATGAATGGTTTGATTTAGTTAAGAAAGAAGACCCTGGTTAAACGTCTACTAAAGGTAAGGAGAAGGAATCATCTTTCAATCAATTTAACCCATTAGTTCAATCCTAGTTTATTCAACAAACATTATCTTTTTTAAGGAGCACCTGCATATACAAAACGTATCATCAAAAAAACATATTCCACAAAACATCAAAACATAACACAACATATTTTCTACAAAACAAATCATCAAAAAACATATCATTGCACATTTTTAGTTTTTCTTGATTAAAAATCAGGTTATTTAAAATTTTGCAAAAATTTTTGCATATTTGAAATGGCATGGTCAAGGGCTTTTCAAAAATGTATAATTTGTCATTTTTTGGACAAATTTTTTTTTGCAAACATTTTACTATAAAACTGGATTTTTCGATAAAAAATTCAATTTTCCCGAATTTGCAATTTTTTTTGCAGATTCTAAAAGTAGAGCACAAGAGCTTTCTAATGATGTATCATTTGTCATATTTGGACATAAAACATGGGATTTAGAGGGGGGGTCAAATTGACCCCCCCCCAGCGTATCCTGGTTTTCAAGTACCCCAGCGGGGATAGGGTTAAGACGCGGCTCAAAATCATTAAATTCGGACTCAATATGTTTTGATATCGTTTTAATATATTGTGATTTGACAGGTTTCGTACTGAAATGTTTCGTTTCGTTGGGATATGTTTTGTGAAGACAAGTTTTGTACCTGCTTCATATATAAACATTGTAAAATTAAAATAACTATTTTAAAATTTTCACAACATTGTGAATGTCGTCTTTGATTAAACACAGTTTGCAGTTTATTGCACAACAAAGAAGGGCTGTGATGTATATCCACCAAATCATTAACCTCGTAGTTTATAAATTTAAAATGTCAAGTTTATAAACAACCTATACAATATTTTAATTGTAAAATTTTTATTACAATACAAATCGTTTTCTAGGTTTACTCGGTATATTTAAAAATAACAATACAGATCGTTTTCAAGGTTTACTCGGTATATTTAACAATAACAATAAATGGCGTTGGGACATTTTATACACTATAGATTAATGAAATGAGAAGTTCTAGTGCTTACAAATTCTAAAAAACTTGTTTAGTTAGTATATAAGATATATATATACTTAAGCATTGATACGAGAAGACATTGAAATGATAAGACATCTGACAGACATAGAACATGGCATATATTTATATTTTCTATCTGTTACACATGTAAGAAATTCAAAACATTCTTGTTACTTTAATCAGCTCGTTTTCCATATTTCTTTTCGGTAAAAAAGATTGAGCATTTTACGCATAAAGCAAGAATAGTTAGTAGTCAGACCATTTACCTGGAAAATTATATACACTTTATTATAGTGTAGAATAAATCTAAAGTTACTTGAATAATATAAAGCGTAACTTTGCTCTTATTGCGATAAAAACCATTAAGAGTTACCGGGTCGCAATGTAACAGTTTCATACGATTTAGTTTTTTTAAATAATGCTACAAATCTATATGGGTATAGTAAATATGTATATAAACTTTGCACTCCTGTAATTTTAGTGAACGCTGCGTTTGACCTGCTTGAGAACAAGAATTATCTAAATCTGGGAAAACTTGCCATTTTTAGAAGCTTCTCAGTCTTCACTTTTTAAAAAGAAAATTCTTTTTAGAAACCAATTATTTTACTAAAAAAAGTTTATTCTTCAAAATGGTGTGTTTAGTACATTATGGAAATCATAATATTAAGTATCCATTAGTACGTATTTTTAAGTCACAGCTTTGAAAACACTTAAATTTTGTTTGAGGTCGTCCTCATTTTCTTCTTTTATACGGAAACCTTTTAACGTTCTTTTTGTAAGGGCATTCAAAATATAGTCCACAACGAGGTGTTTTCTAAAAAGTTTGAGTCAAACTTCCTTAACATATAATTATTTCTGAGTTGCGAAATAACTTGTTCGCACATTATAATTCAATACAATACAAATAGTATATAACATAGAGAATATATTTATTCGAAGACAAATAAATAAATTACATAGGTTGTTATCATTTATAAAAAAAAACACCAAGAATATGAGATATCAAAAATGAAAAATAAATCGAAAAATAGAAAATAATATTCCGAAGAACCCGTTGCCGCCGAAACTGAAATAAATTTAATATTTAGGAGAATGTCAACGTAGTTTTAACTTTTTAAGTGACCCCACATTTATAAGATAATTGTCTGAGCATGAATAAAGAAGAAATCCTAGTTTTTCTGTTTGAAAATAAAAACTTCATAATTGCGGTTTCTGCGTAAAAGTTAATTGCAGATTTATTGAAAGAATTCATGTCTTTACAATTTATATATAAAGGACAATATGATTCTTCCTTCTTTCTTAAATAACGTTTATAGCGTGTTGTGGAGTCAGACGTATAAATCTTTAAACGGAGGATCAAATAAAGTTACAAACTATCTATATTATTCAACAAATGCTTTTAAAGAATAAAAATGATGTAAAAGTTAAAAAGATATTTACTGGTAATTAAGAAGGAAATGAACCACACTAGTGAGGATTTCAGTAAAACTTATTCCTCCACCACCTACAGCAGCACTGAAAACAATATCAATTAAAATTCTAGAAAAAGAATAAAAATATTTGGCCCCCCCCCCCCCCTACTCCGACAAATAAACCCCAATAGGGGAACCAAGAGGAACGAACAAACTAAACAAATATTTAACTAAGATAAGAAAAAAAATATTCCTAAACACTACAAAGCATATTTAAAAAACGTGTTTGTAATTGATTCTGAATTTCTCAATTTAAAGGATGATTAAGATGAAAATTGAGAATAGTGAATAATGTCTATGCATTGAAAAGATAACAGGAATGCTAAAAAAAATTTAAATCAACTTTTTTCAAGACCTTCTTTACTTCCTCATGCTTGATTTCCAATTACCTGAATATGTTTTAAAAAAAACTAAAACAAGAAGAATTTATATGAAGTTTAAAAGAGTTAAAAAATAAAATCCTAACGTTATGCTCGCCCTTTAATAACAAGAGTTTAAAAACTTTGTCTGTTCTTATTGAAAATATGTATATTTTTTGCTGCTGATTTTTTGCAAAAAACAAAGTCGATCAAATGCGCCCGATCAAATATTTAAAAACTTTCATAAAATCTAAAAAAACTTTTAGAAATCGCTAACAAAATGCTCTAAAAAACTTTTGAAATATCTGTTATTTTTAACAAAGGGAGGAACATATTGATATTTTTTAACAGAACTAAATTAAAATACACTTTTTCAGTGTCTTCTGAGGACATATTTTCTTTAGTTAAAAACATATTGTAGCGAACTACAGAATGTAAACAGTGTCTNTGATAGTGTCAGATGGTCACTTGATTTAATCGTTTACAATCGGTGGGGTAGTGATAGTGTCAGATGGTCACTTGATTTAATCGTTTACAATCGGTGGGGTAGTGATAGTGTCAGATGGTCACTTGATTTAATCGTTTACAATCGGTGGGGTAGTGATAGTGTCAGATGGTCACTTGATTTAATCGTTTACAATCGGTGGGGTAGTGATAGTGTCAGATGGTCACTTGATTTAATCGTTTACAATCGGTGGGGTAGTGATAGTGTCAGATGGTCACTTGATTTAATCGTTTACAATCGGTGGGGTAGTGATAGTGTCAGATGGTCACTTGATTTAATCGTTTACAATCGGTGGGGTAGTGATAGTGTCAGATGGTCACTTGATTTAATCGTTTACAATCGGTGGGGTAGTGATAGTGTCAGATGGTCACTTGATTTAATCGTTTACAATCGGTGGGGTAGTGATAGTGTCAGATGGTCACTTGATTTAATCGTTTACAATCGGTGGGGTAGTGATAGTGTCAGATGGTCACTTGATTTAATCGTTTACAATCGGTGGGGTAGTGATAGTGTCAGATGGTCACTTGATTTAATCGTTTACAATCGGTGGGGTAGTGATAGTGTCAGATGGTCACTTGATTTAATCGTTTACAATCGGTGGGGTAGTGATAGTGTCAGATGGTCACTTGATTTAATCGTTTACAATCGGTGGGGTAGTGATAGTGTCAGATGGTCACTTGATTTAATCGTTTACAATCGGTGGGGTAGTGATAGTGTCAGATGGTCACTTGATTTAATCGTTTACAATCGGTGGGGTAGTGATAGTGTCAGATGGTCACTTGATTTAATCGTTTACAATCGGTGGGGTAGTGATAGTGTCAGATGGTCACTTGATTTAATCGTTTACAATCGGTGGGGTAGTGATAGTGTCAGATGGTCACTTGATTTAATCGTTTACAATCGGTGGGGTAGTGATAGTGTCAGATGGTCACTTGATTTAATCGTTTACAATCGGTGGGGTAGTGATAGTGTCAGATGGTCACTTGATTTAATCGTTTACAATCGGTGGGGTAGTGATAGTGTCAGATGGTCACTTGATTTAATCGTTTACAATCGGTGGGGTAGTGATAGTGTCAGATGGTCACTTGATTTAATCGTTTACAATCGGTGGGGTAGTGATAGTGTCAGATGGTCACTTGATTTAATCGTTTACAATCGGTGGGGTAGTGATAGTGTCAGATGGTCACTTGATTTAATCGTTTACACGAATCTGGTAAAAAGTATAATTTATTTTGATAATTTCGAAAGAAAGTGTCAGGTAAAAGTATCCGGAAATTGTAGATAATTGTCTGAAAAGGAAATGTCAGAATTAATATTTTTTTCCGAAAAGTAATTGCCTTATTATAAGTTAATGAATTGTCCTAAAGACATCAAATTGTCGAGAACCAAATTGTCGAAAGGAATTGTCCCGAAGACAGCCAATTGTCTATAACTAAAATTTCCCAATAAGCAGTTCTCTTTCTCGAAAGGAATTGTCCCAATAAGTAATTCATTTTCTGGAAAAAAATTGTCCAAATAATAGCTAATTGTCTGGAAAGGAATTGTCCCAATAACAAATAATTGTCTAAAGCAAATTGTCCTAATTATCCGTCTACTTTCTGAAAAGGAATTGTCCTAAAGCCGATTTATTGTCTGGAATGGAACTTTCCCAATTAGTAATTTGTTTTCTGGAGAATTGTCAAGATAACTATTGTCAATAAAAAAATTGTCACAATTGCAATAATTAGTTTTTGGAAAGGAATGGTCCCAAAAGAACATGTCCCCCATTATGATAAAAATTATCTATCAATTTATTCGAATTGAAAAATTATCTACATCAGACAATAAAATTTATAAATAGCGAGCAGCGGTTGAACTAATTAAGACTCGTCATAATAACTACTTCTGTGATGCAATCTGGGCCACACTAGAGAAGCGGAACAACTAACCGTTAAGATCAATTACTTTTTGCTATTCTTTAATTTTAACTTTCAAATCGAATTTTTAACTCTTTGTTATAGAATCTTTTATCAATATCTTTAGATAAATATCAAATCGGAAAATAAAAAATATCTAAGTGAGCATCTTCACTTGTCACTACCCTACCTATATAATTATCCATCTATCCAAGAATATCTTCTATCCAGCCAAACAAAGACGACCCAGCTTCCTCAAGAAACCCACCTAGTAGCTTTCAATCTATTCCAACTATGGAAAATGACGTGAAAAATACCCAAAGCTTAATAAAACCATGAAAATGAAAACTATTTAAAAAATTTTAGAAGTAATGTGATATTTCTCGATTTAGGTTGACGGACGAAATGAAGTTGAATTCAATTTTGAAAGAAATTGAAGAATTAAGAAAATTTTTATCGCAAGGATTGATTTACAAAATAAATGAAAAAAAGCTTCCTTGATGTTCGTCTTCCATGTTTTGGAAAGGACGGGGTTCACTGTAGTAAAAATATTTTGTTAAGTTTTAAAAACTTTTGCACTTTTTTTCTTCTAACCTCTACCAATGACCGGTGAACATCCCCCTCCCCCCTCCTCATACTACCCTTGATCAATTGATCAATCATTAAGAAAAAATAATCACCATCTAATTAAACTTGGCATGTTCTTTACAAATCTCATCAAATTCAGACATTATCTTAATTATTCTGTCATGTACATTTTATCAGAATTATAATTTGTTTTGCACATAGGATCTGGTTTGAAAAATCAATACATGACTGTCCAAAAAACAAAATAAATTAAGTTCTTTGTAGTTGTACAATATTACAGAAAGCATATATGTTATCTTTCCGGATTATTTCGGTAACTATACAACATTCTATACACAAAAAAAATCCACAATAAAACCGTTAAGTTTTGGTAGCAAACAATCCAAAGTATGATTTCGAAATTTAAGGATTAAAATTTTTTTGCTGCTTGGCAAAAATGTTTCTAGCAAATCAGCTGACTGGAATTGAAATGACATATCATTTAAAAGTACATATGAAAAAAGAGGTATTGGACGCCTACTTGTTATTTAGTATAGTTGTAGTTTGCTCAAAGGTATGATGTTCCTCTGTAAAAACAGGGCTAGGTCGGAATACTCCTGAGCTTGAGGAACCTTGAAAATGAAATTATTATTTTAAAACAATTGTCTTTTACAAGGAAACTATCATTAGATGGTTGCACTTCATACCTGGACTTGTAAATACACTGCTTGGGCTGAAACCTTCACTTGGGCTTAATCTAAAATATGTTTTTGAATTTAGAAAATCCGCATAAAGTAGAGAATGCCAACAAAATAGAGAGAAAATATAACGTTATAAAAATGTATAAGATGCTAAAAACTAACCTAGAACCTAGTGACACTCTGTTCGGTCCACTTTGTGTGTTTCTTCTTGAGCCCTGAGTGTTTACAATTCGTCCATCCCTATCCTCTGTTCCACTAGTTTCCTCGGAGTCTTCTATCGTCCCATACATATCTTCCGTTTCATCCATCTTCTTAGGTTTTTCCAAATCAGTCGCTTGCCGAGAATCCTTTATGGTTTCACTCATATCATTTGTTCCATCTTGTTTTTGGGACTCTGGAAATTCTGTTGATTCCAAAAGTTTAATATCAACATCATCATACTTGCTACTTCTGGCACTTGACACATCAAGAGGACTCATGGTAACATCATGTTGATCCATCATATATATATAGTGAGCTGCACCAGCATCAACAACTTCAGTGCTGTCTTTTTTCTTCTTATTATCATCAGTACCTAGATACATTTCTGGAAATAAGAAAATTGTCTCTTGAAAAAAATGAAAAAAATTTCAGAAACTTGTTCATTAACTTTAAAAAGAACTTAGCTCCTTTTATAATATACTCATAAGCTTAATTTATTCCAAAGACCTTACTTGTAGTTGCAAGAGCAATATCTGTAATTGAATCTACAGAGTTGTGCGCTGTTACAGAGAAATCTTCTTCATTTAATGCATCAATACTTTCATCAGCATAATCTTCAGAGGTTTCTGGACCAATTTCAATATTTTGGTGTACTTCACTAGTAATATTGAATTGATCATTTACAGCTTCTGATTCTGTTTTTACAGTGGTTGATTTTGATAGGTCAGAGTTTTTAGAAGTCTCATCTTTCAAATCTAATGCCTCTGGCGTTGATGGATTGGAATGTTGGTCACTTTTACTCGTGGACAAAGAGACAAGTGCAGAGTCAGTTAAGAGCACTTGATCTTCTTTTGTTGATGGATTGGAAATCTGGTCACTTTTACTCTTGGACAGAGAGACAAGTGCAGAGTCACTTAAGAGCACTTGGTCTTCTTTTGTTGATGGATTGGAAATCTGGTCACTTTTACTCTTGGACAGAGAGACAAGTGCAGAGTCACTTAAGAGCACTTGGTCTTCTTTTGTTTCATTAGAATCCGATTCCTTATGGGATTCAAACTCCTTTGCAAGATCCTGGATTGGTAGAAGATTGGATTGATTTCCAAACCCAGGTTCATCAGATAAATCCAATTCAGCTTGTCTTAGTCCATTCTCTGAATTAACCCGGAGAGTTAGAAAAGAGCTTATTTTAAAAACAGGCACAGACATAGAAATGTTAATTGATGTTGGGGAACTTTCCTGAAGGGCATTTACCTAAACGACAATTTTCCAAATGCTGTTTTCCAAGTGGCAACTTCAAATGTTTTAGCTGCAGCGCTTGGTGAAAGGCCAAGAACTGGCAAACCGTAATCTAATTTCCATGGAATTTTTTCCTCTTTTAAACAATATTGATATTGAAAAATCGCCCTTTGAGAAAGGAATCATTTGTGACAAAGTTTATATTTGAAATATATGCATCTTTTTGATTTGGTTACTTAGGAAAATCTCAGCACCTTTCAATAAAAAAGTTAAGAGCTAAAAATGTGTATTACCATTCACTGTTGAGTAAATGTGTTTCATCAAAACACTACTCCTAAACAAAATATACTGTTAAACATTTTTTTTAAATTGACAAATGAGGATGATGATTTTATATTTTTATCACTTTTAACAGATTTTTAGAAATAAGAATACACAAATTTATAATTATTTTAATTCAAAAATACTTGCCCATGAATATTTTTGTCATTGTCTCCTGAAAGTTTACGTTTCTCATCTTTAAAATCATTGAATAGCTTCCGTACAATAGGAACTTCAAACCCTGAATAGGAAACTGGTTTCTTTATAATTAATTAAAGAGCAAATAACAATTGCCTGTTGTTCTCTTATAGATTTAAATAACAAACCAAAATATTTTTAAATTGATTATTATATTGAAAAGAGGATCATTAATAAATAGAAGATTGTTTGAGACACAACTAGCTCAACCATATTTTAGGACAACATTTTTTTTTACAAAATTACAATATTAAACCTGTGAATCTAGAACTAGAACTTTCTTCTCCAACTCCTTGTGAAAAATCCAATCTGAATATTTAAGTTATCTTTATTAAAATATCGTCGACGTCCTACAGTGTTGAATCCCCCCCCCCCTTAAGAATAAGTGTAGATTTAATGCCTGTAAGAAGTTTTTGTGGGGGCACTAGGTCACGCCCCCCCCCCCTCCTCAGTTAAGGCCCTGTAATCGGTTTCAAAAAGACAAAAATAAAATTACCTTTCATCTAGGGGTCCTCCTAATAATTGACAAACACACAACATCGTCAAATAAATACTTAACATCATTTTAATCAATTCTTAGTTTTTAATAAGTTCACTCAAATTGTTGACACTTTCGTAGTTTTCTCTCCGAGGATAAGTTTACAAATGTACTGTCAAGAGCAAAATACAAATGTTTAGTGTTTACAATAGTTCACAGTATACACGTTACTTTAATCTGAATACTCTATTCAAAACATAGAGGGGTTGAAACACTTAACTAGGATTTTTGGATTTCAATAATTTTTAAATATTTTTTTATATTTTTTTATTGTATCATACATTTTTTTTGCCTAAACTGTATATTGTAAAAATCTAAAATAGATAATCTTTAAACAGGCCCGAAATTTAAAAGAGTATCGTTGGAAAAAACTGCCGAGTTTCCTTTTTGGGGTCTTAAAATTTGTGTAGATTTTGATTTAAGAGATTCGAAACAAATGTGAATATAAACAAACTGAATAAAATGATATTTAATAACAAAAATATTGATATTCACAAAACTGCCTAACCCCATTCGTGAAACCCGGGTTTTAAAACTGGTTTTCAGAACGATACCCTGTCTTAAGTTTTGGGCTCAGAGGTATAGTCCATGTTAAAACTGAAATCAGCGGTATCTTACCTGTTTTCAAAATAATTGATATCAAGAGTAAACCATTTTTTAAAATGATTTTTTTCGATTTAGAAGAAACAATATTGCCAAATTTACTAAATGAATTACGTAACTTATTATTACAAAATGCAAGTATTGTATCAGTTCACCCAACCCCCTCCCACCCTCCTTCATATACTCAACTCAATATCCTTTTATGCTATCATAACAGTTGAATGTGGATTTCCTTCAATCTTATTTTCTCTTTTATTTGATTTCCAACTTCTCAAAAATCCCTTTCTTTAAGTTAAGATTGAAAGCATGTCTTGAATAAAAAACAGTTTATTTAGACATTCACTTTACAAGTGTTCCAATTTTTTCTTTTTCTGTTCTTGAGAAATATCTTGGAATACTGCAAGTTGTTAATATTAATTACTTTTATCCCACCTTACCAGCTAAATGATAACAAATTCAAGCTATTGTTTGTTGTTCAACAAGAAATAAGTAACTCTTTTAGTTACTATCTAACTTTATGTGATTTTCTGTATAACATATAGAGTAGACAGAATCAAAAGATATTTTTAAGCATATTTAATACATATTTAGATGTGTTATCATGAGGATGGGGGGGGCACATAGATTCAGCCTGCTTATAAACAGTCTCATTAATTTTTAAGACAGTGTTGACTTTGAAGTGTCGCAACACCCTAAGCTTAGATTTTACCGCTCTAACTCACTTATGCTGTAGCCCTTTACATGTACATTTTAGCACTGTAAAGCGCACTTGTTGTTAGTTTTGGTTTCTTAGAAGTAATTTTCAAAATTAAGCTTGAGAGCGTCAGACCATTAAATGGCAGTGAGGGAGGGATTCTCTAAAAAAAATTGACCTACTTTGGCCATTGTTTACAAAGTATGATATTGAGAGAAAGCATATTCTATCAACACAAATATGAGGAACTCTATTTTATACAAATGTGTCTTATTTTGAGGAACTATCTCCTTGGTTCAAGGTCAATGTTAAGCCCCTGAAAAGTTATTAGAGGTTTGAGAATACATAGTATTTGTGTACATTTGTACTTTACTCTCTAATCTCAGTTAATGAAAAGTCTCTAGCAAGAAAGTTAAACATGAGGGAACTTGTACTAATCTTGGTGATTGTAACGGTTGTTAGAAAATCTGCATTGGAAAAGGAAGCTTTTTAACGTTCATATTGAGCCTTTACACAAGAAGTTTATTCATTTTAAAAAGGAGATGGAAAGTTTTTCAATATTCTTAGTTTAAAAGCTTCTTCATGTTAAGTGGGAAGGTGGGGGAAATCCTCACCTAGTCTCGGCCTTGAGGAAAGTCTTAAAATCCGGCGAAATTCATGATAGTGATCAGAATGCCCTGAATCTTGGAGCAAGGTTACGGAGTCGACGTGACCTTTCAGAAACGACAGCTGAACCATCTTTCTTCAAAAATATCCTCTTCACGAAAATTAAAAAGGAAACTATGGGTTTTAATGAAAATCAATTTTGTTTTACACTACAGTAATTTACTTGATGTTTTGTCAGTTTTCAGTATTTTTCAATGAGACAATGATTTTTATAAACTTCCCCCCAACCCATTTATAAAATGTTTCTTAATCTTTCTTGAATTCAGAAAACACATGTATGCTTGAGATAAAAACGTTCATTTTATAATGATTGTAATGAAAAAGGAAATTACTCCATAATTTCTAAAGATGGCCGAGATAATTGATAAAAAAGCAAATTTCTACTTTCATAAATTCCCAAGTGCAGGTAAGCATAAACTTTTAATATTCAGGTAGGGGGGGGGGGGGGTTTTCAGAAGAATTTTGAATCATTTATTAATTTTTTATTCGTTTGTTACTAGGAACCTACTATGGAGACGAAAATCCAAATGAAGGGATTTAAAAATGTTTATTTAAACTTAATTTAATGTATTTAAAACTTAAACAATAAAATTCAAGAAACACTACTTCATTATTTTTCTTTAAAACTTTCAATTCAAAGTTTTGAGTTTTCCAACAGTGTTCAATTTAAACATTTGATGAATAGGGGAACCCTATCCCTGGGCTAACAGTGAAGGATACATCGGTGCACAAAAGGAAGATTTTTTTGAGAGAGAAAATATTATTTTTTTGAGAACTCAAGATTTCATAAATCTCAGTTTTTATTAATATTTATTCCAAAACACTTGCTGATTTAAATGATTAAGACTGAAGTTTCTGAAACAAAATAAGGGGTTTCCACAAAATATGAGAAATCAGAGACGATTAAACAGTATTCATTCAATCTTACAATTTACATTTAATACGTTTACTGTTACTTTCTTAAATCAGTTATTATCCATAATAGACTAATAGACTATTATAGTCATTGACTTTCAAGCCATATCTTTATGGGTAACCCTGTAAGTATAATTTAAAGATATATTATCTTTAGATATCATTCTTGAATTTTATCTTTTATTTGAATTATCATTTTTCCAATTTATAAGTATTTCAAGAAAATTTAGACACATTTTATTTTGACGTTTAAAAAGTTTTTAAAATATTTTCAAATTTCGTTGAAAATAGTCTAAGGATATATTTTGTGTCTTTTTATTTTAATTATTAAAAGATGTTAACTTTCTCTTAAATAAAAGCTCTTTTTGTAGAGCATAGCTAACAGCAGTCCATACACTACTCATTCCAGCAGCTTTGAGAGTTCAACAGCTGGTAGTTCAAATTCAGGCTATTCAGGCAGATCAGGCAGACATTCATCTAAATATTCAACTCCAAGCAATAGCTACGAGCATTTAGGCAGCTCATCAGACAAGCAGTTCAGTTATGCTTCAGGTTCCAGCTTTCCTTCTTCATATACAGGTTCCTCTTCATATTCAGGTTCTTCTTCAATATCTCCATTAAGCTTCTCTACATCATCGATTCGTCCGTCTTCAGATTCAGTGTTTTCAGGATTCCTCCCCTCGGCACCAACAGAACTATACAACAAAATGGCAGAGTCCGTCAAAACATTTCTGTCGTATCCAATGGGTGGTCCGAGCGCTGACAAATATCCTGTTAACTTTTCAAAAACATCTTCATCATCAACATATCCTGGAAGCATACTTACAACCCCATATTCAGGAACAAGCTCATCCCCCTCTCCTTCCTCATCATTTAAAGCACCAAGTTCTACTTATACTCCATCAGCAACATATAGAGGATCAAGTTCTTCATATTCTCCTAAAGGATCAAGTTCTTCTTACTCCTCTGCAGGATTAAGTTCTTCTCACTCCTCTGCGGGATCAAGTTCTTCTCACTCCTCTGCGGGATTAAGTTCCTCTCACTCCTCTGCAGGTTCAAGTTCTACTTATTATCCAAAAGGATCAAGCTCTTCTTACGCTCCGGTAGGATCAAGCTCTACTTACACTCCTGTAGGATCAAGCTCTTCTTACGCTCCTGTAGGATCAAGCTCTTCTTACGCTCCTGTAGGATCAAGCTCTTCTTACGCTCCGGTAGGATCAAGCTCTACTTACACTCCTGTAGGATCAAGTTCTACTTACGCTCCTGTAGAATCAAGTTCTACTTATGCTCCTGTAGGATCAAGTTCTACTTATGCTCCTGTAGAATCAAGCTCTTTTTACTCTACTGCAGGATCAAAAGGTACTCATTACCCTTCTTCATCATTTTCAGGATCCAGCACTGTTTATTCTCCTTCATCATCAATTATAGTAGCATCCTCTTCATCAATGCCTTCTGCATCCGATACTAACATAAAATCACTAAGCCCTTCATCATCTTCAACAACAACAGGATCAAGGTCTTCTTTCTCTTCACCTTCAGATGTAATAGGGCTACCATCCCCCCAAGCTGTAATCCCAAGTTCTCCTGAAGCCACAAAAGAGAGTGGAAAAATATTAATTCCCGAGGTAATCTGTTTTTTAGGGAACAAGTTATATAAGGGGAGGGGGCCGGGGGGAAGTTCAAAGTAAGACGAAGGTCATGATTTGATTCAAAGTTAGTTGTTGTCCATTAACTTATTTTATCAAATAAATATTTCAGAACCTTGCTGAATTTTGGGATTTACGTGAACAGCTGAAGGAGATGATTGAAATGTTGAATGATGATTTACCTGACGAAGAACTGGATGCAAGATATAAAGGTTTAGATATTTTAACTCAAGGATTAAATGGATCCACTCAAGGATTAGATGGATCCACTCAAGGATTAGATGGTTCCACTCAAGGATTAGATGGATCCACTCAAGGATTAGATGGATCCACTCAAGGATTAGATGGATCCACTCAAGGACTTGATAATTCTACTCAAGGATTAGATGGATCCACCAAAGGATTAGACGGATCACCTCAAGGATTAGATGAATCGGCTCAAGGATTAGATCGATTGGCTCAAGGATTAGATGAGTCGGCTCAAGGCCTAGATTTGATAACTCAAGGATTTGATGAATTAAGTGATGGAGAAGATGACTTAAATCTAGGTCTAGATGCATCAACACAAGGAACAGATTCAGAAACCCAAGGAGTAAATGAATGGACTCCTGAAGAAGATATTTTATCGGACAGATTCAAGTTTTTAATGAACTCTGCAGACTCCATGGACGAAAAAATAAAAAATTTAATCAGCTCTCTACAAACACCTAAATCTATCCTTGCTTCAGATACACCTACAGGGGGTATAAACCCTGATTCTATTCTACAAAGGTTAAATTTTAGAAATGTTAAATCTAGACTTCAAACCATTTCTGGTAACAAAGAAGAGTCGGCTGAACTTCTGAATGATTATGATCAAGAATCGAACAGAATTGTAAAGGAAAACAATTCTCCCGCTGGCTTAGGTCCAAGAAATCTAAATACTGTCACTGGTTCTTTAGCATATGATTCTTCTCCTAATCCTAATTTAAGTAAAATTGAACAGGTCTCCATTAAAAACCCAACCATCATCAGTTCAAACTATAAACTTCCTCGTACTTTGGTTAATCTTGAAGAAGCATCACTTCTGCAACCATCAATGAATGAAGAGAAGCGTCAGACTGAGCCTATATCCGGCAATACCAGGAGTAGAAACCAGGGGGTTATATTTTTCCCACGAACAGCTCCTGAATATGTTGAATATCCTGCTCAACCTTTGACTGGACGTCTTGAGGATTTAACTCAGGAATTGATTTATCTGATTCTTCAGGCAAAATAATTCCATTCATTTTCATATTTTTTCATTTTCATATTTTTCATTTTAATATTTTTTCATTTTCATATTTTTTCATTTTCATATTTTTTCATTTTCATATTTTTTCATTTTCATATTTTTCATTTTCATATTTTTTCATTTTCATATTTTTTCATTTTCATATTGTTTCATTTTCATATTGTTTCATTTTCATATTTTTTCATTTTCGTATTTTTTCATTTTCATATTTTTTATTTATGTTTGCCCTTGCCAGATAAAAGTTAAGAAAGAACAATTTAATTTTTAGTAATAATAAATCAAATAAAGGAAGCTAAGGAAGTTTCTGGCTTATCTCCCAAGTTCTCTGCGTTCCCTGCATTATCTGTAGAACTCCGTAATGAAGATAACTCTAAAAAAAGGAACAATGATGCTCCACCATCTTTAGATAGATCTAGCACAGAAACAGGTTTAAGAGTATTTTTGGTACATGTTATAATACTTTTCAAATGCTGATACTTCCCAAATTCACAATTTCCCAAGTGGCAACTTCTCAATGCAATTTACAAAGCGGCAACTTCCCAAGTCTGTCCTAGCCGCAGCGCTCGCCCCCCCCCATTGCAGCCCTTGGCGCCACAGAAGGCCTATTCTGACCTTTGGGAAATGCAGCTTGGGATATTTCACATTTGGGAAGTTTCCACTGTTGAAATTGTCGCTTGGGAAGTTGCCTTTTGGAGAATGACTTTGGGATAATACCTATTCTCTGTAAGCAGCTACACTTGTTGTTCTTTAATTTTACTATTATCAGACTGTTGACTTGAATTTTCAGGAACAAGGAACGAGGACGAATCTAGAATCCTTTCCAGAACATTCTTTCCAGATCAGCAAGGCAGACCTTTAGATCTGAATCAATCAGCTAACTTGAGAATGACAGCTGATGAATCAACTGATCCTCAAGACATCTTTGCTCAACCGGAAAGTCCAGCTGAACAAACAAAAGGTAAAATATTCAAACTGCAGTCTCTGATCTCTGATCTCTGAACTCATCTTAACATTTTACTTTTTCAGGTGTTCTTGCATTACTTGTTACAGATGAAAACAATAATCAATTCCTTGTACCAGCATCAGCGTTGAAATAATCAGTTCCTTGTACCAGCATCAGCGTTGAAATAATCAGTTCTTGATACCAGCATCAGAGTTGAAATAAACAGTTCTTGATACCCGAATCAGCGTTGAAAATAACAGTTTCTGGCTCTTCACCAGATTCAGAATCATTATTTCCGAATCTATAGTGTCATCAGTTCTTAAGCAATAATTTTGTAGAAATTTTTTTTCCCACCATTTATGTATTTTTTATTTTCAAAAGACTCATATTAATAAATATTTATAAATTGATATTTATCGAATTCTAGTCGGAGTGCCCCGCGTTGCCCAGGTCTACATTATTATTCATAGTCATAGTAATTCCCGCAGTTCACCCGCGTTTGGTCTTAAATTTTGATTTTAGTCCCCGTCGTTGCCCGTGGAATTAAAAAGAATTCCCTACTTTTTAGGCCTTTTTTGAACCTCCAGGGTTCTCTCAAAATATGTCAGCCAACTTGGTTCAGCTGTTAGGCCAGCTACAGCTAGCTTATAAATATACAAATATATGAGCGAAGAGCTTTATTATGTAACGTTTTATAATTTTTTGCATCTCGAAAGATCATTAGAATTGAATATTCGTATGAAAATTCTTCCTATAATAGCATTCGAATATCTGTTTTCTTGTAATTGAACAAATGAACTTGTGGTTTATTTTAATTCCATTTAGATTCATTTTCTCTTTTTTTTAGATAAAGGGAAGTTAGTTTTAAATACATGTATTTTTAGTATTAGTATTGGACAACATCCATTCATCATAAACTAATTTTTTCCTTAAATCTATTATATTTCAAAGCAACATATGTTTGTTGAATAAATTTGACTAGAGACGTGAACACTACCTAATAGATCCCGATTTTTCCTTAGGGGTGGCGTTGATTATCTAAAATCTATAGTAAAATAGAAGTATCAGAATCTGATTCTGCGGCCAGATTTAATAAATAGCGAGAAGTTATTGAACTACGTAGACTTCAGTTCAATCACGTCTGGCTAAGTTGAAGTTAAACTTTATCTACGCAGTTCAACTACTTCTTTCTATTCTTAAAATGTCATCCCTGTTATAGGTCGCATTTGAGCAAACAGCAAGAAAATCAACTGTATGGTTAATTGAACTATACTTCTAATAGTTCAACTATGTATGGTTAATTGAACTATACTTCTAATAGTTCAACTATGTATGGTTAATTGAACTATACTTCTAATAGTTCAACTATGTATGGTTAATTGAACTATACTTCTAATAGTTCAACTATGTATGGTTAATTGAACTATACTTCTAATAGTTCAACTATGTATGGTTAATTGAACTATACTTCTAATAGTTCAACTATGTATGGTTAATTGAACTATACTTCTAATAGTTCAACTATGTATGGTTAATTGAACTATACTTCTAATAGTTCAACTATGTATGGTTAATTAAACTATACTTCTATAGTTCAACTATGTATAGTTGAATGAACTATACTTCTATAGTTCAACTATGTATGTTTAAATGAACTATACTTCTGGAGTTATTTCGGCTAGAGCAGGGAAGAAGGAATATAGTGTGTCCCAATAAACATGGGAATTCAGTGACGAATTCGATATCGTCTTTAGATATTTCTTTGATTTAGTATAGTGATACCTACTAAGAAAGATGTAATCCGTATGATTTTCGTCTGCTACGTTTTCAATTTGTTTGTTCACGTTTTAACTGCATACTGTTGTACTTAGTAAAAAAGAAAATTACAGTATACAAACAGAGTAAACTTGTCCGTCTTCACTGTTCATCTTGCGGAGACATTATAGACACATCTTTACAACCATTTCCCTTTTTCATAAAATAAACTCTAGCAGACTTTATAATATTATGACTTTTGAAATCAGGTATTACGATGCTAATTCATATCAAAGAAGATACCAAATTCGTCGCTTAATTCCCATGTTTATTGGGACACCCTGTACACTAAACAGAGTTGTACCACGAAAAATGAACAGCAATTATCAATGAAGGTCGTCTTTGAAATTTGAAATGATTTGCTGCATTATTCGTAAACCTAATTTTAGAAGTAAAATTCTGAAAACCCCTATAGCCTTGGAATTTCCATAATGTGGTCTGCCTCTTTTGTGTTTTCAATATTATTATACCATCTTATATTTTTATAACCCGTGACGTGTAAATATATATATCTAACCTTAACACAGTTCTTGGTTGCAATTTTTTTCCATTGCAAGTACTTGTTCTCTAAATCTTTCTGATCTTAGTAAAATGTTTGTTAAGAAATAAATGGAATATTTTGATGTCCCATTGGACCATGCATGGAAAGTTCCGGTTTTACAAGAACTTTTAAATACAAGAACGAATAACTTAATTGATCAAGGATTCGATGATTACGTAATAACTGAAATGAAAAATATTTTATGTAATAAGTAATGCTCAATGTCGCCTATTTGTGCCTTTTTAATTTTTGAAACCATATATTTAAATTATTCAAACTACACACCATTTATATATGTATTTATATCTTTGTGTGAATAAATCTTTCTAATAATATTCAATTACAGTATTGAATATCTGCTTACTTTTATTAGACTAATTAAAACTGATGATAAGCGTGTGATTGACATTAACCATTGATAGATCTTTGGAATTAAAAAACTGTTACCACCCATTATGATAATTGACTGAATGGACTATAACTACCTTCTAGGCTATACTACAGTTATAAGTTAAGCAGGAAGGTTTAGACAGATTATAGTTAATCAAGGTTACCTAAATGAATTTTTACACAAATACAAGAGACAAGACCTGTGGGAACACGATCTAATTTCTTTGCAAGTTCTAGAACATGTACATATTGTACAGTGGGACCAATACAACTTTGGAATAGCAAGACGACATTTAAAAAAATCTGATGTGTTGTTATTAAGCAAATACTCACTGTATACTTTTTCATATGTAAAACATTTAACCCACGAAGTCATCTAATTTTGAGTATATCTATAAGTATAACCATCACACAGGTTTATTAGCTAATTTTTTAAGATATTTTTTCGATTTAAGTTTGCACTCAATTTATTTTTTATCCTTCATCAACATAGATTAATAACAATATAAATATAGAACACGAAATTTCGTCTTTTCAAGATTTCAGGGTTTTTCGTTCAAAATATCCCTGAGGCAAAAGCCCAAAGGAGTTCCGAGCAGGCAGATGTAGAGCATGCGTGTCACTCATTTAGGCCTCTGCCTCAGGATTGTTGTGAACGAAAAAACCCTAATTTTTGAAAAATTCTAGAGTTGTATTTGTATTGTTATTAATCTAAATCCATCATCATCATCTTTAATTCAAATACAAACCCCCGTTAGAGGATTAAATGTTCAGCTAAAAATAAAGAAACCGTACCGGGTGTTCCAATAATTGTCCTTGATCTAGTCTTGAAATTGTAATATTTTTTATTTGCACTCATTTAAAGACACATTTTTGGAATCTTAATGCACTCCATGTTTTTTTGGGACACCCTGCATTAAAAAAAATGTTTTCAAAACTATTTTATTCAGGAGTAAACAGGGAAATTTTTGAGATGAATAATGTCCCACCTGTGTTCACAAACACATCTGCAGTCATCAGGTAAATAGTATAGATCTAAATCCTGATCCAGCTCATGAATACGCCGTACAGATCTGAATCCTGATCCAGCTCATGAATACGCCGTACAGATCTGAATCCTGATCCAGCTCATGAATACACCGTACAGATCTGAATCCTGACCCAGCTCATGAATACACCGTACAGATCTGAATCCTGACCCAGCTCATGAATACGCCGTACAGATCTGAATCCTGACCCAGCTCATGAATACACCGTACTGATCTGAATCCTGATTCAGCTCATGATTACGCCGTACAGATCTGAATCCTGACCCATCTCATGAATACACCGTACAGGTCTGAATCCTGACCCAGCTCATGAATACACCGTACTGATCTGGATCCTGATCCAGATCATGAATACACCGTACAGATCTGAATCCTGATCCAGCTCATGAATACACCATACAGATCATAATCCTGATCCATCTCATGAATACACCGTACAGTTCTGAATCCTGATCCAGCTCATGAATACACCGTACAGATCTGAATCCTGATCCAGCTCATGAATACACCGTACATATCTGAATCCTGACCAGCTTATGAATACACCGTACAGATCTGGATCCTGATTCCTGATCAGGATCCAGGTCATGAATAGTTCTTCAATATTTTTTTCATATCCAAAATGTCTTTTTCTTTTCCGGCAATACTGCAAGAAAGGAACTGAGTCTTTGCCACAAACTCAAATTTTCGAATCTTATTTGTTTGTAACCTACTGTTGTAAACATTTGCTGTCAATGTCAAATTAGATTATTTGAGTCAATAGAATTCTATAGTTTCATTTTTGTACTCACGTAAACCGTAATATTTTGGGGACAACTGAAATAAACATAGCTTGCTAAGGATACTGCAAGGAGAAGGGAACAACAGACTCTATAATTTTTAGCAAAATTTAACTTTGGTAACCCAGGAAAATTCTTCTCAAAAGTAATTTATTCTGGTTCGCTTTTTAAAAACTTTTCATAAAACTTTCAAAATTTCAAAACTGTTTTTTTGCTGTTATTAAACTTAGCAATATTTTAACCAAAGAAAACAAATTAAATTAAGGAACCAAAAAGTCGACCAATTGAACACTTTCTTTTTTCTTCATTTTTGGTTCGTAAATTTTTGCTTAGTTCTTGCAATAGTTTTCGGTTCCCGCTAAAAACTCGTTGTATTTTCTATTTATTTCTCAAAAAAGTATTGATCTCTCCTTAATTAAAGAACAAAGAATTTTTTGTTTAATTTGTAAATTAATTCAAATTTTGTGCTAGATACTCCTTTAATTCCTTATTAATTGCAACAAAATTAGATACCGATGAAAGAATCGAGTGATGATTAATTCGCAGAAAATAAAAGTTTTTAGTTATTTTTCTTAAAAATTTACCAGCTCATGAATACACCGTACAGATCTGAATCCTGACCCAGCTCATGAATACACCGTACCGATGAAAGAATCGAGTGATGATTAATTCGCAGAAAATAAAAGTTTTTAGTTATTTTTCTTAAAAATTTTGGGGAACTTACATTTGCCCCCCCCTCCTCTCACTGTAACTATTGTAGCTTTTAATGCCAGTAGTTTTTAATTATTCTACAGTTGTCGGCTTTTATATCAATATGATGAAGACGACTTTTCAATTCAAGTTTTTTAAAATTAAAAGTTTACAAGTAAACAAATAGTTAAGATGTTAATTGACAGCTTCTCTATGTTTCCATGTTCATGTGTGACAAAGCTGGTTGAAAGCTTGGCAAAAAATAAAATAAAAATAACGTAGTTAGCGCCCATTTAAAGTTATTAAAGTCTCAAATTACACAAATTAGGAATTCAAGTGAATCCCTGTTTCTTTTCTTATCAAGATAAAATCAATTTAAACGGAAATTGGTAGACAAAGAATTTTTTGTTTAATTTGTAAATTAATTCTAATTTACTATATACTATATATATATATACTAGATATATATATATAGATCCATATATCTTTTACATTTACATTAGGGGCTTATTTTGTTCAAAATTTAATCCCTGCGAAGTAGATTTAATCCTTTGTATGGTGAATAATTCCGAACTTTTCAAATCTTCACTGCTTGAGGAAATTCCATGAAAAAAATGGACTTGGACATTTTTGACATGCATATCTGCAAATTTTCATTGTTTATTGCATAACATTATTAAATTATCGAAATATATGAGCAGATAAAAAATACTTAAAATATGACTAAGAAACAACCAATTTAAAAGTGTGCATGTATTATTTATATTATTTATTTATATTATATTATTTATATTATATAATGTACAGGCGAAGTCTGGTGTTTCTAGCAGTACTATTGTACTTGTCCAGTGCACACGCTTTCCCAGCCCTAGATGAGTCGGGTAAGATACTTATATTTATTATACTTTCCCTCAAAAATATTTTAATTGGTTCATTATAAAATCTAAAAATCTTGTATTAATTACATTTTCCTAAATTTTCCTGTAAAACTGTGGTAAATTTTGTAAAAAATGTAATTTTAATTTTACATTTTTAAAAAATTTATTAAAAATTTGAAACTTTATTTTATTCTCAGAATTTCTAAGATTTACTGGGCCTTTAGTTATGAGAAAAGTTTATAAATAATAATTTTTTGAAAATATTCTGTAATCTTATCGATTAACTATAATTTCTTTTTCAATTCCTTAATGCTCAATCATCAATCAATGTAAGATTCGGAAGTAAAAAAATGAAAATATAAATTTTTAAATAGTTTGAAATGTCACCTCCATGTAGTATAGTGGTGTGAATGTGATACAGTGAAAACCAGAAAACAATGGACTTCCCTTAAAGAGACCGTTAACTTATTTGGGTGATTTCAGGGTAAACCAGCCCTATTAGATATTCATTGCTATAAATCTTACTTTTCAACGATAACTATGGCCGGAGAAATAGTCAATTTATCGTTCAGAATTCCGGCATAAACATACAATCTTAGTTGATAAGTTTGTCTAGCAATTTAATCAACGTTTATGCAGTATAAATAGCCCAACAACTATTCAAATATCATATTAAAAAAGAGAAGTAAGCAAATGATGAAAACTATGTATATATTTTTATTTTAGATCTGTCCCAGGGTCCCGAGTACTCTGAGTACAATGATGATGGAATAATATTTGATGTAAGAACAAATTAAAACCTTCATCCAGGAATTAACTGCATTACCTTTTTTATTGTTTAAAAGAGAAGGGCTAAAATTTGTATTAGAATGTGGAATTTAATTTTGAACGAAGGCTAGACAGATGTCTGTCTGTGAACGTTGTGTTTTTCCAGAAAATGAATTTAATGGAAAACTTCTTTTTTTTCGTAATATATAATATGTGAAACCTCAAATAAAGTGAATATGCAGGGTTTGGAAGGAATGTAAGCAAACGGCCGGAATCCTAAACTTTGGCTGAGCCAAGTAGATTCTAGTACAATAGATGGCAACGTAGAATGTGTACACTCTCAGTATAGTTGTATTCTTACGCCACATGTGTCAACCTAGTTTTTGTGTCCTACAAAATTATTGATAATAGTGATTTTTAGATTAAAATGCTGATTTTACATTAAAATAAGTACAATTCTATTTGTTCTTTATTTTCTGTTTTTACACTTTTTTATTTAATCTTGGAAAACATGTCAACAAATGTGAGAAAATTTAGTTTTTCTTGTTATATTTGACACTATGTTAAAACAGGAAAACGAGCCTGGAACTCAAACTTCTCCGGTGGGTTGGGTAAACGGGCCTGGAACAATAACTTCTCAGGTAGAATCTAGCATATAGCAGATAATAGTGATTTTTAGATTAAAATGCTGATTTTACATTAAAATAAGTACAATTCTATTTGTTCTTTATTTTCTGTTTTTACACTTTTTTATTTAATCTTGGAAAACATGTCAACAAATGTGAGAAAATTTAGTTTTTCTTGTTATATTTGACACTTGTGACGTCGTGTATAATTGATCCATTTCTCTGTTGCCACCTATTGTACTTGATAATCTATTTGGGCTCAGCTTTGTTTATATTACTCCCAGAAACTGCAGTATACGCCTTAGTTGTAAACAAAGCTATGGGTGTATACCTATAGCTTATTCCTTTTATATATATATATTTGTAAGTAAAACTATAACCATGGTAAAAACTAAGCGCCTTTTTACTGTTTTTGTAATGTCTGTTTGATGTAAATTACCATATCTACAAGAATTGGTAATGAGCTGTATGATTTAAATAATCTATACTAAAACGAGTTTCTGCATGACCTTACAGAATTGACAAGTACAGTGCTAAATGGTTTTATAATGTTTAACACTGGAATTCTAAGGCACCTCGCGCCCCTCTTTCTAGTCAGGATTTGCCTTGCAATTTAATTGTTGTATAGTTATGTACAGTATTAGTACGAGATATATAGAGTACATGTACTTAGAAGAGTCAGAATATAAAGATAAGATAAGATATAGTTTACTAGCCTTGTAGGGCGCGACTTCTAAATTAATTGTGAACATGTTCTATTTGTGTACATCGTAAAACAAAACAAAAATAATTCGCGGATTTTCACAAAAAATTTCGTGGATTTTCAAAATTTTTAAAAATTTAATGACGATCGAATTTTGATGGAGACAAATATTTGAAATTTCAATCATTCATAAACCTTCCCTGGAGTCCCTAGATGTCCCACAAAAAATTTGGGCCCGATCGGTTCAGCCGTTTTGACGTTTATTGGATACAAACAGACAGACAAACAAACAAACAGACAGACAAGCCAAATTTATATATAGATTATATGATTTAGCAAAGACAGAAAGAAGTTTACAGTTACTAGGCTTTTAGGGCGCTTCGCGCCCATCTTCTATTTCAACTTTTAATTGTGGCTTTATCTCTGAACATCTTCTCTTTGTACAGTATAAAACAAAAAAACAAAAAAGTTTGCGGATTTCATAATATTTTTTTTGCGCATTTTCAAAATTTTTCAAAAATAAAAACTTTTAAACACAAATTTTTAGAATTTTGATCATTCATAAACCTTCCCTGGGGTCACGTGAGGTCCCACAAAAAATTTGGGCCCGATCGGTTCAGCCGTTTTGACGTTTATTGGATACAAACAAACAGACAAGCCAAATTTATATATAGATTGCTAAAATACATGTATCTGTGTACAAAACGAGTTTAAAATTACAAATTGATGATTATATTAACAGTACAAGTTTAAAGCAATTAGGTGGAAAATAGCTTTTGGCTGTTTTGATTATTTGAGTATTATATATACTAAGAAAAGTACAGTGTTATCTAGTAGTTAAAAAGAAGAATTTAAATAGTACATATCCTAGTGAAAGTACAGTGTTGTATGGTTTATATAAAGAACAGTATTCTATTGTTGATATGGAATGCAATATAAAGAGTATTTACTATATGTCTACGTACTAGGATGGATATGCGGAGTCAGATGGGTATCTCAGTGCTCCAAGTAAAAAAGCATGGAACAGTAACTTCTCAGGTACGTCATCTTGTACGTCATGAACATCATGTACATCACGGACATCATGTACATCATGTACATGTGAAATGTGTTTACACAATACACACCATATTTTATACCTAAAGTCAAGGTTTATAAGAAGATGTGCTTCAACAAGTTCAGGTATCAAGTTAAAATGAAACAACATATTCAACCTTCCGGGACATTTTTTGATGAAATGATTCAGTTTATATGTATTTAATAACTTCAAAAATTGTGCCATTACGTTAAAATAATGAAAATACACATAAATAAGACATCATATATTTGTCACAGTAAAAAAATAAACTTTAAAAAATACAAACATGTAAACCTCACCCTGTAAACCTCATAACCATTCCTTGCGTACATACATTATACATGAATAGGTGGAGTAGGGAAAAGAGCTTGGAACAGTAACTTCTCTGGCGGACTAGGCAAACATTCTTATAGATAGATAAACATTCTTATAGATAGATAAACATTCTTATAGATAGATAAACATTCTTATAGATAGATAAACATTCTTATAGATTTATAGATAGATAGATAGATAGATAGATAGTAGATGGATAGATAAACATTCTTATAGATTTATATCTAGGTAGATAGATATCTAGATATCTAGATAGATAGATAGATAGATAGTAGATAGATAGATAGATAAACATTCTTATATATTTATATCTAGATGGATAGATAGATTAGTAAATATGTTTTAGATAAATATATAGATAGATAGGTTGATAGGTTGATAGATTGATATATAAATATATCCTGGAATTTTGAATATAAATTTATTTATATTTATTTATTTTTGGTGATTTTTTTTCTATCTTTCCAATAAAAGACGGGAATTTAAGAATTTTATACAAAAATTCGATAATATTTTCTTGTTATAATTGATGTTTGAAGTTCAAACAAAATTGGTTTTTTTAGGAAAAATATTAGGAGAGGGACAAAAAACTAAAGTTTTATTAATATTTTAAAAAATTTTCTAATTTTTGATATTTTTTACCTTATACTCCAAGAATTTTGATTGTGTATCATTAGACATAACGACAAATTCTGTTAAAAATCTTCCAGGTTGTGATTTTTTTCTTCAAAAAATCTGATTTTCTGTATTTAAATTTTATGTTCGGATGACTCAAAAATTTTTCATAATTTTTGAGTCCCTGTTTTTTTTATTGAAAGAATTTTGAAGAATCAACATATTATATTGGAAACGTATCTATAGAGGAAAAGTGTAGTGGTAGGGTTAAGGCTAAGAACATGTTAAAACAGGAAAACGAGCCTGGAACTCAAACTTCTCCGGTGGGTTGGGTAAACGGGCCTGGAACAATAACTTCTCAGGTAGAATCTAGCATAGAGCAGAAGAGAAGGATTAGTTAAAGGGAATGTTTAGGTTTTACTGTTGCAATATTCTAACTTTAAAATGGACACAAGTAAAAGCAAACTTTTGTTTAAATCTGCAGTTTTCGTAAATGCCAGAAGAACGCGAATTTTCAAAGTTAAATTTTTTTCCTTTTCCTTGACTAAATACAGAAATAATTTCTCATCCGTTTTTTCCCCAAACATCCCCTTTACATTGCTTAACACACGTTGAAAAGTTGTTGAATACATATACACGTCCTGAAGGAGGAATTGGAAAGCGAGCTTGGAACAGCAATTTCTCCGGAGGTTTGGGAAAGCGTGCTTGGACTTCCAACTTCTCCGGTGGTGTTGGCAAACGTGCATGGAACAGTGGGTTCTCAGGTACTAGCCTGCCGGTCGACATTTTTCTTCATATCTTTACATACATATTAAAAAACTGTCAGTGTGATACTTCTATTAAAGAGTAACATGCTTGATTCACAACAGTACACTTTAAACCTTTAGCTGAGTAAAAATAAGAGGAAGATAGCCTCAATTTTATTTCTTAAAAATTATAAAATTCTGTTCATTTTCTTCCGTATCTGATGAGTGCTGCTGCATAAATCCGTCTTTAATAATAGATTATTAATTTTCAAATGAAAAAAATTCAGAATATCTTCATCACTTTTGCTCCGACTAAAGTTAATGAATCGAAGCTTTAGTCTTTAAATTGAGATTCAATTAGATTTACATAGACAGGTCACCAACCCAAAAATTTAATGGTGTTCTGAAATATATATGTATATATATATATATATATATATATATATATATGTATATATACCTATTTAGTAAATCATATATCGCCAAAAAGAAAGCAAAGAACAGATTTGTTCACGCTTTGCTTCAATTTGAACGCATTATGTGAACTCCAAGCGTAATGTAAGTGTCCCTCCATGCCAAGATTACAGTGTCCGATTTACAACGGTACCTTTGAAACCTTAATCTGATTTAAACATGTAGCAAATACCGTCGGTTTTCTGACTCGATCAAATTCTCATAATTTCCCCATTGAGCAAGAAATGCTTAAGTCATTTTTTAAGAGAAACCACAAATGAAAATAAACAGTTAAAAGAAAAAATATGGATTTATAATTTACACTTGAATAGACAAAGATTTTAAGGCTACCGTTGTAAATCGGGAATTGCTATTTATCCATGGAGGGTCTCTTGAAAGTACGCTTACTGTCCCTTTAAGAAGAAATGCAAATTGAAAAATCCTTTCTCTGACACACTGACACATCAAAATGAAAAACTGACACCAAAACCTGATAAATTTAAAACTTCGTTGTTTAACCCTCCCTTAAACAATAAACAATAAAATATTCCTAAAATGTAAATAAACATTAACACATATTTCAGGTGGAGTAGGTAAGCATATTTACATAAAATCTTCATCCAACCAGGTTTCAACTCGAGGGTTTCCAGCTGCAACTTTCGAGCGCTATTTTGCAATTTTGCAAATAATATGAAAATTTGCATAATTTCACATCGACAATACAGTTTTTTGTATTTGAAGTTTTTAAAATCCAAAAATTACTTTCTCTAAAATTTTGCTTTGATTAAAACTAAAGATAAATGATCGACTTGAGGCTAAATTTTTTAATATTGATAATCCTGGAAACCCTTTTTATATTAATACATGAATATTATATTTCAACATTGTTCCTCTTTTTACACAATAACAATGGCTTCCATTTATCTTGTGTACATTGTTTAATTGTATATCAACTAAACTTTCACTTTATTTTAAGAGACATTTCACAATTTAGAATCAATTGTTACAGAGAAAATCCGTATAATTTTAACTGATCCCTTTTTAAAAGAGTATCATAAACAAATCATAAGCAATGCAAAATCTGCATGCATACCTAGATCTGATTGCAACATTTACATACACGCTGGATAAAGTTCTTGATCTTCTTCTGCTATCTATCCTGAATCCCCACTATTTGCCGGCAATATCGACGTTGCGAATAGTTTATGGTACTCTTTCGATAAAGATACGTTAATGTTAATTTGTTTAATTTAAATCTCTTTATTTCTAAACACAGTGCAAAATGTTATTCACTTTTTTGTAGGAATTTTTAAGTTCGTAGAAAATTATTTTTAAAATTTGAAAAGTTATTCTGAAAATTCCTGTCACATTAAGTTTTTTTTAATATGAGAATATGAGTAATTTCAATGCATAAATGTTTTAAAAGAAAGTCAAGAAAATAATCCGTTGAAATAGTTTTAACATAATATCATAGAATCAAATCATCCAATTAAGTGATATTCAAAATATTGTTATTCTAAAATAAAATTTTTTTTTGATTATTTTTAAAAATATGCATACATGGCAATATGATTCACATTTTCAAACAACGAACAACTGTGTCCTTTTCAGTAAACAAGCAAATGGCACAGTTTCTAAATAATTTGTTTCAGGAAAATGAAGATTTTGTACATACTCTACCCCTGACATACATGTACACTGTTGTACACTGTACACCTATCTGGATCATCACATTCGATTATTAATCAAATATCAGCTGTTTATTTAGTTTAACAGTATGGCCGGGATATATCAGAAATATTTGTGAATATTTATATTTTACGGAAAATTGTATAATATGTTAATAAAGTCGGCAGTTGCAAATATATACACATTGTCTACATTGTAATACATTTATGTACAAGAAATAAAGAATACATGCCCACCCTCAAACATGAACAAACATTCTATAACAGAATCCTACATTAATTATAGAATATTTGACTGCTGAGCTGATCTGCTGTCTCCAGGTAACCATATAGGGCACATGTCCCAAGGTTTAATTGTCAAAACCTTTTTTTTGTTAAAAGAAATATAATTGAAGGAAGTGTTCAACTATAATATCCACTGTGATCTTGACATGCTACATTTGTTGCATAAAACGTGCTGGGTTGACTCTATACTGGGTATAGCCTGACTGGTCTGCAGTACGTGTTGTGCCGGTACGGATCATTCAAATTTTAGAATAGGGTGGGATAGCAAATATAAAAGATGGTTTGGCCTAGGCATCGTTCTTTATGATTATCTACCACTGCAAACTAAGATTTTCATGATCTCAAACACAAATCTAGTAGAATTTTGCGAATTATTCCCATTAAACTTAAGCTATAAGCAAGCGCGTTGCGGTTATTAAATGTTCATAAAAGTATTTTGTGTTTGATGATAAGACGGTACTGTATAAAAGTTTGATGACCGACTTCCAGAGTTGACTAGATCTCAGTTATACGTAAACAAAACACTAAGCAGAAACGCAATGGACATTTTCTTGAAAAGTTCTGATAACTCTGGTCCTCAGAAATACATTTGAGTGGTTAAGTCTCGAAAAATTGAGGAATTATGAAATACTTGAACAATCTCTTTAATAAATTTGCAACGATTAAAAAATAGTTAAAAAGAGAGACAGCTCGATTTAGTAAAACTCCCTCAAAGACTAAAATAATGGCAAATCAAACCAAAAACTTCAAAGACAGGAACTTTTTTTGTAGAACTTCTCAATCTTCAGCGATTGATTATTCTTGATATCCAATGTGGGCATTAAATAAATTCGTAGAAGATATGCATACGATGAAGATCAATGCTTGATCCCTAAATTCGCAGAAAAAATCGCAAATTTTTGCCAAATATACTTCTTTAAAAGTAAACTTAAAAACTGCAATAATTTATGCTTCTAGAATGTATGTCTACATAAAGTATAAGTGGGTTAGTGAGGTAAAATCAAAGTCCAAGACATTGTTTAGAAGTAGACCCAGTCTTGAAAATTTTTGTTTGCAGTTGAGAATACAAATCTATCTCCAGAGCTGAAAACTTTAGAATGAGATATCCTTAATCACGATCGCTTAATCTGATTATCAAATGTGCACACTTTTGATTTTCCTCTTATAATCCTCTTTTTGGATATTTCTACTGAATAAAAGTTACTTTTGATAACACTTACGGATACGATGCTATATCGATTGGACTAATATCCGACTGAATTAAAGTCAGCTGATCACAAGTCGGCTTTTAAAGCATTTAAACAAATATACATTTAATCATGTTAATATGAAATTATTAAAAAACATATTTTAGGACTATTGTCATATTGAACGTTAGTGTTGGTAAACATTAATCCAAAACTAACGTTCGTTCAATCCATGTTTAGTTCGATTGGTATGACACCATCAACTCCAGAAATCAAAACCGGGTTTTTAAAAGTTAAAGAGTACATCTTAACATGACACGCTGATTGGTTAAATTTAAAACTTCTTTCTTGGATATCGAATACGTTTAAAATAATCTTGGGTTTAGAAAACCAGAAGTTAAAGCATTAATCTTGATATCCACCATTCTAAAGTTTTCAGCTCTGTATGGAATATGTTATAACAAAAGATTAAAAGTGTATAAACGACTTAAACAGTTTTATCTAATCTTTCCCCTTATATAGTTTATTTCAATTACAAATTCATAACTAATTTTTTATTTGTATTGTAATTAGTCCTAAACAAAGTTTTTACACTATAGATGAGACTTTAATTTAGAGACGACTGTACAGAACTTATTAAAGGTTTTCTTCTTACATTCCACTTGGTTCTCTTTTTTTTGCTAATATAAATCCAGTAAAAGACTAAATTCAACCATTGAGATAGTTTTAAAGAAAGAGTGGGTCCGTCCTAGAGAACGATTTTTTAAACTATGGGTTCTCTACAAAAGTGACATGCGGAATTCTTTTTGGAGAAACACTGGAGAACTGGAGAAATTATTACAAATTATTGATCAGATAAATGTTTAAATAATTTTAAATACCAACATCGGAAGAAAGGTTGAGTTGAAGTCTTTTGTACGATTTTTTTAAGAAGATAAATACAGCTTCAAGAAAGCTTTTTTAAAGTTCTGACGGAAACAATTTAGTGTAAGCCGTATAATAAGTAATCCCATCCATACACAGTAAAAAGCATTAGAAATTAAATGTATTTTGTTTTTGTAAATAATTCACGTCTGAAATATTTACAGTATTTCTTTCACAAATTGCTTGTTTACAGAAAAATTTTCTTTTTCAAGTTTCGCGTTTAAAATGAAAGTAGAACGGTTCATAAATTCAAGATTACTGATAAAAAGCTTTGATGAAGATTCAACTAAAATGTCGTCTTACAAAAATAAATACATAATTATTTTCTTGCAAGATAAAATTTTATCTAGTTTCTCCATCGTGTATTCTAAGGCTGTATAAAAAACCATTTATTTAAGTATTTAATAGATATTGAAGAATAGTTAATTTACTCATTCTCATTCTCATTCTTGGAACACCTGGGGCACAATTAGGCTTTATGTATATTTCAAGCAAAAAGATTGTATTTCTTATAAACTGAATTTGCTTCTCTTTTCTCTACAGGAAAACATATAGGATTTATCAAAGGTAAAAACTTTTAAACCTAAAATAACGACAATATCTTCCACATTATTGATCAGATAAAAGTTTGAAGGGAACCATTGTGAATCGGTACTTCCCATTCTCTAGAAGGTTTATACTTTTATTTGAAAGTGAAAGAAAAAAGTATATACAGTTGTAGAAAACCAGAAATAAAAGAAAACAAACCGAATAAATTCTGTACGGTCGTTTTTGAAGTCTTACCTTTTGGGTAATCTTGTTAATGATACAGGATTTATTTTAATTTTTAGCATTACAACCTTTAAGAACAAAGAAGACATTTGAAAGTTAACGGAGGACGAGTTGTCATCAATAAGTTTCGCTTAAAACCTGTTAAGAAGTCTTAGCTCGACACAATGTTTCACTTTTTCTCTACAGGATACATTTTGGGTCAGGTTGACATCAAGTTGTCAATCATTTGAATAAGGTATCAAAAGCACCCAAAATTAAATTCATATTGCTAACAATATCAATTTGTTGTATGCTTTCAATGCTATAGCACTAGGATTGTTGTTTTGATGTAAGGAGTGTTCTCCTGAAGGTGGATTAGCTTCCCGGTCACAGCATAGGAATAAATATCTAAAATATTGACCAGAGAAACAAGACACGTTCGAGACTCGATATAAAAAAATGGACTTCTAAACGATACAAAAACCAGGCAGAACCCTGAAACATGATCCAGAATGCAGTTTAAAACGATGTTATGCACTTTAATGGTGGTTTAATGGGGTTAAGAACGAACAAATAAATACTAAAAGAATTATGATTTATGACATGTCTGGACTGGATACATACATATTACAGATTTATCAAACATAAATGTTTAATATAGATTATAATTGTTAGTGGTGAAGGGAATATATCATTTTTTAATTTTCTTAGTTTATAACATTATTATACACAGGGGTGTTTAGATTTGGCTTGTGGACAGGCAGGGTTGCATTCATAATCAAACAGGTTTTCACAATTTAAACAAACAGAAAAGTTCACCAGATGCTTATTAATCTTGTTATGCGGGTTGGATTTGCATTCTTTCATGTGGTTCGGTTCAACCCATCTCGTGCTTCATGTAGGGTTTGTTTTTTGTGCAACCCAGGCACATTCTGCCTTGCAGATTGTCCCAGATCTGTAGATTGGAGACCAAGATGACCGTCAATCACATTTAGCACATAAACTCTTACTGTCCTCCTTCTCAATCCTTATCATGTCCGTATCTATGTCTATGTCCGTGGTATCGCCAAGTTGTATCCCAGAGGCAAGAGAAGGGTTTTCTCTACCTACACTTCCCCCTCTCCATGCAGGTACAGGCTGTAGTACTGGGGTCTTGATTATCTTTCCTGGATTTTGAGCGGCTTCCTCAGCTCTGGTATTGTTTCCCTTCTCCGTACTTCAAGGTGTACTGCACAAGGTTTCTGTACTGCAGGGATCAGTAAAGTTTGTATTCGGTTGAACTGGTTTAACTTGTTGATCTGACCTGACAAAGCCCGGATGGGTGTAGGATTCTAATTCAGCTGTAGACTTCAACCAGGCCTCTTCAGGGGTAGATATTTCTCCTGCCTTCTCTTCTGCAAACAGGTCTTCTTTCTCTTCTTCTCCTTTTTCACCTTAGAAGGTTTCTTTCTCCTTCTTGGTGCTGGGGTTAAGTACACTGCGGCTACTGGCTTGGTTACTGATGAGAAGGTTACAGTCTCTCCTTCCCATTCACAGCTTCCAGAACTATCTTGGCCCATATCCCAACTCCTGGTCTGCACTTATTATATAAATGTAGGATAACAGTGAAAGTATTTATCCCTGCCATAGCGAAAGAATCACATTTCATAGAGGTTGTTGTTCCTCTCAGTGTCGGTAGAAGACAGGTGTGTCGTCAGAAGACAGATGTGTCGGCAGAAGACACATGTGTCGGCAGAAGACACATGTGTCGGCAGAAGACAAAATGTGTCGGCAGAAGACAGATGTGTCGGCAGAAGACAGATGTGTCGGCAGAAGACAGATGTGTCGGCAGAAGACAGATGTGTCGGCAGAAGACAGATGTGTCGGCAGAAGACAGATGTGTCGGCAGAAGACAGATGTGTCGGCAGAAGACAGATGTGTCGGCAGAAGACAAAATGTGTCGGCAGAAGACAAAATGTGTAGGCAGAAGACAAAATGTGTCGGCAGAAGACAGATGTGTCGGCAGAAGACTGATGTGTCGGCACAAGACAGATAGTGTCGGCAGAAGACAGATAGTGTCGGCAGAAGACTGAATGTGTCGGTAGAAGACTGAATGTGTCGGCAGAAGACTGATGTGTCGGCAGAAGACTGATGTGTCGGTAGAAGACTGAATGTGTCGGCAGAAGACTGATGTGTCGGCGGAAGACTGATAGTGTCGGCAGAAGACTGAATTTGTCGGCAGAAGACTGATAGTCGATAATAATAATATAATAATAATAATATAGACCATAGTCGATAATAATGAAAATTGTTCAAACTATATTAGCAAGAGTTCAAGAACTATGTTTGCAAGACAGTTTGATATTTGCTTTTACATTGTAAACAACATTGTAAAACAAGATTTGAAAATGACAAAGATCTTGGCTAAAACTGTCATCAATTCTCTGACCATAGGACCAAAGAGATGACATTGATTATGGATCTCAAATGTAAATTAAAACCAGAAATATTCTCAAAAGTCCTTTCTATACTCACCAAACTGAAAATTTTCTTGCTGTGACAACGAACCTGATTTACCATCAGTAGAAGGCTTCATACATTATAACAAAGATCTGATTGACATCAACTGGTCGAAAAAATAATCCGGTATAGAGTAAAGTGATCTTTCAAACAAAAAAATTACAGGGCTGAGACAAGTACCCCTATTTTTTTCAGCAAAACTTATTGATCACAAGTTTTATATTATTTCACAGATGCAACGCAATTCTTCAAAGCTCATAAAACGTAAAACTTTTTTATAAAAATTCCGACATTCTGTATTTTATATCTTTATTTTATATATATATATGTATACTTAAGATAAGTCTAGAACAAATATGTATATCTATAATTTGTAAATAGCCACCTAAAGCTACGGTGCCGAACCAAGAACTCAAATACCGATATTTTTGGGCGATTTATTTTTGAAGACGACTTTTTATAACTCCAAAATTAGGTATTTATCTAACTAATGTTGAATAACCAAGTTAGCAAGCTAGCTGCATATATCTAACTCAGACAAGAAATATGAACATTTGACTGCTTAGCTAGAGATAAAATAATATTTGCAACACTTCAATTATTGGCTACTGCTAAAAAATCTCTGGTCATTTTCTTAAGAAATATTAATTAATTGTTCCTTTGTTCGCACAATATCAAGTTTACCTCGCATAATATCATAAAAATAAAATTTAAGCTAATATTACCTTTAATTGGTTTAAAAACAACATTTATTCATTTCTACAAAATACTGTAGCACATAGATTCAGACGGAAAAAAATGTTATGCATCATATTTTAAGACAGGGTCGAATTTAAAGTGTCGCAGTATGTTTATCTTTTCTATTTAGGCCATGCACAACGTAAATTTTAGAACATCAGCATGCCCTTCATATTTAGTTTTAAAGAAGTAATTGGCAAAACTTTGAGTTTTTTGGTTCACTTAGGCCCCTCATAGTATAATTTTAGATTTAACCAACGAGGATAGCATCAAGAACAGCTCTTTTGAACCCGGAAGCAGTGGCTCTCAGCTGCTGGAGCAGAGGAGAAAACGAGCTTGGGGTCAATTCCCCAGGTAACTCATATTATAGATATGTAAACTAATGCAGTAGGATCAAGAGTACTATCATAATACATATGTATGTCATCTATATGTCTTTTCCTTACAAATTTCTTTTTAAAAAAAATTTATAATTGTACGTCTAACGATTGATTTTTTTCTTCAAAAACAGTGTGTTTTTAATCTTGTCAATTTCGAAACTTTAAAAACTTTTTCATTTTTTTGTGATATTTCCGTTTTGGAAATAAACGCGGAAAGCTTATTATGGTAGTTTACTGAATTTCTAAAAATCAGCGAAAAAAAAAGAGTGTTTGGAGTATCTCCAGGACAAGTTCCAGAACCGCGTCATCTCTAACAGTTTGGAATTTTCTGGCCTGCCAAGAATCTGGTGCTAAATCCACTGGTTTTTTCTTCTGGGAAATAGCTGAGAGAGGGATGGCTACTTTCTGGGTTTTGGAATTGCTCCCAGGGTTTTGGAGTGCTCCCAGAATTTTGGAGTTGCTCCCAGGGTTTTGGAGTGAAATGTGAAAATTTATCTGAAAAGTCCTTTATAAATGGTACTTTAAAACCGAAAATTAAAAAGGGCTCTGCTACTCCTTTTTTTTTACTGTCTTTGTTAAGATATTTGCATGAGAAAAATCGCAAATTTCAGTCCAAGTAACCTGTGGCGATTTTTAGTTTTGATTAGGCAAACTGACGACATTTGTTTTAGCTTATACATTAAAGATTATTGGTAAATGTTAATCTTCTTTTTACCTATACACATACAGGTTTCATTTAAGATGGTCTAATAGATCTCAACATCTTTATAAGTTAACTTATTTCCAAGTTTTTTTTCAGAAAAATTCAATTTTTCGCCTAAAAAATCTTTAATTGATGGGTGCCATTCAAAATTGCGTTTTTTACCTTGAGAGCAGCCATCCCTCCTTCGCTGAGAAATGTGTGTTTTTGATGCCAAACCTAGAGGTCTAGATCAGCTGAAGAAAGGATCGTGGAGAAGTTTGCAAAGAGCGTCATCTGAGACACTCTCAAGAGAGCTGAATTCTGAAGGGAAATGTTGAGACTCTTTGTTTGCAGACTGAAGACGGACCAACATATTTTGAAATAATCCCCTACATCTGCTTGTTAACAATACCTCCCATAATATGTTATTGATGAATGTAATCCTTATCTTTTTTCACTGTATTAGAGAGGAATGAAAATTGATAACATTAAAAAAAAACTTGTATTTTTTGAATTTGGTAAACCAGCACCATATTTTTAAGTATTGTTTGTGTTAATGGTGTTATGTAAATTATAATGCATGAATGTTAGATTTACCAGATCTACTCATGGCTGGTTAATCTACTTCATGTTGTGTCACCGATATTAGCTTGCACCATGTAGTTCAATCTGTTTGGTTGCACAATACAAGACGTCTTACCTAGTTTAACTAATCCACTTTGTTTTTAAAATTCCAACCTCTGTTCACATAAACTAAAATTGTTCATTTCGTAGAGAAAAATTCAATCTTTTATTTTGTGCATTTTATATACAGCAGAATGTAAACTGTACTGTTCTAGACTGCTCCGAGGAACCTGGGGGAAAAGATCACATCAATCTGGAATAGAGAATACTTCTCATGGTAAAGTATTTTTTATTATAGGGACTGTAAGGAAAAATGAAAATAATCCCTATATTTTTGCATTCCAATGTTGTATACCTTTAGATATTTCAAACTACGAATTCTGTAAGATCATATAATTTAAGTTGGAATTATCAAAGGTTTCCGACATCATGTTGCAAGGATATAGGGATTAGAAAATTTTAGTTTGTGGCAATGACTCAATTCCTTTGTCAATTTAGAAAGTAAGGTTAAAACAAGACCAACAAATTACAGGCTTTGATAAACTGATTTCATTATCATACATACATCCTGTTATTCCAATCTAAAAAAGAATTTTAAGAGACTGTAAAAGCAATTTTAATTCCATTTTTTTTCATCTTCCCCATTAAAGGTTTAAAGAACCATTGGGGGGTCACGTGAAATTACAAAGACAGTTCCTTAAGTTTGTAAAAAAAAACATCCTTTAAATGATTATAATAATTTAGAGGAATGTGGGGGAAGCGAGCAGAAACATATTTGGAATCTGATAATTCAGGTGTTTTTACAGATATATCAATCAATAAATCAATCAATGATACAGTTTCTTTAGATTCGTCAGAGAAAGTCAAAAAAGGATGGAATAAGTCCAGGTAAAATATATAGTTTGGTGTCAGGTTTTCTCGGGCTTTTCGACCCTTCTTTCATTCGGGCTTCTTTTGACAGTTTGGCCCTTTAATGTTTCTTTATTTTCTCAATCTAGTCATGAATAATAAATAACAATATTTTAGAGGAATGTGGGGAAAACGATCTGCATCAGGTTAATACTCGACAATTTTAAAGAATATATACCATATATTAAGTATATTAAAGTATATTAAAGTTTTCAACAAAATCTGAGAAATTTGAAAATTGTTCATTCTAAACATTTTCTTCCCTTGCATTATTGCAAAAAAAAACTGCGTGTACGCAAAAACGAACCAAAAAAAAGATATTTTTAAAAAGATCGCTGAATAGTTTTTACCCTAAAATTTTCTCTTGGGATGAAGGTTTTGCACAGTGTAATAACAGCTAAATTTAACACAAAACGGTTTTGAAATGCTGGAACCTTGTGGTGGATTATAAAAGTTTAAAAACCTTTAAACAACATTTTAAAAGATCACCACTGATTATTGCCTTAATTTAAATTGATTATACAGTTTTTATTAAACTAACCTTTTTTTAGAGCTTTTTGAGCTGATCAAACGAGATTGGAATAAACACAGGTTTTAAATCAACATTAACAAATTTTTCGAAGCAAAATTAATTGAACCTTTTTTCTTTTTGTAGAGGTACATGGGGTAAAAGATCAGAAAGTAGTTTAGAAGGTACTTTTTTATGTGATACATGGAAACCATTCTTGAATTGACACTGTCTAACAATTGTAAAAAGATTTTCCCAGTCTTACATATTAGCAACCTGATATCGGAGACCTGAGATATTTCAAACCATGAAATCTTTTAGATTTTACAATCACATTGGTTAATTTAAAATTCGGTGATGGTGATGGATTGGACCAAACCTCTGTAGAGTAAAATGTTAGTTCCACATTTATTGAAAATATATTTCGGTCTGGGTTGACCCTCGTCAGTTCTTGAGATTGTTTCTGTCACAAAGGTTTAAAACAATAAAAATATAAAATATAATATAAAAGTTCTTACAAAACCATGTTGCAACGATATAGTAATTAGAAAAATCAATTTTGAGACGGTTAATAAGCTCTTTTGAAGTGAAATGTTTTGAAAGAAACGAATATATATAGTATAGTATTCATGATACGTATGATTCACAACGGTTTCCTCAAAATCTTTGTCTTATAAAAAGTTATTTAGAATTCCATGTTTATATTTTTTTGAATGGTTTATTTGCAATTGTGGTTTGTTCACAAAAGTGACTTGCGCATTTCTTGCTCTAGATACAATGGAGAAAAACAGAATTTAACAGATTTCAAGCAAGAAAAACTAGGTTATCTCCAACATCATTTATCAGATTAAAGAGAGTGTTCGCGAAAAATGAAAGGGGGTATAGGTTTAATGCGATAAAAAAAGCGCTTTTGATTGCTACTAATCTTACTTCTATCTGTTGCGTCTATAAGGAGAAACTTGTTAAAGACGTCTCATACCGAATAACTTAGCGCCCATACAAATTCAGAAAATTGCAACATACGACTTAATTAGACCGTAAAAAAATCCATTTAATTTCAAACAAATCATTCAGATAGTATAACCTATAGTCATCGATTATCTTTCGCTACACATTTGTATATAGTTTATATTTTACAATATTTTATCTTTTTAGAAAACGTTTCAACTGATTTTGAAAAATGTGAGTGGTGCGTGGCATTCTAAGATAGTTGCGCCAAGCCGCAAGAGAAATAATCAAATTCAAAACAAATTAATTAAAAATTATTATAAAATATAAACTATACATAAATTAGTTTATTTACACTTAAAATTTGATGTGTTTATTTTCAGAACCTTCAGAGTTAGTTAAAAGAGATTGGAATAAGCACAGGTTAAAAAACAAAACAAATTATTTAGATATTTAAAGGCTAGTTGTTGACATTTATGAATAAAAAGAATATTTTTTAGAGGAACCTGGGGGAAACGGTCTTCTGCAGAAAGCTTGATTGGTAATAAATAATAAAAAACATGAGCATTTAGAAAATTGTTTTCTAAAGGCTAAGATATTCAATCCGACATTTTATACACTGTAGATATTCAATCCGACATTTTTTCATAATATTCAACGATAAGGAGTTGAGTCTTTGCCACAAACTTGAATATTCCAGTCCCTTTATCTTTGCAACCTGGTGGTGTAAACCTTAGATATTTCGAACTTAGATTACATGATCTAACAGAGTGTTTAGTTTAAAATATCTCACTCAATTCCTTTGATCTATCAGGATCTAACATGATATAACAGAGTTAATAGTTTGAAATATCTAAGGTTTACAACATTGGGTTACAAAGATAAAGGTATTAAAATATCAGAGTTTGTGGGAAAAACTCAATTCCTTTGACCTATCAGGAAGACCCAACTAACATAGAAATAAAAGATACATATTGAAAATCGTCTTTGATTTCCGATAAATGATAAATGACAAGGCGTATTGGAAATGATGATCTTTTATAAAGAGCTTTTTTGAGTATTAAACAGTTTTAAACAATTTTGATTTTATTTCATTAATTTCAGAACCCGGTGAAAGGAATTGAGTCTTTGCCACAAAAACCATAATCGTATAATCCCTATATCTTTATAACACAATGTCGTAGACTTTGGATATTTCAGACTATGAATTCTTTTAGATTAAATAATCTAAAATCAAAAGTTTGAAATATCAAAGTTTACATCACCAGGTTGCAAATATGTGGAGATTAGAAAATTTGAGTTTGTGGCAAAAATTCAATTCCTTTCTGGAAATCTTCTCTCAAAAATGTACAAAAATTACAGACCATGTTTCTTTCTCATAATTCTAGACCTGTAGTATGAAGAGAAACTAATTGTACCTGAACGTAATTTTCAGCAAACAATATATGATTTTTCTGAATTTTTAGAGGGATGTGGGGCAAAAGAGTCCAATCGTTAGAAGGTAAATATGAAAAATATGAAAATTATTGAAAAATGGAGTAAATTGCATATTTAAATTATAACACAAACCCTTGGTTAATTTATTTAGAAAAAATCAAGGACAGGCAGTAAACAAGAAAGAATATTGACAAACTTTTGTTCGTTGTCATTTTTTGGCGGAGATTTATCTGTTAGCTTTTTTATTAAAAAATCAAGATAAATTTCATGATTTTGTGTTTTTTCACTTACAACTTTATTAGAGAAGGCCCGTTGGACAACCATATGATTACTTTATTTCACACAACAAAAAAAACTAAAATTAATAAAATTGAAGTCCGAACTATTGGAGAACATTTAAATCGTTTTCGTAGACACTAGAGGTTGTGATTTTGTGTGATTTTGTATCTCTCCGAGTCCGAATTTGTTCTATGCGAATAATCTTTTGGATTTAACAAAACTGTCTTTTCAATCTTCTTTTTTTAGAATTGAGTAATCAAAAAGTTGAAAAGGATTTTGAGGATAGCAAGTAAATATTACAACAAATATTTATTATAAATGTTATATATTGATTTTAGAAAATACGTTATTTAAAAAAATTAAGTAAATTAACTTTATTCACGCACACGAAAGGAATCAAGTCTTTGTCACAAACTCTGATTTTAAAATTCCTAAATGAGAATATTTGAATACGTTTGTGGAAAAGACTAACTTTGTTCTGTAAACAAAATGTCAAAATTATCAAATTAAAACCTGTAAGAATTATGTTCGGTGGTTTATTATAAAATTATGGTTTCAACTTTCAGTAGAATTCTGGTGAAACGTGACAATGAGTTTATCTTAGGAGATAATGCAGAACACAAAGGAAAATTTTTATCAATGAAATTCTATTTTTTTTAGACGAAAAATGATCTAACTAGAATTCAATGAAACCCAGTCAAACGAAAGTAAACTAGACCTTTGAGGCTTAGATTGAACATGGTCTAGCTATCTTATAAACAATTTTCAGACATTTTTATAGATTTAAGAATTTATTGATTATTTTTCTTTTGATCTATGGAGATTTAGTTGAAACAGAAAAAACACCAAAGAACAAGGAAAGCAACCGTTTTAATGATGTTGATTTTCTTGGAAGTGTACAGTGTACACTGTACACTGTACACTGTGCACTGTACACTGTACACTGTACACTGTACACTGTACACTGTACACTGTACACTATGCACTGTGCACTGTACACTGTACACTGTACATTGTACACTGTACACTGTACACTATACACTGTACACTGTGCACTGTACACTGTACACTGTACACTGTACTCTGTACACTGTACATGATGAGTTTAAGCATATAGAAATTGAGACTCCCATATATTTATCCGAGGTTGGTCGGCTATTCTTATTTTTAAAAGGGTAACCGGCCAGGAAAAGATAAAAAAGATAAAAGATTTTGTATATAATTAATAATAATATTATAAATAATAAGATCTATAATTACTAGTTATGGATTTTTGAGCTAAGCCATGGAAAAGAGAATAAACTCAATCACGTTAAATATATATGTCAAAAGATTCATAAAACATTATGTAATATGATAGTGTGTCCCAATAAACATGGGAGTTTAATTTGATTTCGTCTCTGTAAATGATTTTTTGATTTTATATGGTGATGCCTACTATAGGAAAGCTGTCATGATGTTTTTATATGTTTTGATTGCATCCTGTTTACCTTTAAATTGTAAAATGAGAAATTTTAAACACAGTTTAATTGTTCTTCACTATCTCTTAATTCCAAGATTTATTGGAACACCTCGTAAAGTTAAAAAAATAAGTCTTACTTACCATTAAACCTCGACAACTAAAGTATCGTGAGTTGGCACTTATTTTTAGATTATATTGAAGGAAGTTTTTATTTGTCTAGGTTAATGGAATGCATTTTGTGAACGTTATTTAGTCGGCAATGCAAACCATCTTCAGAAATACTTTGGATTATAAATGATTCTAAACTTGTTTTGCTTCTAAGGATAATTTTGGAGTAAAACGAGGACTGACTTATCATTGGTACAAACCATTTATAGGTATCAAGATCATTTTTAAACATGAACGGTGTCTGCTCTGTTGTCCCACACACAGTATGTATAAATCACAAAACATTTCCATTAAAAAACATTAACAACGCCAGAGGTGGTTTAAGGGGGTTCAGGAGATTACCCACCCCCCACCCCCCACCCCCCTCGAAAAAAAAATATTAAGACAAAGTAGAGAGAATGCCCATTCTCTTTAATTTGATTTTTAAGGAAAGTTAAAAAAATGTCCTTGCGGTGCCAATCAATCAGTCCAAAATTAAGTGAATTTGTCAACAATTTTTTTTCAAGGAAAAATTTTTCGGCGCAATATCAACGTTAACCACCCCCCTGGTTAAAACTTTTAATTTGGGTAACTTCATTCTCATAGATATACACATTTAAGTTTGGACAGCAAGAGATAGAGAACATTTTGTGTGAAGGGAATTTTTCCCAAAAAAAATAGGATTTTAAGTCTATATAATATAAAGGTCTTCGATCGTTCTAGGAGTTGACAATATCATGACATGGCATGACATATTTTCTGTACAATCTGCGTACACGTTTCAATAATAAACACATTAACTTAAATCTTATACATCCCATTATCAACAGTGTAAACTTTAAGTTTAATTTTAAAGATATTCTGGAAATCCTCTGAAAGACCGCATTTAAACCCCGAGGGGGGGGGGTGCACCAATTGAGCGGGTTCTGGACAATATGACAAACACAAGTGTTGACCTCTGATTTCATAATTTTATTACCAGGCTTAAAACTTCTAATATGTTTCTAGGATACAAGATAAGGAAATTTATTCCTGCTGGGTCACCAAAAGAAAAAAGATCCCGAACCTGGTTACAGCTCAGGGGTAAAAACTTGGTTCGATCCAATAAAAATATATAGTTTTTTTTCTGTTTTTTAATCGGAATTTATTTAAAATTAGATGCCGGGGAAATTATATTTTTATCCGGCGTGTGACGCATCTATAATACTTTTTTGGTAATCTATGTTGTAGAAACTTGCCTGCATTTCAGGTATTTAATATAAAGATAGAAAAGCGAATATATCTCCATTATCATTTCAACTTGTTCATTAATATCCTTATGTAGTTTATATATTTTGTAACCTACCATATCTAAGAAAATTGCACACGAAAAAATTGCTTATTATGATCATATCAAATCATATTTTCATGAAAATGTGTGTGCAATGAGTTAATTACTAAATGATTTCTTCAGACCATGTCACGCAAAGTCAGAAATACTTTTAGTTAAGATAATCAACATTTCTCAGATAAATGGGTTTTATTGTAATTCGTTAATGACGCTGTTAAACGGACTGTCGTTAAAATTTCTAGCAATCCTCCATTTCAAAAAGGGCCACGCCCGATTCACAACAGTTCCTTGGAAACCTTTATCCTATCCATAATATAGAAGATATAGTTTAAAGATAAATCACAATTTAAAATAATCAAATTTCAGAAAAGAGAAACATGGATATCTTATTCATTCTTGATCAGACAAAGCTTTTAAGGTACCGTTGTGAATTGGACTTTTCTCTCTGTCTGAAGAGTCGGTTAAATTTACGATATTAGTTTCTTTAAAGTAACGAATTTTTGACAAAAACTTAAAGGGACAGACCGGCTCACCCCAGACCAACTAGAGTGAGATGCATTCAGTTTTTTCTATTTTAAATCATACCCCTTTTGGTTTATGATTAAAAAAATCTTTAAACTTATAAATTTTTTTGTTTTATACTTTTCATTTAAAACGTATATGCCGACAAAGAAATATATAAGATAAAAAGCTAAAAATTTTGTTTAATGGGTCAAATTGTGATCAAAAGTCACAGCTTTCTGGAATATTGACAGAACCGTTAAATCCACGTGGGCTATGCATGGTAGTTGAACTGAGTATGCAGTATTGTGGGGGGGTTGTAAAAATATCGACCGGGTGATATTTGGATGATATGTGGGTGATATATGGATGATATTTGGATGATATGTGGGTGATATTTGGATGATATGCCTAATATATGGATGATATTTGGATGATATGTGTAATATATGGATGATATTTGGATTATATGTGTAATATATGGATGATATTTGGATTTTATGTGGTTGATATATGGATAATATGTGGGTGATATTGGATGATATGTGGATGATATGTGGGTGATATCTAGATATCTAGATATCTAGAAATAGCCGGTCTTTCCCTTTAAGAAATTCTCTTAATTTTCGAACCAAGCATTGACAGGGATGTGGGGTAAACGATCTGGAAATCAGCTTCAAGATGATCAAGAACAGAAGAGAAGACATGAGCACATCACCTATTCTCAAATACAAAACTTTGGTATTGTTTTCAAAAGCAAAATTTTACAACTTTGACACAATTGAAACCAAGATCTCAGAATAAAAGAATTGATTATAAAGTCGACTTTGCGATCAAACTCAGTAATTATAAATCGTAGAAACGTTTTATATGCATCTCAAATGAATACTGAAGAATTTGTACACAATACTGCATTTCAACTACCATAAATAGCCGGTCTTTCCCTTTAAGAAATTCTCTTAATTTTCGAACCAAGCATTGACAGGGATGTGGGGTAAACGATCTGGAAATCAGCTTCAAGATGATCAAGAACAGAAGAGAAGACATGAGCACATCACCTATTCTCAAATACAAAACTTTGGTATTGTTTTCAAAAGCAAAATTTTACTACTTTGACACAATTGAAACCAAGATCTCAGAATAAAAGAATTGATTATTTGCCACACATTCAAATTTTATAATTCCTATATCATTGCAACCGGTTTGTATAAACATTTGATATTTCAAACTTATTTAATCTAAGAGACTTTATAGTTTGAAATAGCTATGGTCCACAATATTAGATTGCAACGAAATAGAGATTTGAAAATCAGAGTTTGTGACAAAGACACAATTTAAACCAATGATTTCAGAATAAATTTGACACAATTTAAACCAATGATTTCAGAATAAATTTGGCAACAGTTTAACCAATGATCTCAGAGTAAGTCTGATAAATATACAGAACACTCTAATCATCTAATGGCGACAAAGGAATTGAGTCTTTGTCACAAACTCAGATTTTCAAATCCCTAACCCTGGTCCCTGATCCGTGAAATCTAATGTCGTAGACATTAGAACTATGAACTCTTTTAGAAATATCAAAGGTTTACACCATTCTGTGTAGATATAGGGATTTAAAATTTCAGTTTGGGGCAAAAGATCCAATTCCTTTGAAAAATAAAATTAATCTCAAAATTGCACGTTTTTCCGTTTTTATACAATTTTTGTTTAGGCAACGTTAGAAGGATTCCTTTCCTTGAGAGATGAAACTAATAAATCTCCGCCTTTCAAGGAAAAATCCAATATTTTCCTAACAAATTTCTTAAATCTATGAATACATAAATTTTAAATATGTTTACTTATAATACTACAAATAAACCCTCAGAAATATTGACAAAATGCTGACATGTTTGATATTATAAAGCGTAAGTTGATTAAATATAAATGTATGTTAACATGTAGTTGTCCGTTCAGAAGTACAGGCTGAGAAAGAAAAGTAATAGTTTTTTTTTCATTAAGCTATTCAAATATAAGCCAAACCTGTTCACCATAACTGTATTTATTAAACTGTATTAAACTAAATTAATGTTATTAATGTATAATTAAAGAATGCTTTAATGTCTTCTTAGTTGTTGGTGGAGAGAGATAAAGGAAAAATGTTCAATTTCCCAACATGTTCAAAAAAAGGACTAAAATCGAAAACAAAGATTCGAAAACATAAATTTTAGATCGAAAATTTGATATAAGATTGAAACCACGTGATTACAGTCAGTGAAAGAACTAATCGCTCGCCTTAAAACCTAATTTACTTTTCGTCTTTGTAACCTGATGGTGTAAACTTTTGAATTTTCAAACTATAAATTTTGTAAGGTCGAACATTTTTAAATATCAAAGGTTTTCACGATCAGGTTACAAAGATATGAGGACATGTAACATTAAATCAAATTTTTCTGTTTTAACATTTATTTTTAAATTCTCATGATGGCCCTGGGGGTGAAAACTTATAACTAAACAACAACCTGGTGTTGCATTCTTACATCTAATATCGGCGAGAATAGAGAATTACAGTTGAAACGAAAGTGAAAACTCTGTAATGATTTCCACTATCTGTTTTATATTGCTCAATGCTCATGGATAGCCTGGAGAAACAAACTGGAAGAAGGTTGAGAGAGAATTAAGTCAACACACTCCATTAAAAATACAAGCAGTTGCCCTCGCCTTTAAACATAAATATAAGATTAAAATTGACATCAATATTTCTGGAAACTCTTCTTCACCGTGTATGCTTTCTTTATATACTCGATTTAATCATAATAGCGCTATTTAGTTAAATTATTTGTACAAAACTGTACTATAAAGTTTAATTGGTTCACAGTTTTCTAAAAAAAGATTCCTTCATTTTTGATCAATATTAAAATTCAAATTTTCTATTTGTTGCATTATAAAAAAGCTTGTTAAATCTACAAACCACCCTTGTATGTAGACAAGTGTCGAAACGTTTATAAAATTACCTCTAAAACATTGATTTTGTAAGTGAATGGACTTAAATTGTAAATCACTTTAAACCAAAATTATATTTCTGGTTATTCAAAATCATTATAACATTGTAACCGAATCTTCAATCTTTAGATCTATATAATAAAACAAGACATTCGTATATATGTTCCGGCTGGACCGAATGGTCTGAAATTTTTTAAGGGAACCCATGGGTACCCTATTGGGTAACATAGACTAAACAAATTATGAAATTTGTGTTTTTCAAAAATCAATTTTTTTTAAATCAAAAAAAAATTTAAATATTTTTTTTTTAATTCCACGGGCAACGCCGGGCCCTTCAGCTAGTACTTATTTTATATTGAATTAGAAATGGGAGTGAATTACGTTTTAAGTTTTATATATGTTTACTCATGAAATAGTATCTTTATATTTAAGTTTCCTTAATCCCGGCCAATCTATCTTCTCGTTTAGGCTTGTAACTACTTCTTGGAGGACTTCTGGATTTACCAAAAAAAAAATGTATGATTTTTTTATTAAAGGGACAGGCGGCTTTGCAAGGTAGTTGAACTGAGTATGCAGTGTTGTTTTTAAAGGTCCTGAGTTTGAGCGCAAATGCGACGTTCAAGACTCCTACTAAGGGGGTGAATATGTTTACAGAATCGGTTTTTTTTAAATTATTAAATAACGACGACAAAAAAGTAAACAAAACTCTACAGTAAACTAATTAGTCATTTAGGAACCGGTTGAGACAATAAAAATTAATCTTATCATCGAAAATAAGTAATCTTGTTCAATTATTTGTTTCTATTTTCTCATTATTCACAAAGATTTTCTGCAAAATTTCTGGAAGTATTGAAGAAATTTGCGAATAAATTCAAAGAAAATAAGAAATTCAATATAATGATGAAAACAAAATTATTGAATCTAGCATTGATTTATTCACAAATTTCTTTTGAGAAATATGTTCCCAACCATCCAATTAGATTACTGTATGATTTTTACTTTATTTTTCGTCGTCGTTATTTAACCCTATCTCTGCTGGGGTACTTGAAAACCAGGATATGCTGGGGGGGGGTCAATTTGACCCCCCCTCTAAATCCCATGTTTGATGTCCAAATATGACAAATGATACATCATTGGAAAGCTCTTGTGCTCTACTTTTAGAATCTGCAAAAAAATTGCAAATTTGCAAAAATTGAATTTTTTATCGCAAAATCCAGTTATATGGTAAAAATGTTTGCAAAAATAAATTTGTCCAAAAAATGAAAAATTATACATTTTTGAAAATCCCTTGACCATGCCATTTTAAATATGCAAAAATTTTTGCAAAATTTTAAATAACCTAATTTTTAATCAAGAAAAACTAAAAATGTGCAAATTTCCATTGACAGGTTGTTTGCAAAATATTTGCAATTTATTTTCGCAAAACTTGTGCAATTTGTTTCCTTATGTCAAAGGCTTTCCAAAAAGCTAAATTTTATCAAAATCTGACAAGTGGAAGTGGGTCAAAACAAAGATTTAGTTTGCTACAGGAAAAAAAAAGTCATTCAGGCAGTGTGCCTAAGGACTCAGGCAGTTAGTATTAAATCCCGGTTTTAGGCCTAAATGGAGGGCTTTGGATATGTAAGAAAAGTCAGAAAATTTCAACAGCCTCAGACCAATACTTTAATACTTTTTGAGTTATGTAAAAAAAACTACAGCAGGAATAGGGTTAATTTAAAAAAAAAAAAAACGATTCTGAAAACGTATCCACCCCCAAAGTGGGAGTTTTGAATGTCGAATTTGCGATCAAACTCAGTATTCACAGATCTAAAAAAAGTTTTATATGTCTCAAATGAATCCTAAAGAAGCTTTCCACAACACTGTATACTCAGTTCAACTACCTTACATAGCCGGTCTGTCCCTTTAAAAGAAACTATGGACGTAATTTCAAGTTACGCTCTTTTTATCAACGATTAGGAATAAATTAGTAAATCGTGAGTTTCATAAAAGAAAATTATTCTTTTTAAAAAAATGATTTATTTTTACTGGCATTTTCATCAGACATGTCACTCTTTAATTGGAGCGTGCATTTAAAATACGCCTAGAGTTTCTTTACAGAGTGAATATGTTTTTTTGATATTTCGATAAAATCCTTAAGACTGGAGAGCTACCAGAAAGTTCAGCTGGTCTGAGAAAAAATAAGATGATTTAAATTTATTTTAGAATTTGACGCCTTTTCTCTCATTTTCTAATTTCTATTTTTCATTCCAGAGACACTTCTTCATTTCCTCCTCAAATCCTCTTTTCAGTATACACCCCTTGAATAAAATTAAATATCCTTTTTTGATGAAGTTTACCTATTATTTCCTCTTCTGAACAAATACCATACTCAAAACAAATTTGATAGTATAAGTAATATAGTATAATAAGAATAGAATAAGTATAGTATTATATAGTATTATATAGTATTATATAGTATTATATAGTATAAGTATAGTAATATAGTATAATAAGAATAGAATTGAGTTTGTTACACAAAATTTAAATTTCTGGTTTCCGTTTATTATAAAATTCAAATTTCTGGTTTCCGTCTATTACAAAATTGGAATTTTTAGTATGCATCCAAGCATATTTTTTTTTGGACGAAAACCCAGTGCTTAAGTCGAAAGGCCATAAAATGTGGGTTTACCCAGATGATATTTTGCACTTCTTGATTCTTCACTTGACTCGGTAGTTGGTGGTGTTGTTGTTCTTGTTGTGGTAGTAGTTGATGTTGTTGTTCTGGTGGTTGTTGGTGATTGTTTCTGTTCCTTATTGTTGGACGAGAAATCACAGTTTATATTGTAAAGAAAGCACATCTAAAAAGAATAAAGATTATCCATCAAATTAGGCCCCCTTCCCCAACCCCCAGCAATCCTTTTTTTATATTCACCTTTATCTTGTCCCTGTATGATAGAGCAACAGGTGCAGTATCTGTAGTTGAAGCAGTTGTAGTAGCAGTCGTTTTTATTGTTGTTGTAAACTCAGTCGTTATTGTAGTTGTTATTGGTTCAGCTGATGTCGTTGTTGTTAATGTGACAATTGTTGTTGCTTCAGCTTTTAAAGCTGTTGATTCAGTTTCAAGTTCAGCTGATGTGGATTGTACAGGCTGGGCTGTTGTAGTTCCAACACAAGGACTGGGTTGAGAATTTACGGTTTCAAAACCGTCAACATTACTCTCTGTTGTTGATGTATAGAAAAACTGAGGAAAAACTGGAGCAATCTATTTCAAAATAAAAACAATAATAATATATTTTTTAGTACATTTAATACGCATTCTCTTTAATGAAATTGGCTTAATAAAAGACGTTTTTGTATTTTTCCATTTTTACTTAAAACGTTGCAATGGGAAACATTCTTCTCCTTCCCATCAGTCCTGCAAAGTACGCCAAAAATCAACCCTAAACGTCAAAATAAATGTTTGATCTTGACCTCTGGAAAAGATATTTGTAATGATGTTGTTGTTGTTGGGGTCTCAACAGCGGATATTTCATTCCTATCCCTGTCATTCAAAACCTTAAAATCCATGTTTTTGAACCGGAAACGGAAAATTTGAATTTAAATTATCAAGAAACTACACCTGCAGTAGTGGATTGAAGTAGGTGTTAGTTTCTGTAGTTTTCCGCTTGGGTTCTTCTGCTTTGTATATTTCGTCGAAAATGTCGTCTTGATCATTTTTCTTAGATTCTTCGTAGTTTTGTTCCGAATTTGAGTCAAGATTTCTGGTATCAGTAACAGAAGTTTCAGTTGGTTCCTGGAAGATAGTATCCTCCTCTTTAGATGTATCCCCGTCTGAATCAAGATTGTTGAGGTTGGTTGTAAAAGAGGACTCCTCCAGTTGTTTGTTGATTGAAGATGGGTTTAGACCTTGAGCTATTGCTGGCAAATCATCAAATTCATATTTTACATTCACATTGATGTTCATCGAGTCATCCTTCTTCTAAAAACGTTCTTTAATTTAGATAATATTCTTACTTATTGGAAACTCTGACCAGGATGAGAAGGTCATATTCAATTGATATTACTTTAACGGCTTTGTGACACGTTGCTCCTCTAGTTCTGATTTATGCGCACAAGTGTAAGAAAAGCAAATATTTTTGGTTATACATATCATGAATTTAAAACATTTTTGTCCTTCTCAATAGCTATCAATTTGTGATATTCATAAGATTTCAATCTTACAAACATCCTTCTTCAGTTTGAAATGAATATTTTATTAACGAACAAATTTGTAATTGAATGTTGTTTTATGGTGCTGTTAAAACATTTATCTAGCTATAGAATAAAACAAGACATTCATATATATTTTCCCTCTGGCTGGCTAAACTGATGGACCGAATGGGCTAATTTTTGTTTGTGGACACTCATGGGTAGTCTGACTGGGGATGTCATAGGCTAAAAAAAATCCGAATTTTTTTTCAATTTTTTTTCTTCAAAATTTTTTAAATTTTTTTTATTCCACGATCAACGCCGGGACCTTCAGTTATTATAGTACAATACAAAATGGGTTAAACTTTACATCCTTGTACAAAGACGACCGATGAATACAAACTTTTGAACTATTTTTCCTTTGTTTACGAGTTTATGTTACCTCTTCCTCCTGCTCTAATAAAGGGAGGACATCATTCAGATTCGGAGAGGAATCAGTTCTAAACATAATTAGTTAGAACTACGCCTATGGATTTAGTATGAATAAGTATTAACCATATTAACCATATTAAAAATGGATTAAGAAATAGCGAAGACGACAATAATTTGCTGTATATTGGTTGTTAATGTAAAACAAAATAAAATTGTATCTAAATATATAAAATATCTATTGACACTGTGTTTTGTCATACTCGTCAGTATGACTCAAGTCTTTTTTATTTTGCAGTTGGCGGGGCTTGAACCGTGAATTCTTAGATTATAAACGAATCAAACACGCTAACCATTGCTCCATCAAACCCTGATGTTTGGGTAATGAAATAGGGACCAGAGAGCTCAACCAAATCATTATAAGTTGAGGGCTTTGCATAATGCTAATTAGTACACTTATTAATTACCACAAAGTGCTCAGGTATATATATATAGTTATATAACTTACCCAGGTGTTGGGATAACAATCACTGTGTCTTTATCTAGATCTTTAAGGTTCAGTTTTCTAAAACATAGTATTGTATGTCTATCTTGTTTCTATATATATTTATAAACAAATATTTATCAAAGTAGGCAAGCAAGTTGTCATGATGGTTTTGGAAACAAGAATTAAAGATAAACCGTTAAGATAAAAGTTTCTCCGTCATTATGAAGATTGATCAACCAAACAAAATATTCAAAAACAAAAAACAAACGGAAAAAAACGAATAAAAAAATGTATAGGTTAGGCCGTAAGGTTGGTGTCTGGACATCACAAAAGTGAAAGTCTAAATTTATAAAAAAAAGGTAAAACGGATCCAACAGCCTTTCTATAGTAATAGTTGAATGTTGAATAATTGTTAAGATTACCTTAATGTTTCGTAGATCAGATTATTGACAGGATTCACAGAGTTGGTGAAAAGATCAGACTGATAAAACAAATAATCAATTTTTATAATCATAGATCAATATTAATGAATTGTAAAAAGCAGTCGAACCAGTTGCACATACAATGATAACCAGAAAACTCTGGAAAAGGAAGACGAATTTTAAACTCTATTTAAACTCTATTTTAATAGTTCAATGAAACAGACCCATTTCACTTACAATAAGTGATTTGATAACTTACTAGTAAAGCTATTTGCTTTGTAACAACATCACAGAATATAAACTTTATCATAAAGTTAAAAAGTAAAAAAAACACAATGATCCCAATGAATTATACATGGGGTGTATAAAAAAACACATGTACTTTTAAACGTAACATCCATTAGTGAATTTAAAAAACTAAAATGAAGCTGACCAACTATCCTATTAAATTAATTTAAAAACCTGATCTACCTGATATAGAAAGCTAGGAAATTTTATTTTATTTTTCTTCGATACTTCAAAATATGAATTATGTTTGATCTATTAGATAGAGTTTGAGATATCAAAGATACCATTAGGTTGGATCAGAAAATTAGAGTATTTTGCAAGTGTTCAGTTTCTCACCTGTAAAGATCTAGGTTCTTCTGATATCAAAATATCGTTGACAATATTCTCCTCTTCTAAAACTAGATCGTGCTCTACGGATTAGAATTGTAAAGTTAACATTTTTTACTTTTCTCAAAATCGAAAAAAATACCATATTTAACTAAGCAGTAAATGATATTTTAAGAAACAGCATTTACTGAAGCATTCCATTAAAATCAAATTTGACGAAAACTTTTCATGTTTATTCTAAAAGAAATTCCGGAAAATATTGTTTTGTATTTCAATATGTAAGTTTCAAATAATTTGCTAGCTTAATTTTAAAAAAAATTTTAGAAATGAGATAAGAAAAATTATTAAGAACTAACTCTACCTGTATGATTTGTATTGCAAAATTTTGTCCAAGATACGGGGAAACGTTCTCTAAAAAACTTTTTTAATTAAAATATAATTATTGTAGTGTCTAAACTACGCAATAAAAGTAAAAATACTGGCGCAAAATTTTATCATTTAAATTTAAGTTAAAAGCAAGAGACAAATATTATGAGGTTAGGTTACCATTGTGAACCGGATGCATGTAATTCTTTAAATGACGGTTCACTTGAAATATTTCCCATCAGAAAATTGGAGTTTTTTTTAGGGGTTCCATTCGCAAAACTTTTGCGCAATTTTTGCGAAAGAAATCGCAAATCTTTGCTTTCGTTGCGTTATTCTTCACTTGCTGATAATGGAATTTTGCAGATATTTAGTTTTTTAATTAAATGATTATACGGAACTCTTTAAAACTGTTCCCGCATATTCATGGCTATTTATTTATTTTCGCAAATACTTAAATTTACGAAATAAAGTATGAAACTCATTGAAAAAATGTCAAGACGACATTCGATAAATTCTTCCAATGTATTCGTTATTAAGGGTTTCACTGTATGAAGAATGATCAACCAAAACAAATAATCAAAAACAAAAAACAAACGGAAAAAAACGAATACAAAATGTATAGGTTAGGCCGTAAGGTTGGTGTCTGGACATCACAAAAGTGAAAGTCTAAATAAAAAAAAGGTAAGACGGATCCAACAGCCTTTCTATAGTAATAGTTGAATGTTGAATAATTGTTAAGATTACCTTAATGTTTCGTAGATCAGATTATTAACAGGATTCACAGAGTTGGTGAAAAGATCAGACTGATAAAACAAGTAATCAATTTTTATAATCATAGATCAATATTAATGAATTGTAAAAAGCAGTCGAACCAGTTGCACATACAATGATAACCAGAAAACTCTGGAAACGTAAGACGAATTTTAGACTTTATTGATGACTTTTAATAGCTCAATGAACATGAGGTACAGCAATTGTGCAGTGTAAACAGACCCATTTCACTTACAATAAGTGATTTGATAACTTACTAGTAAAGCTATTTGCTTTGTAACAACATCAAAAAACATAAACTTTATCATATAGTAAAAAAGTAAAAAATAAAAACACAAAGCTCCCAATGAATTATATACATTATAAATTTATACAAACACATTTTAAAACTAAAATGCCATCCAAAAACGAAGCTGACCAACTGTCCTATTAAATTAATTTAAAAACCTGATCTACCTGATATAGAAAGCTGGGAAATTTTATTTTATTTTTCTGAACAATCGCCTTCGATACTTCAAATTATGAATTCTGTTTGAACTATTAGATAGAGTTTGAAATATCAAAGATACCATTATAGTTTACAAAGAAGAAATATGGATCAGAAAATTTTAGTTTTTTGCAATTATTCATTTTCTCACCTGTAAAGATCTAGGTTCTTCTGATATCAAAATATCATTGACAATGTTTTCCTCTTCTAAAACTAGATCGTGATCTACGGATTAGAATTGTAAAGTTAACATTTTTTCCTTTCCTCAAAATTGAAAAAATACCATATTTAACTAAGCAGTAAATGATATTTTAAGAAACAGCATTTACTGAAGCATTCCATCAAAATCAAATTTGACGAAAACTTTCTATGTTTATTCTTAAAGAAATTCCGGAAAATATTGTTTTGTATTTCAATATGTAAGTTTCAAATAATTTGCTAGCTTTATTTTAAAAAAAGGTTAGAAATGAGATAAGAAAAATTATTAAGACCTAACTGTACCTGTATGATTTGTATTGCAAAATTTTGTCCAAGATACGGGGAAACGTTCTCTAAAAAACTTCCTCAATTAAAATATAATTATTGTATCGTCTAAACTACGCACTAAATGTAAAAAGACTGACAGAGAGACAGAAAATACAAATGTGGTGGGTACTGTATTTGTAAATATAAATAATACATTTATTTATTGTACAATTTACATGTCATGATTTAACCTGCAATCCTTTCTAACCCTATCTATACAAGATCCTTCCACAACAACCTAAACAATAAAGGGAGTGTATACTTTTCATACTTTTTATACTTTTTATACTTTTATACTTTTTATACTTTTTATACTTTTATACTTTTATACTTTTATACTTTTTATACTTTTACACTTTTTAAACTTTTATACTTTTTATACTTTTTATACTTTTACTTTTTATACTTGTATACTTTTTATACTTTTTATACTTTTTATACTTTTATACTTTTTATACTTTTTATACTTTTATACTTTTTATACTTTTTATACTTTTACTTTTTATACTTTTTATACTTGAAAATCTTTTAAATCATTTTCGTCTCAAGATATATGTTCTTGACCGTTAAAAATGATAATTGAAAATTAGAATCACGCTTTTCATAATTAAACATTTCAACTTAAAAGTTTGTTTTGAACCTTCACAACAAAAAAACACACATCTCAAGGAATAAAATTGTCAATAACATTTTCAGTGAAGTGAATATTTAAAAAATTTACATTTTTTTTATATTCTAAGATCTAATTTCCTATATCATCATCTAACCCACTTTATTGTGGGTTTAAAAATTTGATTATGTTTACACAAACCTCAGTTATCGTTTGGATGCACAGCTCACAAGTTCTAAGTATGGTTTCATATTATTTTATAATAAAGGTCTTTGTTTATGTTTCATAAGTGGTAAATTTTTTCACAAACAAGTACATAAAGTAAAAACTCTCCCCTGTTGAACTGTGTCTTGTGAAACGGGTTAAAGAGTACAAATATCTACAATTAGATATAAATATCCAATAGGCGCAATCTAATCTAATGAATTTTTTTAGCCATCTGTGATGTATAATCCCCCGGTAATTCCTCCAACCTAATCCTTTTTTTTTCTATATAAATTTTGTCCCTTGCATAAGTATAACGAAAATGTTACACTTTTGATTTCTCGTATTTTTACAGTGAAACCCTTAATAACGAATACATCGAAAGAATTCATCAAATGTCGTATTCTTCACTTTCTGATAATGGAATGTTGCAGATATTTAGTTTTTTAATTAAATGATTGTATGGAACTCTTTAAAACTGTTCCCGCATATTCATGGCTATTTTCGTAAATACTGAAGTTTACGTAATATAGTATAACACTTATTGAAAAATTGTCAAGACGACATTTGATAAATTCTTCCGATGTATTCGTTATTAAGGGTTTCACTGTATTTATATAATAAATCCATGCTTTCCTAGACTTTAGATTAATTATTTCAGTTTGATTCGTGTGCATACATTCCTCATCAGTGTTTATAAACCTAAACAAGAACATGGTTAATTGATTTAGGGGATTTAAACAATTTTAAAATCTTTTAATCATTAGTTAAATTTTTTAAATCTTGCTTCCCTTCTCATTTAAAACTTCAAAGTTGTTTAAACAAAATGTGAACATAGCAGACGAAACTCTTACAGATTACAGCTTTCTCAGTAGGTATCACTATACTAAATCAAAGAATTAGTTAAAAAGACGATATCGAATTCGTCACTGAATTCCCATGTTTTTTGGGACACCCTGTAGTATAACACTTATTGAAAATTTGTCAAGACGACATTTTATAAATTCTATCGATGAATTCGTTATTAAGGGTTTCACTGTATTTATATAATAAATCCATGCTTTCCTAGACTTTAGATTAATTATTTCAGTTTGATTCTTGTGCATACATTCCTCATCAGTGTTTATAAACCTAAACAAGAACATGGAGATTTAGGGGATTTAAACAATTTTAAAATCTTTTAATCATTAGTTAAATTTTTTAAATCTTGCTTCCCTTCTCATTTAAAACTTCAAAGTTGTTTTTTATTCATCCCTAGTGATAGTGGATTACGCACGCTTCATGTTAAAAATGTCCTAGAAATCTGAAATGTTTTTAGTTACCTACAGTTGACAGGGGCGCATATATCTCCTATTCTTGATTCCGAACATGAATTCACATTTTCAACCCTGCTCTTTTCTTCATAATAGTCAACTCCTCCCTGCCTTTAAACATATACTTCTTATCATAATCATATTGGAACCTATTTAAATTAAATTAGAAATAAGATATTTACAAAGACGTTAGAATAGTTATGACTTTTGTCTTTTAGGGTATAAAGACGTTCAGATTATAAAAAAGACGCAGAGTCTAAAAAGAATCTAAAAGATGTTACCTCACAACATTTTCCACAGTTTTAACAACATGGTTGACCCAACAGGTTCTTTCGAACTGGGGCCTGTGGGAAAAAAACAAAATCATGTTTTACTAAAGATAATGTCGTTTTTCTACTTAAAGATGTCTGATAAATCTTCCATTATTTTTGAACCAAGTCATTTTTTGTAGAAACTAAAAAAGAATATAATCAGTTTTCAAAATATAAAAAAACATGGATATCTTGTTCATACTCGATCAGATTTTTGATCAGACAAAACTGTCAATGGTGCCGTTGTGAATCGAACACTTAAAACATATTTACAGTCCCTTTAATTTACGTTTAGATTCTTACCTACAGCTGGTTTTACAGTTGTAGCAAGGACCCTGGCACTGTCTTTCAACTCTTTACAAAGACGACATTTTTACATTATTTGTCCCTGGATTTAAATAAAATTCTTTGTCTTATTTGGGAAATCTTTATAAATTAAAAAGTAATTATAAAACAGAAAAAAGGAATTTTCAAATTAATACATTGAACACTTAAATATAAATAGGTTAAACAAACGATTGGTGAAAAGTTAATCGTTTTTTTATAATGTGAAAATTGTGAAAAATCAAGACAATGGCTGTTGATTCACGGATAGAAAGTAGAAGATATCTCTGAGACAAAAGTTATTATTGGTTCAGGCCTAATTGCAACTATGTAACGTTCATTAAATGAAGGTTATTTTTTCTAATCCGTTTAGAGCATAAGAAGCTAAATTCAAAAATATCTTTGGGTTTTCTCAAATCAAATATTAAAAACAACAATAATTATTATAATACAATATTCCACCAAATCGGCAAAAGAAAAGAAAATATTCTGAATAAAAATTTTTGACAAAAATGTTGAAGATGTGCAGTGTTCCTTGTGCCGCAGGTTGTAAGACTAGTTTCAGTGGGAACCCGTTCATTACTCGTCTAGTATACAATACATGTATATATTTATATAATTACAACAGAATAGGATCAGGATATGATCAGGATAGGATCAGGATAGGATCAGGATAGGATCAGGATAGGATCAGGATAGGATCAGGATAGGATCAGGATGGGATCAGGATAGGATCAGGATAGGAAAAGGATTGGATCAGGATAGGATCAGGAATAAAATGTTCTTGAAATAAAAAGTATTTAACCTGGCAATTTTTAAGCATCCTCCCACCTTGTAGTGTACAATCGTCTTCATATCTTGCTTTTTTTTCTCTAATTATAAATATTTTTAAATCAAAGATCAATAAAAAATTTTACAATTAATTTAGACTTTATAGATGTGCATTGTTTTGGATTTAGTTTTTAGATATTTACGGCGTCACGACAAGAATCGCTTCAGCTCTTGATCGCGACCCATGAAAGTTATATCTGATGCATATACCCTAAAATCATTTCTATATCATTTCTATTTCTATAATATTTTTGAAAAAGTAAGTAGCTGCCCTTACTGTTCAGCTTACACTTTTTTGATCATTTCAAGAGTTTTGATCATTTGGTATTTGATCTTTTGATATTTTTCCTTCCTGTCTCATGAAATTAATATAAAACTTTATATTTTTACGAAAATTCAAGTATATGGAGCAGAACTCCTATCAATGAGAGTGCAGTATACTGGTCACGTGTCTCTCTCTGTATCACGTGACTAGTATACTGCACTACCATTGGTGGGAGTTCTGTGACGTCATACCAACTTATAAATAATATTATCAATTATATCAACTAAAAATCAAAATCAAAATTATATAATGATAATTGGAAAAACCTAAGTTACAATAGGTTTCTGGTGGATATCTTTGTTTTCATATTGGTTGCATATTTGCTGAATATGATTTGTTTAAATCTACTATTTCTATACAAAATTGTATATATATGAATTTTCGTATAAATTTGACACAGGTTTAATATCAATCTTTTGAAACAGGAACATCAGATATAACTTTCACGGGTCGCAATCAAGAGCTAAAGTAATTTGGCTTTCAGCCTATACCCCCTTTCATTTTTCCTTTACAGTCCCTTTAATATATCATTAAATTGTAATCTCTAAAAGAATTGCTTTATTATCCAAAATTTTTTATCAAAACGATTAGCTTTAGTCCTAATATGATTCTGTATAATGTTAAAAAAGCTCACTTATTTAATGATAAGGTTTCATGAGAAATTAAAATTATTGTAGAGCTTCTGAAAAGTATAAACCATGAATGTTTAACACAAACTTCAAACAAATGACTGAAGATTAATGATTATAAAAAAATTTAAGTATTATATACCGGTATTTTTTATGCATTAAAACATCTTTCTGATCCATCTTGCTTGAATGTGAACCAAAATATTTTGATTTTTGATTTATTTGAAAAATCCGATGTTTCTAATCCACAGGATTCAAAAAAGTTTCTTCTCCTGACGAGAAGCTTATATTAGGCTTGAATCGGTTTTGCTGTTCAGAATAGTTCAGTTGCGTTAGGGTCGAATTTTATTAAATTGTTTACAAGGAAAAAAATGAAAGAAAAATGTTATCGATCAATCAATATTTTAATAAGATTTGTTCTTTCTCAATATTCATATACAATCCCTTCAAATATTTTCACCTTTGGCAAACCCGTTCCTTCCACCCTGTACACCCTGTCCTGCTCGGCACAAGGAAACATCTAAAGGAATTGAGTTTTTGTCACAAACTCAAATTGTCAAATCCCTATATCTTCACAACCTGATGATGTAAACCTTTGGTATTTCAATGTTCGATTATTTGGTCTATCAGAATTCATAGTTTGAAATATCAAAGGTCTACGACATTGGGTAGCAAAGATATAAAGATTAGAAAAGTAGAGTTTGTGACAAAAACTCACTTCCTTTAACAAATTAATATTGATTAAATTAATCCAAGAACATCTCTCAGAATGCAGAGAATTTAAATATTTACAAAACATGTATCAGAAACGGTTCAACATTCACGTAAGAAAAAGAAATATTGCATTTATTATATTTGAAAGTCATTTATAGTTAAATCTGTTTTATATCTGTAAAGTTTTATAATTTTAAATGTTTAAGTATTTATTGCAGTGCATGAATCCTAGCTACCAATGTAACATAGTTTGTTTTTGCAGTTTTTGTATAAATGTTAAGAAAACTAGTTTAAAGATCAAGTTTAACATTTTATTAAAGTCCAAAGCTCATGCGATAAATATTGGTTTTTGTTTTTTTTGCTGGATTTTCATGACATTTTCAATCTTTTTCTAAACACAAACAAATCCTGTAAAATTTGTAGAAGTTTGGTTTGATTAGGCATTTGTACCGGCACTCCTATAAATAGTCATAAAATAGGTACTTTTAACAATTGTTAATGTTATGTCATTTCAAGATAACAAACAAACAGCCATCAAATTCTTAATATTAATAGTAACTAATTACTAATCCATAGAACCTACCCTTGTAGAGTAGTAACTACAAGTTTAACATTTTATTAAAGTCCAAAGCTCATGCGATAAATATTGGTTTTTGTTTATTTTGCTGGATTTTCATGACATTTTCAATCTTTTTCTGAACACAAATAATTAGGCATTTGTATCGGCACTCCTATAAATAGTCATAAAATAGGTAGTTTTAACAATTGTTAATGTTATGTCATTTCAAGATAACAAACAAAACAACCACCAAATTCTTAATATTAATAGTAACTGATAACTAATCCATAGAACCTACCATTGTTGAGAAGTAACTGATAATTAATTCATAGAACCTACCCTTGTAGAGTAGTAACTGATAATTAATTCATAGAACCTACCCTTGTAGAGTAGTAACTAATAACTAATCCATAGAACCTACCCTTGTAGAGTAGTAACCGATAATTAATTTATAGAACCTACCCTTGTAGAGTATTAACTAATAATTAATCCATAGAATCTACCCTTGTAAAGTAGTAACTGATAATTAATTCATAGAACCTACCCTTGTAGAGTAGTAACTAATTACAAATCCATAGAACCTACCCTTGTAGAGTAGATACTGATAATTAATTCATAGAACCTACCCTTGTAGAGTAGTAACTGATAATTAATCCATAGAACCTACCCTTGTAGAGTAGTAACTGATAATTAATCCATAGAACCTACCCTTGTAGAGTAGTGACTGATAACTAATCCATAGAACCTACTCTTGTAGAGCAGTAACTAATAACTAATTCATACAACCTACCCTTGTAGAGTAGTAACTGATGACTAATCCATAGAACCTACCCTTGTAGAGTAATAACTAATAACTAATTCATACAACCTACCCTTGTAGAGTAGTAACTAATGACTAATCCATAGAACCTACCCTTGTTGAGTAGTAACTGATAGCTAATCCATAGAACCTACCCTTGTAGAGTAGTAACTGATAATTAATCCAAAGAACCTACCCTTGTAGAGTAGTAACTGCAAACTGATTAATAGAACCTACCCTTGTAGAATAGTAACTGATTCGATGCTTACCAAAGGATTTTTCCCAAATGGAAACTTCCTAATGGTATTTTCCCAAGTGGCAACTTTCCAAATTATTTTTTCTAGCCGCAGCGCTCGGCCCCAGCCTGTTTTAGCCGCGGCGCTTGGCCCTTATCCCATCCTAGCCGCAGCGCTAGGCCGCCATTGCAACATGCGTCTAACTTAACCTTTGGGAAATTGTCGCTTGGAAAATTACACATTTGGAAAGTTGCCACCTGGGAATTTTTCACTTTGGGAAAGTACCTAACACCACTAATCCATAGAACCTACCCTTGTAGAGTAGTAATAGACGCAGTGCCTGGTTTGTCTTGAGCTAGCTGTAAATCTTCCTCAGTAAGAAGTTCTTCCCTTTAAAAAGTATAAAAACGTTTTCTTAATTTTATAATTTTAAACTTGTGATATCTGAAATTTTTATTATTGAGGTTGCAAAGACTAAGAAACTAATCTTGTAGTAAATGCCCTACTCCAATAAGGGTTTCCTAATTTCTTAAACCTGTATCTAACCAGGTACAACTCAGTTTCACTTTACTATCAGTGTCAAAACCCGGACACATTCAATCTCTAACCAATTGGCACGATCTTGTTAGCTATTATTGTCAACCAGAAACTAGCTTGTAAACTATCAATGCCAAACCAATGGGCGCGATCCTCAACTTGTTTGTTAAAAGAAGGAACAATTACTCTCTTGCAGTAATCAATTCGGAAGATGCGGAGTCTCTATATTAACTATAATGTGTTTTTAAATATTTATGTTACAGATTAACTATAATAAACCTATTAACAAGATTAGCACAGATATATATAAGCGTATTTAAGCCAGTCACTGGCGTAGTTCTAAGTTAATCAAAATACAGGTTTTTGCGTATGTACAGATGTAGCTAGGCCAGGTTAATCGCATTACAAGTTTTGCGTAGTTAATGATAAGTGTATTTGGATTGCTGTATTTATTACAATCTTGCCTATGCCTTTGCATGCCGATGGTGTAAACCTTTGATTATACAAACGTTGACTATTTGATCTAACAGAAGTCATATATTGAAAATATCAAAAGTTTACACAATCTGGTTACAAAAATGCAAGGATTAGAAAAATACATTTTGAGATAGTTAATTAGTCCTCAAGTAATCAGATATTTATTTATTTATTTTGCATTTTATTAAATTTATTCTGAGTTCTGACTAACCTGAGACTATGTTGCCCTTGAACTAGCTTTGAAACAAGAACGTAAACAAAAAATCTACAACACAAAAATATATCCAGCATTAATATAAAAAAATATATCCAGCATTAATATAACAAAAATATATCCAGCATTGATTTAACAAAATGATATCCAACATTAATAATATATCCAGCAATAATATAACAAAAATATGCCAAGCATTAACATTAAAAAAATATATTCAGCATTAATATAACAAAAATATATCCAGCATTAATATAACAAAAATATGTCCAGCATTAATATAACAAAAATATATCCAGCATTAATATAACAAAAATATATCCAGCATTAATATAACAAAAATATATCCAGCATTATTATTACACAAATATATCCAGCATTAATGAAATAAAAATATAGATTCCACCATTTGTTCTCTACTTTTTAAAGTTCTAATGTTTGTATCCTTTGTTTTTTTAATTAAACTATTTTTATCTTCGTTAAACATAAAAAATATCTAAAATGTATCAAGTAAAAACTGAAGTCTAGGAAACAACGAAATATTTCTCAGAAAACAAGTTTATTCAATCAAATACCTAAATTTCATTAGTGATAATTAATTAATATCATAAAAATAATAATATATCTTTACCTTAACATGATTTCTGATATTATTTTACAAGCACGTGGAGAACATTATATTAGCATAAAAATAATAATCAAATAATAATTATTATTATTAATATGGTATCACCCCCAGGGCCGGGATGCTACTATACCTCCACAACCCAACCCATAATATCCTTCAGCAATCCATCTATCCATCTATCTATCTATCTTCATTGAGCACCATGAGAAGATAAATTCTAAATTGTTTTCAACATTTAAAATTCTGTGATGGTGATGGACCAAACCTCTGTAGAGTTAAAAAAGTGGATGTTAGTTCCACAATTATTGAAAATATATTTCGGTCATGGGTTGACTCTCTTCAGTTCTAACTAACGATAAAATAACCATCAAAATCAATACAAAAAATTTTTAAAAACCACAAGAAAATAAACAAACAAAAATATTATTTATGAAAAAAAAATTTGGGCTGTCAAATGGACAAAAGGGACATGTGATGGGAAAAAGATAATTTGCAAATATTCACTTTTTAAAAAATATTTTAAAACAAGAATTATTCCTTGAGATTGTGTTCAGTCAGTTTTTTTAATTGTCGTAAATAATGAGTTAATTAATAAATTTGCCGAATATCGTTGTCAATTTGTCTGTTTTTTTAATGATTTTTTTCTTTAATTTCTGATATAAGGTTTTTAGGTTTTATTTAAGTTGTTCATGTTATGTTTATATTCGTAATTTTTTAATGTCTCAAAATCCTATATCCGGTCCGGTTACCCTATACCTATATCCTATATCCTATATCCGGTCCGGTTACCCTATACATATGTCCTATATCCGGTCCGGTTACCCTATATCCGGTCTGGTTACCCTATATCCGGTCCGGTTACCCTATATATACCCTATGTCCGGTCCGGTTACCCTATATATACCCTATGTCCGGTCCGGTTACCCTATACATATCCTATATCCGGTCCGGTTACCCTATATTCGGTCCGGTTACCCTCTATATATCCTATATCCGGTCCGGTTACCCTATATATACCCTATATCCGGTCCGGTTACCCTATATATATCCTATATCCTATATCCGGTCCGGTTACCCTATACCTATATCCTATATCCGGTCCGGTTACCCTATATATATCCTATATCCGGTCCGGTTACCCTATATCCGGTCCGGTTACCCTATATCCTCAAAGTATGAGCTTATTTATTGGAAACCTAAAACTCATTAAATACAAAGCTTTTAAGATTATATTTGTTTTCTTCTTCATTTAATAATGAATATTGCCTTTAAATGATTTAATGAACAATTTGAGAATAATAGCTGATGGAAACAAGGAGTGGGAGAAAAAAATGTTGTATAAATTCTTTGTCTCTCATTCTTTGTGGTTAACCCTGTAAAACAAGCCTTTTTACTTGGTAAGCCACTGCCTGCAGTTTCTAGTGCATGTATGCGCAGTGCGCAGTTGCCTAATTGAACCTCGGGCTTTGTCAATGCATTTTGTGTGCATTGTGCACCCAACCCATCCTGCCCAGTGCCCATCCTATATCCCCTCTTCCCGTCCTCCCATCCCTCCCTCCTCATCCTATATATTAACCCAAAAAGCTGTGAGGTGTGGGGGAGATGTTTGGTAGCCCCAATCTCCTGTCAGGCACTACCACTCCCACTTTCAAACTTCTTAATTCCCAGAAAAATATAATTTTTTTAAAATATTTGTCACATGTTTGTATTTGTCAAAATGGAAAAATTTATATTTTAAAATTCTCAGATGAACATATTTTTTTAAACCTCCCATCCTAAACATAAAAGTTTAATTTCTATATTTTACTAAAATAAGCATTCCTTGAAAATTGGGCCATGAGTTGAGCACATACTTTGCAACTCTTGCACCTCCATAATACCTGTAAGGCTTTTTTCTAGGGACCCCCGATTAAGAATTTTTGAATCAAGCTGATTGTAATATGCTTGGCAACATTAAACGTGCTGGGTCGACTCCCTATTAAGTACTGCATGTTGTACTGTACCGCCTCGAATCTTGCAACGTTTAGACTGGGATGAGCAAACGACATTTCATTGGTTCCTCAATCCAAATTTGAGGCAAATCGATATCTTAGATTTCTGACTTATAATCATACAGATTGGAAACACATTTATTTTTTCAGAATCAAATTATAAACAAAGTAAAAATGACCAAAACACTGAGCATTAAACGAAATCTTGAATTGATATTTATAGAATCTGCAGCAGCCTCTGCCCTCAGACTTCCACCTGTTGCATCCTCCTTAAATAATTAAAATAACTGAATTGTTTATTATGAAAATATTCGGAATTATTTTTTTAAATTTTTAAATTTTTAATTATTTAATTGTTGTTTGCAAAATAGATAGTTTATGGGGATACAAATGTTTTTTCACCTGCTGTAACTTTGCCAGATTTCCTCCTGAGACACTTTTTTGGATTACAGGGGGAGCTTGATTGAATTGTCCCTCTATAAATACATGAATATTAGTTAAATATCATGAAACTAGGAAACTAGGAAGCTTAAAAGCATAAAATAAAAATATTGCAGCCGCAGGGCGAGCCTAGAAAAAACGCCAAGAAACTCTAATCTAGAATATTACAAGGGGAAAACCACCTATAAACATTTATCTAGAATAGTACAGAATAGTACAGGGGGAACAAGAAACCCACTTAGAAATATTTATCTAGAATATTACAGGGGGAGGGGAACTTGAAAATACCCCAAGAAACATTTATTTACGGTGGTAGAAGATTATTTCAATATGATGAAGACGACTTTCGATTTAAATTTTGATTTATATCAGGCTTTTAAACAGCAAGGAAAAACAAAACATGGAAACAAAGAGAAGCTATCAATAAAAAATGTTCTCTTTAATTACGCATACTTGTAATTCGAAAAAAGCTTGTTAACAATTAAAACTTAAATAAATAAGTCGTCTTCATTATAAGGATATAATCGCCTACCACCGTAGGATATTAAATGACGAAACTAAATATCCACTTAAAAACAGCTTTTTCTAGAATATTACAGGGAGAACCTTGAAAACCTAAATCTAGACTTAAAGGGAGAAATTGTAAAGGAATTGAGTCTTTGCCACAAACTCTGATTTTATAATCCCTATATCTTTGGAACCCAATGTCGTAAATCTTTGATATTTCATACTTATATTATTTGATCTAACAGAATTCATAGTTTGATTAATCTAAGGTCTACGACATTGGAATCCAAAGATATAGGATTTAGAAAAGCAGAGTTTGTTGTAAAGACTCAATTCCTTTAGAAAGATTTAATTAAATAAAAATGCTCAATTCATTCACGTTTTTGTTCAAGGTGCAAAACAAACAGACTTGATTTAGAAAAATCCAAGATTACTGTTTTTGTTTTGATTATGGTTAGTTGGCAATATCAGTTTTACAAAAGTTTGTCACTTAATGATCAAATTTTATCTAAATGCCTTTAGATTTTCATGTTTATAAGGATCACTTACAATGTTTTTCTATACTCCTTTGACATTTATTAACTTTACAAAAACCAAAGACAAATTGTAAGTTCCAGGGTCCAATGTCTAACGTACTGCATAACACCCCAGCGAAAAAATTACATCAAACCTTGACTATGATATATCCATCTATTATATATCCATGATAAGGATACTCCTTTTAAAACCTTTTAAAATGAAAATTACGCCACCTGGTGGTGTACTCAGATTTGGGTTTGGTTTGGTTTCTAGACTCTGCCTGGCCACACGTGGAGAACTGTTGCAACCGTCCGTAAAACAACACATAGCATCAGCTGAAAAATTGATAACTTGATAATTATAAGATTAGAAAATTAATTAGAAAGAAAAAAATTGTTTTTAAAAAAGATGAATATTGCCAAAACTATTTATGTAGGTTTAAACACTTTTCAAAAAATTAAGGCAAAACTTTTCGTATCATTTATCATAGTAATCAACCTTTTCTGTCTTCTAGTTCTCCACTAATCATCTCAAATCTATCTTATCTAATTTTACGACATGTTTCGTTAAGTTAAAATTTAGAGAGATTTTTTCATAAATTTACTTGAACTTTAACTGCACTAATTTTAGCATAAAGCATCACATAAATTTCACTTTTGGCGTACAGACCCGTTCTGTATTTGTATTCTACAGCTTGCTATAGCTAATTAAAAGTCGGCCTGGTACTTGAAATGAACCGGAGTTTACAGTGACACGTAATTTTTAGTTTTGTGGATATACTGACAGTCCTAAATAACAGGCTAAAATATCGTAACAGAAGATTAACAGAAATAAAAAAACTATTTTTACCTTCACCATCATGGAATTGTTTTGCTACTCTGATCTTCAAAGTTTTAAAGTTTGACTCCGAGCAGAGAGATTCAGGAGACACGATCTAAACAATCAAAATTATAGAAAAAAAAAAAATAATAAGAGGCGTTCACGGGGGGTTGCATGGGTTTTCAATGTTTCAATCCCCCACCCCCTCCCCCTCTGAATAAGTAAAATCTTTGGTTTCCAGGGTTTTTTAGTTTAAAATTGAACATTTCTATAATCCCTTTATCTGAGCCTGAGATGATAAGTAAATATTTTAAATTTTAAATTTTGACTCAAAAGTCTACACCATCAGGTAGCAAGTGATAAGTTTCTTTTTTAAAAACGTTTAAAAAATATTATTTAGTTTATTTAAAGGAACTGTCAAAATTGTTTGAAATATCCATATAATTAAAAAAAAAGCCATAAACAATGAACGACAATACCATATTGATCTTTATATGATAAACTATAAATTTTACGTATAGAAGTAGATAAATATGGTACAGAGCTACTCACAAGAATGAGACAAACAAAAAGACGACCCTAAACTTTTAAAATATTACGATCTGAATGTAAGATTTAGTCTTTTATTGGTATACTTTATGGTTTGGAATAGGGAAAACCTAGTTTCGAATTCAGTATTATCATTAAAATCTAACAATTGACATTTTTAAAAATAAATGGTGACAATGAAATATTAATAATTTACTAAAATGACCTTGGTTAGTAAAGTATATCTTTAAAGAGTTTGGTGTATTAATAATTTACTGTTTGACCCAATTCCCATTTATATATAAACCAAACTGGCAGTGAAGAACTACAGGGCTATCCACAAAGTACAGGCTACAATTGTTCATATACGATGGTCCAAAAGGTTAGATTAAGCTTTCTGCTATGAAACAAAAAATTCTTTTATATGCTTATTTAATGATTTCACAAAGATAGAAAAATAGTTACAGTTGCAAGGAATATATATATATGAAAACAGATAATAAAAAAGTATCATATTTTGTGGGTGAACCTGTATTTGATTTATTAGACTGATAAGAACATTGTGTCTGGTCAAACTTAAATACCGCTCGAAGAATCATAACCAAAGGCAAAAAGTGTTTAATACAATGTCAAACACCTCGTTCGAATTCATTTATCTTAGAAATAAGGCACTAAAATAATAGTTTATTTATGTATGTTAAATAAAAATTGTCTCTAAATATTTATTTTTTTATACTAGATTACTTTGGGAATTATTTTTTACACTAAATTACACTTGGAATATTTTTTATACTTGATTACGCTTGGAATATTTTTTATTCTTGATTAGGCTTGGAATATTTTTTACACTTGATTACGCTTGGAATATATTTTATGCTTGATTACGCTTGGAATATTTTTTATACTTGTTTACGCTTGGAATATTTGTTATGCTTGATTACGCTTGGAATATTTTTAATACTTGATTACGCTTGGAATATTTTTTATGCTTGATTACGCTTGGAATATTTTTTATACTTGATTACGTTTGGAATTTTGTTTACTACACTATCGTAATTTCAATTTATCATTCATTTGTAGAGTAGCATGGCCGATTCTAAAGTACTCTGATAATCGTTGTAATGATCATAAAACGAAAAAGATATCCATGTTTTAACTAGGAAAATTAGGAAAATTAGGGAAAATTAAGAAAATAAGGAAAATAAGGAAAATTAGGAAAATTAGGAAAATTTTGAATATTATGAAAATTAGGAAAATTAGAAAAATTATGAATATTAGGAAAATTAGGAAAATTAGAAAAATTAGGAAAATTAGAAAAATTATGAATATTAGGAAAATTAGGGAAATTAGGAAAATTAGAAAAAATATGAATATTATGAATATTATGAAAATTAGGAACATTAGCAAAATTATGAATACTACGAATATTAGGAAAATTAGGAAAATTAGAAAAATTACGAATATTAGGGAAATTAGGAAAATTAGAAAAATTAGGAAAATTAGAAAAATTAGGAATATTAGGAAAATTAGGGAAATTAGGAAAATTAGAAAAATTATGAATATTAGGAAAATTAGGTAAAATTAGGAAAATTAGGAAAATTAGGAAAATTAGGAAAATCAGGAAAATTAGGAAAATTATGAATATTAGGAAAATTAGGAAAATTAGGAAAATTAGAAAAATTAGGAAAATTAGGAAAATTAGAAAAATTACGAATATTAGGGAAATTAGGAAAATTTGAAAAATTATGAATATTAGGGAAATTAGGGAAATTAGAAAAATTATGAATATTAGGAAAATTAGGGAAATTAAGGAAAATTAGGAAAATTAGAAAAATTATGAATATTAGGAAAATTAGGGAAAATTAAGAAAATTAGGAAAATAAGGAAAATTGGGAAAATAAGGAAAATTAGGAAAATTAGGAAAAATAGGAAAATAAGGAAAAATAGGAAAATTAGGAAGATTAGGAAAATTAGGAAAATTTTCTACTGTTTTTTCTTAACTTAGGCTCTAAGGTATGATCATATGTACAAGATATTTACTTATGTAAAAAGAATGTTATACAATTCCTTGTGAGACATGTACCTGCTGAATCATAGTACCATCACTAAGAGCAAGAACCCTACAAGCGTTGGCTGTAGGATAGTCAATTAGGTTTCCCGGGCAGTCCTGAACAAATAATTAAATAACTATTTAAAAATTGAAAAATTCCTTTATTAATTACACAGTTTAAACTTGTAAAGAAACTCAAATTTTTAAAATCCTTATTTCTTTGAAACTTTGACGTTTGACAATTTAAAATTTGATTATCCGATTATGACAGAATTCATTGGTTGAAAAATCAATGGTCTGCGCTATCAGGTTGCAAAGAGTATAGAGAATTAGAGTCAAAGCGAGAAACCATCTTTTATAATTTTTCGATTACTTTTTGTTAACAGAACTTTAAATCTTTAAGGCATAAAAAGGAAAGATATTGTTGAATTCCAAAGATATTTATATCCTTGTTTAAATTTAGATATTCTAGGCTTTTAGGGCGCTTCGCGCCCATCTTCTATTTAAATTGTGAACATGTTCGTTTTGTTTACATTTTAAAACAACGAAGAAAAAAATTTTGCGGATTTAAAAAAAAATTTGCGGATTTTCAAGAATTAAATTTTTTTACCAAATTAAAAAACTTTAAAACACATTTTTTTAATTTTTATCATTCATAAACCTTTCCTGTGGTCACGTGATGTCCCACACAAAATTTGGGCCCGATCGGTTCTGCCGTTTTGACGTTTATTGGATACAAACAAACTAAATTACTAAAAGAACGCATCGTACAATTGAGGACGTTGTGTTCATATTTTCATTTATAGTGGTTTTAAATCAGAACCCACAATTTTGATGGGTTTTTAAAGGAGTTTTATAATATATTTGTTTTATTGGTTAAAACTAACCCATTGCTTGAAGAATAGTTGAAATGAACAATTCTAATATAAAATTATAAACTGAATTTACCTTAGGTGATCTGCTATCCAGTATATTGCAGTCGTAACATTTTATACATTCAGAAACTATAAGATAAAATATGTAAATTTAATATGCTATTTTGTATTTTAGTTATGCAAGAGCAATTTATGTCTTCAGTTTGTGTATTCGAGAAAACTCTGATAAAGGAACAGAGTTTTGGTCACAAACTCAAACTTTCCAATCCCTATATATTTGCAACCTGATGGTATAAACCTTTGATATTTCCAACTGAGACTATTTAATCTAACAAAATCCAGAGTCTGAAATATCAAACGTCCAACATCGGGTTGGCAAAAACTTAGATAATTTTCGCCTCAAAATGTTGATGTAATAGTTTACAGTAAAGGCTGAACCGGTTTAACATATATATTGTATAGTGTTCATGAGCCTTAGATAAAAGATAATTAAGTTCAAGGTTGTAAGGCAAGGAAAGTAATTGCTGTCGCGTATACTCTGCGTACATATTTAAACCAGTTCTCTCTGGGCGGAATTTGTAAACAAGAATAGATGCATCAGTGTTCGTTTAGTATCCGAGGAGGTTAAAAGCATTACATTTTGAAAATTTTATTTCATTGATTTTTTTATGTTAAAGATGGATCCCATGTCAGGCTTTGACATCCGTCTTGTGTTTACATTAGCGCCCAGAGACAGTACACTGCAGTACAAAAGATGCGTACACTTCTGAAATAACTTTCCATACATTACATCATTGATTCAGTTAAAGAAACAGCTAATTTCGGAAAAGCCTTCTCTTAATATGGGAAATAATAAAATGTCAAAAAAATCATAACAAAGGAAACTAACAAGCTTGGGAAATATTTATTATTTTTCCCGCAAATTTAAAGCGTACACACCTCGTATTTAGCAATTAGTTTTCCCCGAAAGAAATTGACGTTTCGCCACAAACTCAATTTTTCTAAACCCTATATCACTACAACCTGATGGCGTGACCCTTTGATATAGGGATAAGAAAGTCGGAGTTTGTGGCAAAGACTCAATTCCTATCGAAGTGCTGGAGCTGTATGATTTTGTTCTTACAAACTTTTCGTCTTGCATTTGAAAAAAATAACACTCCTTAATCTATTTATTACCTGGAACAAGTGAACTAATTAGGAAAATATAAATATATTCCATATTGTTTATTTGTTTACGTGTGAAGAAGCGCCAAGGTACTGCAAAGCAAGTGAGAAAATAAAACTAGATCAAGGACAGCAATTAGAGTAAACCCTCGCTTTCTACCATTAAAAGTAGCCATACATACATTAATTATTAACAGGTTATCTACTTAATAGGTTCACAAGAAAATATGTTAAACGATTTCCAAAAACTATAAAGAGTTAAAATCGAATAACCGGATAAATAATTGTGAAGTCTAAAGTTGCTTTTTCCTTTATAAAAATGACCAAGTGATAGCCAATATGTGGGGTTAGGTTAGGTTAAGACGATTTCTGGGCCGAGCACTGCGACTAGGACAGGCTAGGGGGCCGAGCGCTGTGGCCACATTTATCAAAATGACAAAGGTATAACCGATCATTGGGGTTAGGTTAGGTGAAGACATTTTTTGTGCGTCCGACCTACAGAAGAGTGCAACCAACTTAAGAAAGCTGTGCAACCGACCTACAGCTTGAAGCTGCTGAAAAACCACGTGCGGGTAAGTCCGAAGTATCTAACGACGAATGTAAGGTTGGGCGGATGTAATACAATCCACATGCCCTTATCTTCGGATAACACAACCAAGCAGAGTACACAAGTTTTGTAAATAATATTAGATGGTAGTCGAACCTTCCGTAGGTCCGAAGTATCACAGGACGGAAGTACTGTAGGACGTAAATCCCGTAGAATAGAAGTAATTACCATAATATTACACACTTTAGAGGTTTAGAAAATTATAAAAACATATTTGTTCATTTGAATTCCCTAAAACAAAGGATTTTCTAAAATTAAGAAAAAAATCTAAGTTTGAAGAATACCAGCTCAATACTTGCTCAGTTATATGATATCTGGATCAGAAATAGGGTTAAGTTACTTTCCTGACTTTCCTAGGTTTTCTTGACCTAATTTTGCAACTGATTAATTAGTAATATATTATTCTAACCATAGACTGAAGGTAGGAAAAGGTCATTCAAACAGTAATTTCAAGGGACCCTCCATTTAAATATGACAATTGCTCAATTCAAAACAATACCCCTGAAACCTTAATCTAATAAAAATTATGGAAGATTGGGTCATTTTTCCTGGTTTAAGAGAGTTTAATCCTGAAAATTCCTTTACGTTTTACACAAGTAGTTAAGGGTAACATTGCGATTTGTAAATCGGACATTTCCTTACATTACGCTTATTGTCCCTTTGATTCAAAATTTATCAGATTTTAATAGCAGTAACGGATTAAACTAGTAACTGATTACAACAGTAACGGATTAAACTAGTAACTGATTACAACAGTAACTGATTAAAACAGTAACTTATTACAATAGTAACTGATTACATCATATCAGTAACTGCAAGGACAGACCCTAAATATGATATCAGGTTTATATTATATATTTAAGAGAGAATCAGTTTTATATTATTAATAGAGTCATATGCTTATTTCATCTCTAATCTTTAGAATTACATTTTCTTCAGACGTTTGTAGATTTTTTAAAATTCAGTGATTATTTGTTTGTCTTGTTGATATTTGAACTGCAAGGTTTACATCTTAACTTCCTGATATTGGATTCCAACATCTTTACTGAATGTGTAGTTTGTAATGTTGATTTCTAATGCATTCTTTATCAAAAAAGTTTTTAAACGTATTGATATGAGCAGGTTTTACAGTCTTTGCGTAGGTCAGTTGAAATTATGCTTACATTCTCTTTGATTAGGCTGTGAATTTTATTTACAAGCTTTACCTGTTATATCTGTGGTACTAGTTCTTATTTCATGGCTTCCAGTTTTTGCAATGACTGAGAAAAATTAGTTTTTCTTTAGAACTTGTTCACAAAAAAATCACATTAGATTTTTTCTGGGTGTTTTTTATTTTTTTTTATATATTTCAAATGGTAAGAGGCATATGTGATGATTGTCTTTTTACATTTTTTTTCATTCCAAAATTTATTTATCAAAATTATAAAATTGCAGACTGGAGCTTGGACTATATGCATGGCTTATGCCTGGGCGTAATGAAGAAATTACTTGTTGTTTGGACAGAAGGACCCAGGGGTGTAACGCTGTCTGCCACCAGCATTCAAGAAATCTCGAGAAGATTAATTGCCATTCGGAATTTCATTCCTTCAGACTTCGCTATAAGGTAAAAGATAATGAATTTATTAAATTTTAGTATTTAGAGTTTTTAAAAAATTTGAATTGTTTAAAATGTTTTAAGCTCAGGTTTTGAAGTCGTTTATTTCTTATAACATATATATCACTATGCTTTGCAAACTTAAAAATTTCTATTTTACTAATTTTTTTTTCTTGAATTATTGTCAAAAGGCTCTCAGACTGCTATTATTCAATTGAGATTCTTATTTTATAAGTAATGTTCTAGAAAATTGTGTTTGCACCACTGCACACAAATCTTGAAGAAAAAACGCCATTTAAAATGTCAATTATTAGCCATCCAAACGAATATATTTCCATTTTGTCATGATGAAGATATCTTTTCATTTAAAAATTGAATTCCAATCATGGTTTATTCACAAAAGTTAGAAGTAGATTTACATGGCTGAGATGTAGAACATTGATGTTCAGATAAAAGGCTTAAGGGTAATACTGATGTAAATCAGACATGCCTATATTTAAATAGAGGGCTGATTAAAATAATGTTTGCCCTTTTTACCATGAACGAAAATGACACCTTGGCCTTTCTCAGATTTTCAGGTGTATATATTTTCACATCCCCTGAAATGGTTTTCAAAGGTTAGCTTAGTTAAGCAAGTTTACCTTATTCCAACTGAGGGGGGGGGGGGCTTTGCCCCTCTTAAGTTTTTTTTTNTCCACTTTTAAACTCGATTAAAACTCCACTTTTAAACTCGATTAAAACTCCACTTTTAAACTCGATTAAAACTCCACTTTTAAACTCGATTAAAACTCCACTTTTAAACTCGATTAAAACTCCACTTTTAAACTCGATTAAAACTCCACTTTTAAACTCGATTAAAACTCCACTTTTAAACTCGATTAAAACTCCACTTTTAAACTCGATTAAAACTCCACTTTTAAACTCGATTAAAACTCCACTTTTAAACTCGATTAAAACTCCACTTTTAAACTCGATTAAAACTCCACTTTTCATCATCCAGATATCATCCAGATATCATCCAGAAATCATCCAGATATCATCTTGGTGAAAAGTCGAGTTTTAATCCTTGTATGGCACGACTATAGCCGATTAAAATTCCACTTCTAAACTCGATTAAAACTCCACTTCTGGAAGGCAAAAGTCGAGTTTTACTCGATTTTAACTCGAGTTTTTGTTTGCTGGGTTGTTCGGTAATAAAAACGCTAGTTTAGTAAAAACGATCGTTTTGTTACACTTGGTCGCTCCAAAGGAACTGAGTTTTTGCCACAAATTATGATTTTACAATCGCCATATCTTTTCAAACTGATGATATTTATCATTATTTGATCTAAAATGATTCATAGTTTGAATTATCTAAGGTCTCTGACATTCAAATGCAAAGATGTAGGGATAAGAAAATCAGAATTTGTGACAAAAACTCAATTCCTTTCCTATAGTATTCAAGACCTTGTTAAAATATGAGAGAGAAAGATCAAACTCCAAATGATATTTCCATCCCATCTTTCTTATTAATCTCTATTTTTCATCTTGCAGACAATGATACTTCCTTAAGAGATGTTTAACAATTATACTTTTGATAGACAGACAGACAGACTGGCAAACAATATGTCAGAGGATAGACAAGCATAGAATTAGATACAATAAAACTCTTGATACAATGCGAGACAAGTATACATGGTTTAAATTGCATATTTAAGTCGTTCAATTGAGCTCTGGAGTACAGGGGGAAAACTTCCTCACAAAAATGTCAAAAAAAACCTTCAAAAGTAATCAAATTCAGTTTTCTGATAAAATTTGATAAATGATCTAGAAGAAAAGCCCGATCTTGCACTGGTTTGTGTAGAACAAGACTAACTAAGTACATTACATGTATACCATATACTGTAAGGAAGCATTGCTTAAACAGGGTTCAACAACAACCACTAGAAAGAAAGACAACAAGATATGGAAAAGATAGAATGGAGGGGGGGGGGGGGGTCAAATTAATTTCATTTATCATCAATCAAAGCCAGTTTCAGGGGAAATGTCGTTTTTGTTAATCTTGTTAATCCGCAAACAATTTGAAATGTGTAAGAATCATCTCGAAATAGGTTCAGGGCTCATTTTCTGAGTTACAAAAATTCCAAACTGTGTAGATTAGACTCGATTACACAATTTAAGAAATATGTCACAGCCTGAAGGAATGGCTGCAAAGGGGGAAAAAACTTTAAGAGCTAAGGATGTTACATATGAAAATTAACAAAAGACACCTCCGCCCCCCCCCCCCCCCCATTAGCTGGGGGCGCCGATAGTGGGGGGGGGTACTTGAGAGATGGAAAAGAGAGGGGGTGGCCTACATGTACAGTAAGATTGAAAGTCATGGTTCCCTGGTTTACCCTGTTCACAGTATATTCACTAGAAATACCTGGACAAGCAGTTATAGTTTCTCCGTATTTATATTCTTTAAAAGTGATAATAACGAATATATAAACAAACATAAATATAAACAATCCGTTCATGCCGCCCAGACCAGCACTAACAAAATATATAAACAAACATAAATAAATACAATCCGTTCATACAACCCAGACCAGCACTAGCAAAATAATGAATATATAAACAAACATAAATATATATATATCCGTTCATACCACCCAGACCAGCACTAGCAAAATAACAAATATATAAGCAAACATAAATACATATATTTAACAAGGATTTAATCCGTTCATACCACCCAGACCAGCACGAGCAAATAATTGACAAAATTTTTCATAATATATATATATGTAATAAATCTACTTGAAATATACGTTCCTCCTGCAAGAAAGCGACGCTTTTCATGTAGAAACATTTCGTTTTTTGTTAAAATTTAGATTTTGGGATTTACAGGGTATATGTCTTCATAAAATCCTAGTTTAAAATACGAATTAAGTGAGAGAAATTAGAATGGATTTTTACAACTATGTAATTCAACAAGTAACATCATGAATGACATCTTCACCCTCAAATAAGCTTTCGGTGTATACTGCAGTGATTTGCAGTACACTGACCGAAGATATAGTGAGGTTTAATGGAGAGTGTCTTGTGTGATTTAAATCATGAAAATCTCTGTAGCCCCACTGATAAAGTTGTACATTTGGGGATTGGTTTCACATTAGATTTCGTCTGAATAAAGTTGGCGGTTTTCAGACAAACCATGTGGAATAAAATTGAAATGAAACGTTGGCATCGTCTGTTCTACGACCAGCTGGTTCGAAGATGGAAACAAAATATAGTTTTTGCTGCAGCAACAATATTTTTTTTACAGTTTTTAATAGTCAAACTACATCCTTCAGGTAACTTAGATTTTACTGTAATCTTAAGTGAACCTCCTATTAGTGTTTTCTCACTCAAAAATTATTTAACTCTGATAATTTCTACATTGTTTCGAATAAGCAAGAAATGCGCAAGTTACTTTTGCAGAGAAACCACAAATGAAAATAAAATGTTTAAATAAACAAAAAAATGAATATCTAATTAATACTCGGACAATGCCATCTTTGCATTGATCTAGGGTCTCCAACACAATCACTCAGAAAATACTTTATACTTAGACTTTATACTTATCTCTAGAGGTTCAGGAGTTTAATGAGGCGCAGTGTGCAGATATTTATCCAAAATTAAAGGTAATTAAACATTATTTTTTCTTTTAACTGCATTTCTTCATTTTAAAAACACTATATGATACCACTGTAAAATAGAGACCTGCTTAAAAGCCTAGTAAGTCTTAACTTGAGAGCCCATTAAATGAAGATTTATTTTACTTGCTCTATTCAACTTTTTTGTTTGGACGTGTATTTTAAATATTTAAGTAAATATTGTCTATTACGCTATTTTGGACGGATTTCAAATAACAGATAAAAATGTGATACTAATGTTCCGCTACAGATACAGGATGTGAACCCAGGACGTTATAGTTAGTTTTAAGTGATACAGTTACTGAAGAAAAGTCTATGGGGATTTTTGCAATGTGTAATTGTTGCCACTGATATATTCTAAAAATGTTTAATTAGGTTACCTTTTAGAAATAGTTTGGTTGCAAATTGAAAAAAAATTAAATGAAAGAAAAAATAGGACTCCAATAAATCCACTGTTTTCTGGTTCTTAATGTATTTATTTTTTATTTTTTTGTGTTTCTTCTTGGAAAGGAATTGAGTCTTTGCCACATACTCTGCTTTTCTAAACCCTATATCTTTTGATTCAAATGTCGTAGACCTTTTAAAACAAACAAAAAAAATATCAAAGATGTACGATATTGGGATCCAAGGATATAGGGATTATAAATTCAGAGTAATTGTAGCAAAGACTCAATTCCTTTGGAAATTTGGAAAAACAGAAAAAAACTGTATTTTTTGACAATCTCACCTCCAGTTTTTACGTGCATTGCGTTATTTTTTTCACTCGAAATAATGTTTTCGTATTTTTTAATGAATTCAAGATTTCACAAAGATTCTTTTTTCTTTTGATATTACAAATATTTAGCAAGGACTAATCAGTGTTAACGAAGGGATGAGAACTCTTGTCGGACACGAATTAAAGGTAAACCTTTAGAAAAACCATTTTTATCATACTTCTGAGTTCTGAGTACACAAAAATTTCTCTAGAAGGGTTTCATTCATTTGGCGTTTTGCCTAAAAAAGTCTGTTTTTGTACTGTATATGCAGCTTTCTGATTAGTTTTGTACTGTATATACAGCTTTCTCAATATTTTTGTACTGTATATACAGCTTTCTCAATAGTTTTGTACTGTATATACAGCTTTCTCAATAGTTTTGTACTGTATATACAGCTTTCTCAATAGTTGGTTAAAAGTGAAATGAACCAAATTGGGCAGTGAGTGATAATTATAATAAATTAGAATAATTAAAATATCTAGGGTCTATGAGATTGGGCTGAAAAGATATTAGAATAAGAAAATCAAAGTTTGTTATTTTTTAAAAGAAATACACACAGTCCTGCGTTTTTACAGGGGTACAGTATAGCGCCCAAATATAATTTAAGATCTCAATAACTCAATCGTAACAAATTTTACATGTAGATATCTGTTAAAAGCCTTTTAGAGAAATGAATTTGTCAAGACCTACAGGGTGTCCCACGAAACCTGACAGTTGGTGAATAGTTTTGAATGTCTTCTTCTATATGCTGTATTAGATATTAAAGACTTTTTGCAGTTCATTCAGTTTTTAAAAAATTTTAGTTAGAAATCGATTTTACTTTTATATGGATGCCATACAATATTTATTATTATTCTCTTTGGCAACAAACAACTTCAAATATTATGGAAGAAGACATTTTAAACTATTCACCAACTGTCATGTTTCGTGGGACACCCTGTATATCATGTTTACAGAACTACTGGGGTCTACGTGCTAAACAAAATTAAGTCACCCTGAATTGTTTATCTTTAGTTAATTGGAGAAAAAGAGTTTGATGTCACTGGATACACTGTAAAAAGGTAAAAACTGTGTTTGATATGACTGGCTGCACTGTAAAAAGATAAAAACTGGTTACATTGTACAAAAAAGTTATTGGTATATGATGTGAAAAATTCATTGCTGTGACTGATTTGTAGATTTGTATATACTAAAAAAATCAATGGTCATAAATTGTTATAAATTATTAACAGGTAGAACCAGTTTTTATATTTCTGAAAACACTGAACAAAAATTTTAAATTTTATATATATACTTTCTCTTAACAAGTTTACTTCAATGTTTAAAAAAAATACTTTGACATGACAAATGAAAATACATTTTTTCAGACCTCTTCTTAACTGCTTAGACCAAGAAGATGAGCTGCTCCACAGGAACATAAATTTTACAATTTCTAAAATCTGTACTTAAAATTTTTAAGGATTGGTCTTCATATTTTTCTTGAATAATGGCTAAAATCCTACAATTATATGTAATCGGTTTTTTTTTGTAAAATAATTGTTTATCTACATAAAATAAACATACTTCTATTTACAAAAACAATAAAGTTGCTGTTTTATTAAAATTGATGATCTCCTTTTTATAAAGATTTAATTAAAAAGTATTTGATAATTTATTTTGCCAAGGACGATAAAAGAGAAATATTTTGTAAAAGGTAAAGATTGATTTTTTCAAATTTGTTAAAAAATAATTTGAAACATAATTAGTTTGTGGATGCAGTCTGATTTCTGAGGTTATATAATATCATTCATAGCACATTTTACAGTAAGACCCAAAAAATATCGTCATCATATTCCATAGTATTCATGGTTCTACTCTATTCATGATTTTTAAATAAATAAATCCTCTGTCTCATTTTTTTCAAATTTAAAATTACCTTTAAAATCCAGGGGTCAGTATAATTCCTTTTTCAATCCCATTTGGGATTGACAAATTTGAAAGAAATGGGGGCAAATTTTCTTAATGGGGGCAAATATTTTTTAAATCATAATTTAAAAAAAATTGGGGGCATTTTTATTTTTTTGGGGGCATTTTTTTTAAATTGGGGGCAAATGTGTTTGTGGAATTTAAAAAATGTTTTTTTTTTCTATTGGGGGCATTTTTTTAAATTGGGGCCAAATGGGGGCAAATGTGTTAGTGGAATTTGAAAATGTTTTTTTAATTGGGGGCATGTTTTTTTACAATTGGGGGCATTTTTTTTTAAGCTGGGGGCAAAAAATTATTTTGGGATCGAGAAAATCAGCTATTTTGGGAATTATATGGACCACTGATAAAATCACGAAATTTACCGATTGTTATTGACTGATAATAATAATGCTAGTATAGACATAGAATAGGCATTGAATAAAGCATAGAATTTTTAAAGAAATCCTTCAATACTTCTATGCTCTATTCTCTATGCTCTTTTCAGGGAATGTGAGCGGTCGTGGATTTTCTAAACCTTACGAAGAACTTAAACATCCATATCAAACACAGGATTTACTGGAATTAGGTAAATAAATTTAGAATGTTTATATTTTAATATGACGTATGCAAGGAACACCTAGTTAATTACTGCTTAGTGATTAAGAAACACCTATTTAATCATTGTTTAGTATTCAAGGAACGCCTAGTTAATTCCTGCTTAGTGTTCAAGGGACACATAGTTAATTCCTGTTTAGTGTTCAAGGAACACATAGTTAATTCCTGTTTAGTATTCATTGACCACCTATAGTTAATTCGTATTTAGTATGCAAGGGACACCTAGTTAATTACTGTTTATTGTTCATCGAACATCTAGTAAATTCCTGTTTAGTATTTGAGGAACACCTAGTTAATTCCTGTTTAGTGTTCAGGAACGCCCAGATAACAACTGTTTAGTGTTCAAGGAAAACCTAATTAATACCTGCTTAGTATTCAAGGAACGCCTATTTAATAACTGTTTAGCGTTCAAGGAACACCTAGTTAATTCTTGATTAGTGTTTAAAAGGAACGCCTATTTAATAACTGTTTAGCGTTCAAGGAACACCTAGTTAATTCTTGATTAGTGTTTAAGGAACGCCTATTTAATAATTGTTTAGTGTTCAAGGAACTGCGGAACGGATTCTATGTTGAAGCTGGTGCATGGGACTCAGAGCAGATGTCTGTCAGGAAACCAAACCAAACCAAACTTTAAATATTTTATTTTTCCAAAAGTTATCCAAATATTAAGTAGTTTTTTTTTTTTAAATCAAGGTTTGTTTGTATTTCAGTTTGTTGTTTGAAGTTGGTAAGCATGATTTACATTTACATATACTATACAGTAAAAATACCAAGAATTATAAAGTAATAGAAAGATTTCGTGTTACTTATAACATATTAAGTCTGTTGTTTGGTGATGAAATCTATCCGTTTTATTTTTTGATTCACTACAGAATAAATTTTAATCGTAATTGAACATGATTTGTTTTATCGTTAAATACAGGTTTCAACTGGACTGGAATATTAATTGAAGCCAACCCCTGGGATCATCAGCTCGGTCTTCTTAGAAATAGAAATGGAAAGGATTCAAGATAATCACACACAAAATTAATTCATTTTAAAAAAAAGGGAGAAAACTTTTAATAAATTGCCTCAAAATGTAATTTTTAAAACTTTGTACCTTGCAACCTAATGGTGTAAACCTTTGATATTTTCATTTTTTAGCATTTTGATCTGACAGAGTTCATTTGAATATTGATAGTTTTTCAACATCAGATTGCAAAGATAAAGGATTAGAAAATTAGATTTTATTTCCTATGTTTGATGTTATGATCATTGATCATAACATCAATTATAACTGTGTTAGTCCCCCTCTTCAAATGTTTCAATCCTAACACATTAGAATTCACTTTTTTTAATCCTTGTCGTCTAGCACTTTACTTAAACACCTGTTTGGGACTAACAGTTCGACCTCAGTTCTCAGACTTTGTTTTCACTCCAGCTGTGGAGGTCAAGGAAGGTCAATGGATGGCCTCTATGGGAGGTATGGCACATAAAACAATTATTTTAAAATAAAATTTTGAATATTCTGAAATTTTAAGTTTTCTAAAAATTCAAACTTTCTGGAATTTCTAATTTTCTGAAATTTCAAATTTTTCTGAATTTTTTAAAACTTCTAAAATTTACAATTTTTGAAAGTTTTTATTTTCCTATATTTAAAATATTGTGCTTGTTAAGGATTATCTGAAACTCTACTGAATCCTGATAGCATTAAACTACAGTGTTTTCCTTTCTACAGTATACTTATGGTAATCATAAATCTTATGGCTTTAAGGTCGGATTGGGAAATATATTTTTGATTAGTTCTTTGAAAAGAAAAATCGAAAATCGAAAAACCCGGGATGCTGAGCAAATTCTTATAGATTGCATTTTCTATTAGTTTTTTATTTAACTTCCCATCGTTTTGAATTATATCATTGGTCAGAGTAAAATTTGGAAATTCAGGGGACGTTAGTTCCAAAACTAACACTTGGCCCATTTCTAACACTGAGTAATAGAAATGGGCACAAATTGAAAGATTGGGCTTTTGGATCCCGGCCCATATCCAGAGTAAAAGTCGATAATAAAAACTATAACCGACATTTATTAAACATGACGAGGACAGCAATTCCCAATTTTAAACTTTTTAAAATCAAAATTATAATAGGAGTTCTTTTTGAATTAACTCTCTAAACCGTTTTCCAGACAATGTCAGGTTTTCCATTTTCCGTTTTCCATTTCTTGAATTTGAAACATTGTCGCGTTTTTGAGAATAATCTGGAATACAAAACAAAACTCACTTTCATAACTTACAAAATAAATCACTGAAAGCAAAAAATTATCTTATGAAGACGAAATTAACTTCTGAATTATTGATAGAATCTAAGTTTCCACATTTATCGGCTAAATTAGAGAATATGAATGATTTATTTTCAAGCATTTTAAACAAACAGTTTCCCGCATTTCTAGTTAAATCCATATTGTAAGAACAAATGATATTGATATTTTTATTTCTCAATGCTGTAATGATTTTTAAACTATAAAAGATCAGTTTGTTTTTATTTTCTATTTTGTTTATCTTTAAATCCAATACACCATACATTTATAAAAAATGGCAAAAACTATATATTGAAACAATAAATGTCAATAAGTAATAATAAGTAATAATAATAACTAATTAGTTTTTGAAGAGTCTCGATTTCATTTTCGAACATATCCCTATTTTGAAACAATTTCGGATCATATCCTGGTTTTGAGACAATTATCGGAATTCATAGTAATGTCAATTTTTAAGCATTTACCCACTTATGCAACAAAACTAATGTCCCCTGTATTGATAAGAATTCCGGCAAATGTCTCAAAACCAGGATACATGATTGGAGTTTCGTAATTTTTGTTTTCAGGCAGCTGGTAACCCTACCGTAAACCTACTAATACTGGATATCGAGGGAGCTGAGTTTGCTGTACTAAAAACTATCCCTTGGAATAAAGTAGATATTCAGGTTAATATACTTAAAGGGATCGAATGTAAGCAAAATTTCATGTGACCGGCCCATGCAAAGGTGGCAATGCCCGATTTCCAACGGTAACGAAAGTGAAATGGAAAAACTCACAAAAATAAACACTTTTCGAGTCATAAAAAAATGACGATTTCTTCCATATTTTTGATCAGATTAAATGTTCAAGGATACGCTTATAAATCCTACATTGTCAACTTTGCACTGAGGGTCACTTAAAATTACGCTTACCGTCCCTTTAAATAAAAAGTGTTAAAATTACGCTTACCGTCCCTTTAAATAAAAAATGTTAAAAATCAATGGAGGTTAAAACAAGTCTATTATTATAAATTATAATAAATAAGTAGTATAAGTTTAGCTATTCAAAGTAAATCATTTAATTGTCTACACTCTTTAAAAAACTGTCCCTAAAAATAGATTAATTTTATGTTTTGAAAAAAAAATTAGCTCTTTATTATATTTTTACTTAGGTGATGACCATAGAAACTGATCTGATTGGAAAAGCAGGTAAATTTTAATTCTTCACTTCCGTTTTAAAAAATCACTAAAAAATCTAAGGTTATGTAGTTTAAATCATAACCAAGATGTAAAGAAAGGAATTGAGTTTTTGCCACATACTCAAATTTTCAAATCTCTATATCTCTGAAAATTGAAGGTGTAAACCTTTAATATTTCAAACTTATATTTTTTAATGCAACATAATTCATTATTTGAAATATCTGAGGTATACATCATTGGTTAGCAAAGATATAGGGATTAGAAAATCAGAGTTTGTGGCAAAGGCTCAATTACTTTAGTTCTGCCACAACTCTAATTTCTTAATCGCTATATATCCTAAACTATGCATTCTGTTATATCTAAGCTTTAAATGTCAAAAGTGTAAATCATGAAACTACATGAAAAAAATAGTTCAACTCAGAATAGTTCAACTCAACTAACTATTTGATTAAAATTCATATACCTCCTTACACTCTTTCATAAATGATAGAATTTCAAAAATAGTTTCGAGTAGTTTTTCAATTTTAAATTTTTTAAGTTTTTCTTTTACTATTTAGGAATATCAGGAGGATCACAGGAAGAAGCAAGAGAGTTTATTATTTCTAAGGTATAGCTTTACACTTTCATTAAACTCTTGTGGTTTGAAAATTGTGTAAAACCTCTTAAAATTATTGCAGTTTGTAGCTGACTATTTAAACCTAGTTTTATGTTAATACATTTATCTAAAGATGTTAGGGTTATGATTCCATGTTTAAAAAAGTTTAAAGGGACAGTAAAGGAAAAATAAAAGGGGGTATAGGCTGAAAGCTAATCACTTTAGCTCTTGATCGCAACCCATGAAAGTTTTATATGATTTCCTGTCTCGAGAAATTGATATAAAACTGTGTTATAATTATACGAAAATTCATATATGTAAAATTTTGAAAATCTGAAACTTAAATCACGTGACCAGAACTATCACCAATGGCAGAACAATATACTGGTCACGTGTCTGCGCCTGTATCACGTGACCACTTTACTGCACTGCCATTGGTGGAATTTCTGGTCAAGTAATACGGACGTAAAAATAATATTATGAATGAAATCTATTGAAAATAGAAACAACAAATATAAAAGTAAACCTAAATTACAATTAGCTTTCTCTGGGATATCATCTTTTTCAGATTGGTTGCTGTTTTTTTGAGCATGGTCTGTTTAAACCAACTATTTCTATACGAAATTGTATATATATGCATTTTCGTACAAGTTTGAAACAGCTTTATATCAACTCTCGAGTTAGGAACTTCAGATAGGCGTCTCAAGGGTCTCGATGAAAAGCTAAAGTTATTAGCTTTTAGCCTATACCCCCTTTCATTTTTCCTTTACTGTCCCTTTAAACTCCTTTACTTTATGAGAATTTTAGGTAGCATACAGGTTGCAAAGTCTCAAATTTTTAACCAATCATAAAAATAAACAAATTAAAAATAAAACTTTACATTTTCAGGGATATACCTTGTTTAAACACAGAAATAACATTAACCCGGTAACAGGTACTTAGACTTACGCAACTTTAACTTCAAAATCTAAAGATTATTTATTTACGCAACCCCGTCTTCGTGTTTCAAAAGAACCTTCATTTAAAGAGCAGAGGTATTTTCTGAACACAACTATATCCCTTAAACCTATGTCTGAAAAACTTGGGAGTGAATATTATCATTTTTCCATTTGAAAATTGTCGAATACTGTGAGTTTCCTTCCTTATCTTTGCTGCATAAAAATATTTGCAGTATTTTTGCTTAAATTGGCAGGGTACCGTTGTGAATAAGGCATAGCAATGTTCAAGTGGAATATCAATGAAAATTACGTCTATACAATCCTTCAAAATTTATACTTTTGCACATTTTATTTTACTTCGTATTTAAAAATGTTGAATTTTTTCAGGTTTGGAAAACAATGATTTGTTTATAAGAAATGATATTGTGAAGAAGTGGAATATTAAGTTCCCTGAACCTTTAAATTAATATGCTTTCAGTTGATATTTGAATCTTATGTTATATTCAATGTGATAATACTGCATTTAAAATTTAAATAAAAAAGTTTAAACATCTTTTTATTTATTTTTATTTTACCTTTTATGTTATGTCTCATTTTTAAGCAATTGCATTAAATGTTGTACATGAATGAAACCCCGACCAGGGTTTTCCAAAGAACGATTTATGGTTCTCTATACGACGGCCAGGCTAAGATTCGGACTATAAATTTGTCATTGTTTTCAAGGGATGTAAGCGTAATTTTAAGTGAGCCTCTCTGGTTTAGTTACAACTGAGCCCTTGAAACCTTAATCTACAATAAAAATATTGTAGATATCGTCGTTTTTTCTGACTAAAAAAGTGAGTATTTCTGTGAATTTATGCATTGTTTCTTACAAGCAAGAATTGCACACATTAATTTTGCAGAGTAAATCAAATATACAGTTTTAATAAACAAAACATGCATAATTATTGCATACTTGATCAGACAAAGCTTTTAAGGGTACCGTTGTAAATCGGGCATTGCCATTTTTACATGCAAGGTCAATTGAAATTACGCTTACAGTCCCTTTAAGGGTACATTTAGAACCGTTGACGGCTCTATTTACTTGATATTATACTTGATCTTATATACGTTCAAAATTTCTTAACATCCAAAAATAATTTAGAAATAAATTTCTGAATTTACATTTTTATAATATCCAAAATTTATTCCTAGAATTCCTTGTTTTTTTTTCTGAAACACTTTAATGAGTGCATATTTCTAGAGTCGCCCTACTGCACCAAATTGACCAAACATTAATTATTATCATTTATTCTTTTGCAATTAGTTCCTTTGCATCATTAATAAAGGGCAATGTTTTAACCATAGAGAATAGAATATATATTAGAGGGGAATTTGCTAGACGAAAGTGTTAAACGGCCATTTTGTTGTACTGTTTCCATACTGCAGGTGTACTTCACATATTTATGCTATATAGCCTTTTGGACCCTGGAATATCATTTTATAGAAAATCTAAAATTATTGTTAAAAGAAAACTAGATTATGAAATAGGCTGGTTTCATAATTGACCAATGATCATTTCACATACACTCTATGCCTTCCACTTTACAAACGACGATTTTCCGTTATAACTATATAAATCAAATGATGTTTATTATTCACCTAATTCATCATAAAGTTTATTTAACAGTTTAAAAATTCGAAATTGAAATGAATAGTCTAGGAAACATACTGTATTAATGTACTCTACTGCATATAATTTGTGAACATTTACATGATTTGGTATATTTTGAACTCCTTTTCAGGCTTAAAGGGACTGAAAAAATTCATACCGAGAGATTCTCTAAATTCCCCTCTAATATATTCTATTCTCTATGGTTTTAACTGATAGTCGATCTATAGTTGGAAAAGAATAGAGATGTCTTGAATGTCTGCCAAGCTAAATGGGAACCACGTTACGTATTAGAACTACGGTTAAAACTGTTTGACGTGTTAGTACAAAAATACAATCTCTAATGCAACTAAAGGCCTGTAGAAAAGCATAATGTACCCAGTAAACTTTAAAACTCAAAGTACAACCCCCCAAAAACAAAAGTAAATAGAAAATGAATAATATATTTAAATTAAATGGACAAACGTGGTTAAAAGTGAATTTATTTTCTCGTTACTAAACCAGGACATATGAATGAGCGTGACATGTATATAATACATTGTATACTGCATGTTTTATAACCCAGTATGTTGATTTGAACAGGCATTTAGGCAGCAGTTTGCTTCCTTACCTAACCAGGGCGTGGTTAAGCATTGAAAAGCTTTTAATTAAATACCCCCCCCTTCCCTTAACCCACCCCCCAGCAGAATTAAACCCAGTACACCTCACCAAACTCCTAGCTAGGGCGTTTACAACAGGGTTGCCGAGCTGGGAATGCACTCGTCGCAATTTTTTACCCCTTTCAATCCAAATTTTTAAGTTCTGTAATTTCCCTCCTTGTATAAAATTTAGTGCATTCAAATTGCAGTTGAGATATTTGTAAAATTTAAGTTTATACAGAAAAAAATAAAACTGCATTATCCCACGGGAAACTAACTAAATCTGAGTATGTCCTGGATGCAATCTGCATCGGTTTAATATTTAATACTCTAATTAGAAAACATCAAAATATATTTCACTGTAAATGTGTTTTTTTAAAACATTTCTTTAGGTTCTTTGCTCTATAGTGGTAAGATAAAGGCTTAGATGTGAATTTAGGGTTTCCAACGATTTTGCTTTTCCATCTAAAAATCAATATTTTTAACCCTATTTGGCCTGCTGGGGGGGGGGGGGGTTGCGATAACTCAAAAAATATTTTAGGTAGGAAGCTCAAATTTTCCTGACTTAAGGCTAAAGCTGGGCTTTTATACATAATGCCTGACATACTGTCTAAATGCCTTATTTTACCTATACCAGACTAAATCTAAATTTAGACCTACTTCCAGGCATTGGATTTCAACATTTTATAGCTCTTGGGAAAACCTACAACAAAAGCATACAACTTTTGCAAAGACATTCACTTGCGCGCAAGGGCTAGCAATTGCGCGCAAGTAAAATCCACTTGCGTTGGAAACCTTGTAACCCTCAAAGAATTGAGTCTTTGTCACAAACTGTGGTTTTCTAATCCATATATTTTTGCAACTCATTGTCATAGACCTTAGATATTTCAGAATATGAAATCTGCTCGATAGAATAGTTTAAGCTATAAATGTCAAAGGTTTACACCATCATCCTGTTTCAAAGATATAGGGGATAAAAAAATTTAAAGCAAGTTGTGAGCTTGTGACCATGCTTGTCGTTTTTTTTTGTCTCAGAGGGAGGGAGAAATATAAATTTATGAATTTATGAATTTGGGATATGATATTTATTATACAGCTCCTTCAACATAGATTCAATATCAATTATAGTAATCTAGTTTGGAGAGTGGTCTGACCCCCCCCCTCTTCCTCTTATAAGTTTTCAGTTCGATGGTCGTTTACAAATATATCTCGTTGGTTCAGTTGCTCTTTATATTCAAGAAATGCATTTTTAACAACTTTAAGCAACTAAAAGGTCAAAGCCCTCAGACCTTCGTTACACCTGTTCAACCCAAATTAGAGAATTTTTGTGAAAATATTGACAATTTTCGCAATCAAAAATATGTAAAGAGTGTAGAATGTAGAGAGTAGAATGTGGAGTGTAGAGTGTACAGTATAGAGTGTAGAGTGTAGAATGTTGAGTGTTGAGTGTAGAGTGTAGAGTGTAGAGTGTAGAGTGTAGAGTGTAGAGTGTAGAGTGTAGAGTGTAGAGTGTAGAGTGTAGAGTGGCATAATATTTACAACGTACCCTAAAAGCTTTGTATAATCAAGAATAAATGAGATGGCAATGTTTTTAACATTGGGGAAAATTATCCGAATTCATTACTGTTTATTGAACAGAAAACGACAATATCTTCCACATAAACATTTTGCATTGCTTGCTATATGATTTCAAATTTTGATTTGACTTAATTTAGAAAATATAAAATGTTTGCATTTGCATAATTTTCCGCCAAAACTATGTGGAAATTGCAAAATTTTCCCGGTTATGCATGTCTATTGCATGACGTGTCTATGTAAGCGGATTTTACACCTTGAGATATTACATACTGGAAATTATGTGACAGGACACAGAGGACTAATATCGTGTAATATGTCAATCTGTTGTAAACATGTACTGCTGTACATCAAGGATATTTTATTAAGATTGTAAAAAATATATATGAGGAATGATATTAATAAATTTTTATTATTTATAATTCAAGTTTTATTTATATAAGAATATCATCAAGTTTTATTTATATAAGAGTAGTGTGTGCTTTCAAGTTACTTTGTAAAGAAATTTAGTCTTTGCCACAAACTCAAATTTTCTAATCCCTATATCCTTGCAACCTGAAGTTGTAAACTTCAAATTTAGACTTTTGACTGTAACAGAATTCTTTTACTATGGCAGAAGATACTTTTAATCTTTTAATCTTTTTGAATCCAACATTATGTTGGACACCCAGTATGTTAAGATTGCTAAAAAAAAGAGTATAAAGTTGGCGTATAAAGGTAGGAACGGGTGGATAGAAAGGATTAGCAGGAAAAACAAGAAAGTTAGGTATGATCGCAGTCAACCCTCAATTGTTAATGAAATATATTACGCTGGACATGCTAACGAAGACTAACACTTTTTTTGTAGTTGCTTAATGCACTCACACAGTATAAACTTTAAATTGAAGAATTTAATTAAGTTTGATTCCTGGGATATACGGAAAATCCAACAAGACAAAATTAATCAAAAGTTCAAAGAAACGGCCGTGGTTGTGTGGAAAGGGAATGGGAATCGAATAAACTTTTTAAGAAAAGATTTTTTTAAAGTTTGGACCTGAAAGCAAACATTCTGCAAATTAAAACCAATTATTTTATTATAATGTGTTTGGACTGTGGAAACAGATAAAAAATCATAACAAAAAAATCATTTCGTACTTTGTCTCGCACATGGACTAGTTTTTTTTACGGAATTTTATTATACAAAAAAATACGTAGTTTTATGAATTTTGGAAATGAAGTAAGCAGATTAATTAACAGATTTAATAAAACAGATTTTTCAAAATATTTTCGTTGTGTAAGTAATAAAGGGCCCCACAAAACAAAACAACTGAGGGAGGACTTGAAGATAGTATCTGATAATATATATGTTATACCAAACCATTGACATAATGTATTTTAACATAAATTTCTATTATAGCGTGGTGAATGGCAAAGTCATACAACTTTTTTTGATACGCACTTTGTAATAATTAATTTATCAACAAGAATTATGTTTGGTCCTCAAGTCGTCTTTCAATAGTCATGTTTCCAGAGACACCCTTTACTTTAAATCATATTCTGGTGTTCCAGGTTTTATCCTGATGCACTTCTCAGTTAGGCAACACAACTGGTGGAACTGACTGGGTGGGTTCTCCAGTTCTACAGTTTTAGTTCTCAATTGGATTGGAGGTTTGAGGGACGGGGGNGGGGGGGTCAAG